GCCTTCTCAGGTGATCCGAAGATCACACCCGCGGCATCCTTCACGACCAACATTGCCTGCTCAGCTGCTTCTCGGACGCGCACATTATCGGATGACAGACACTCGACTAAAGCCTCGGCGAGAATTCGAGAATCGAGGTACACAGGACCTTCCCCGTTTGCAACGTCAAAAGCTTTGCGACCATGGCGGACTTGAGCCAGGGCACGACCAACCTCTACAAGCGCAAAGTGCTTGCAAACATCCGCCACAAACGCGGTGGCGGTTTGCTCGAGCTCAGGGATAGTGGAGGCAAAGATACAAGCCTTGATCAGTTTCTTCACTGTTGCTTCCTGCGCAATCTTCTTTGGAATAGAGGCCGACCTTTCTGACTTGTCAAGAATATCTGCCATAGCACCCGGCTTATTTTCGAAGAGATCATTGGCATGGAGTCTGATCGAGGTTGCCAAGTCTTCGGGGATGTTGTCGTAACCGATTTGGAGCTTTAGGTGCGAGCTGAGCATGCGGTAGGCTTGCTGCTTGTAGTATATGTCCGAAGCCTTTCCGGAGTCCGTCTTGGGTACCTCCATGAGTTTACCCGCAGCGAGATCGATACCGATATCGACAGGGAAAGGCCGCTTCTCGTTCGGGCCAATCAACCTGATATCGAAGCTTGGGTTATCATCAGAAAACTGCTTGAACGACAATTCTGGCGGGTGGTTCAGGAACTTCCGATTCCGTCCGCCAAGTTTTCCCAGGATGCGCATGGTAGTGTGGGCGTGGAAGTGGTTGTAAGGAGATGGGCGCAGGTGATCCCAGAGTGCAGTCATCAGCTCGTCCATTATTGGGCCCATGATTGGATCGAGGTAGTCCGCCGTGAGGTTGTCCACGCAGAGTTCGAGAGTGCGCAAACCCTGACCGACAAGATCAGAGTCGGCACGCAAGGCGACCACGATTGGGCGCATTAAATAGCTGAGATGAGGAAGGAGATGGCTAAGCCTAGCAGGAACGGTGAGGGTGAGTTCGACGTAGAGATCCCGTTCTTGCGGCTTGCGGGCTGCAAGTAATAGGTTGTTGAACGTTTCCAGGAGCATCTCTAGAAGCGGGAGGATCTCTTTGTACAGGAGCTCGAATCGGCCCCCACCAATGCTTCGGAAGAGAGACCTCAGAAGAAGGAAGTAGTTCATAGGCTCCTCGGCTGTGACTGAAAGCTCAATGCACTTGGTTACAATCTTCGTCACATGCGGGTGAAGTACCTGCTCGTTTTGCACAGAGAACAGGGTCACGGCCATGAAGGAAAGCTTAAACATCCTCAGGAGTATCTTTGCCTTCGTCATGTCTGAGGTCCCGACCTCATCAATGCGCTCCATGAGGTACTGCAAGACCATACCAGAGAACGCGGGAGAAGTAGCCTCGCTAGCCAGGAAGAACTGAGGCAGGTGAAGGAGAGCCCCATGTTCAAACATGAGCTCATGTAGGTACGGGATTTCAGAATGGAAGACTTCATGGAAGGTTGCGGTATCAATGCAGTGGAAAACAGTACCGAAACTTTCCAGAAGCTCCTTTTCTTCACGGGACATTGGGGCAGTGTATTGGCTTGCAAGGAAGTCAAACGGAGACGCGTAGTTCATCTCAGGGGGAGACTGGTCTACCCCGTAGTAGCGGAATACACGAGCTCCCTCGTGGAAGAGCTTCTTGATCACACCGACTTCCTCTGCATTGTAACCGTACGAAACTTCCGACCAGTTGATGGGAACGCTGTTCGGGTCGATTTGAATGTCATCTGGGTTGCAGTTCTTCAATTGGCGGAAGATGTTCTTTAACCCATTGATCAAGTTCCGGAAGAGGAAGATGTTATCCGAGACAGGGTCACCTCCACGATCACGCGGACTGGATGTCTTGATGGGAGAAGCCGAGAAAATGTCAATCTCATCCCAGTCCGGTGGTTGGTTCTTTTCAGCAAGGTAGTTCTCGGCGCATGGCTCGGTGTCCTGTCGGAAAACTTTGTACGCCCTGGAGACCTTGACAGCGTTCTTGAACTGGTGGTTCATCGATGCGAACTTGTCGCCGATAGCATCCAAGATCATGATTAAGAAATACCGCGCCTCACGCTTGTCTTCTAGTTTGGAGATATTCTCTGCCATGTTCAAAAGAAGCTTTGCACTCATTGTCTGGAAGCTCGTGCCAGGGAAATCGTCGTGAAGGTTCTTAGTGTAGACTTCAACCGTTCGGCGTATCTGGTCGCGACTTAGATGGTCACGAACATGGTGTATTAAATCAGCTAACATGCTGTAAGCCAATGGTCTCATAGTCTCATAGACAGTAAGGCCATCCCCGATGAGAGTCCGCTCGTCTAAAAGCTCGTCGATTTTCTCAAGGAAGATCTTCCGATAGTTGAAGTTGATTATGTGTCGAATGGCTACCAGCAACTCCTTCCTTGCACCTGACTTCTCTCGCGGACAATCTTGAAGGAGACGCACAACGACGGAAGGAAGCGTAGGAAGGAAGTCTTGTAGTTGGTGGGCATAGAGACGCAACAGATATGCCAAGAAGCTCATCGTCTTCACCTGGGCCGTGATGAACTCTCCAAATGCAGCGCGATTTTTGATTTCCTTGCACACACCCGTAAATATTGTGCCTTGAGCCGCTGCTTCTGCGTGTGCCTTTTCTTGCGGCTTCGCCTGAAGCAGCAAAATGGTCTTGATGAGAGGTACGAACAGCTTGACGTTGGCTGGGACCGATGCCCGGTGTGTCTGGAAGATTGAAACAACGATAATCGGGCACTCTGCGAGGACCTTGAACGATTGCATGCCCTTGAGGAGAACATTGCTCGACTGCTGATCAGGTCCTAGATCTGACACTGAGGTGGCAGGCGAACTCGGTCGGGGAGATTGGAAGTTTTGTGCTGTTGCATTGGGCGTCGATGGCATTCCTGAGGGTGTGGCCTGATTGGGGGTGTCAAAGGTATCCCGAACCACTTGCTCCATGGTCTGAAACATTTCCTGGATAAGCTCCAAGAAAGCCTGCACCTTGTGCGCGGTGGCCTTGGCTTGGTTCCTCTCCAAATCCATGATTGTCTTCATACATAGCACCGCATTGTCTTCGTTCTCGATGCGCGCGAGTTCCATCAACAGGTCGACCATGTCGACGGCGTATGGCTCCACGTCAGGCGAGCCCATCGGTAATCGGTGCAGTGTTTCGAGGATGCAGTTCCGTAATTTCTAATGGATGGCCAGAGTGGTTAGCCCATTATGCGCAACATTCACCTAGGGCAAGCTTGTGCCAAAATTTCTCACCTGGTCGTAAGACATGCTGAAGAAGACCGGGTCTCCCTTCAAGATAGTTTTGAATACCGGCCATAGCTTCGCTAGGAATATGGGATAGCTTGCGCCCGAGCACAGAGGCTCAATATTGTCTCGTAATTCGGTAGCGACATTGGCTCGGTGTTTGACATCTATTCAGATCGCAAGGTAGTTAGTGCAGGAACTGGCCAACGATTCTAGTGGGTGCAGATCTCGTCCACATACCCAGCTTCTCGTCGCCGAGCTTGTTGGCGTAGATATCTATGTTTCGCTCCATCACTTTGATCTGACCCTTCTCAAGGGTTGGCGACTAAATGGAAAGAAACAGCAGGGACGGCCGGGCCAAGAGGCCGGCTGATGAGAGCGTAGTGTGCGCAGTCTTCCGGGGGGGAATGGGGGTCTCATATGTTGTGTTGTGGTGTCACGGAAGCTCTGTGGACTCGGTCGATATGCGAAAAGATCGGAGACGGTAGAATTTAAAACGAAGGAAATCATCAAGTCATTTGCTCTTCCGGGAAAACAAACTGTCTAGTCCATTGAAATAAATCTAGTCCGGACAGCAAATGAGTGAATCGAATTACCCCGCGGGGAGGAGAAGCTGAGGGAGATGGGGAGAAAGTTGGGGACTGTATGCGGCGCGATATTCACGAGAGCAGAACAGAAGACGCGGGCTATCGCAAAGACCCCGAAAGAAACACTAGTCCGCATTTGGTAATTTCTCGGTGATGGTTGTTCCGTTCCGAGTCCCCTTCCAGCCCGCAGAGAACAATACAACATATGGTATCATCTTTTTCAATTGAGTGTGTTTTCGTCGTCTTTTTCTTTCCCTTGGCTGTTTAGATATCTCTTGATATATCCACTGACCCTCATATAAATAGGACCAAATATACATAGGAATCTCTCTAAAGGGACGAACTTAGTGTACTTTGGGGTCGATAAGCACAGGGTGCAGAAGGAATATTGCGCCGACTAGCTGTATAATCTGTCTTCATATAGTCTAGGTAGCATGGTGGACCTCATCTGCCAGTAGATCGGTTTGTATAAGCCATGACGAGCTTATCAAACAGAGTAGGTACCTACATATGTAGGTACATCTGTACATATACGAGACCCGAACCTTGGAAGTTACATATGGATCATTTGACGTCGTTACTCGTGCATAATCAGCTAGTTAGCTGCTTGTGAGAGTTGCTTCACGTACCTAGAGCACTTTATCAAAATTTTGATTGCTTCGACAACCGAGAGATTGCCCCTATCGTCTCCAAATATATATACCTGTGCCCAGGTCTCGGCATAACAACAGCCCGTACAATTGAGCAATCTTTATCACCTTAGATCTATGAAGCCGTTGTATGTACAATGAAAGATTGTTAATATTGTGTACTCAGTGAAGTATACGGAAAGACCACCAAAACGCTCTCAACAACGGTAATTGACTTTCCTCCTATTTTCACTCTCCTCTAGATAGTAACGCTAATACCTCCAACCAATACCTTGGAGTGTTCCGATAACGCTCGTATAGCATCATGAAATGCAGGAATAGACTAAGCCTTTGCCTGGGAAACGACCAGGTTATGTTGATGCTGACGGCCCCCAACAACCCTGGTGACCCTAGTATCCACCTGGGCACCTGTGACAGACATCAACCCCGCATTCAGGCAAACATGACTATTATCTCACCTTACACGATACTCTATCAAGATTCCAGTGATTCAATTCAACATGGTGGACCCCATTTCAATTATTTCGGCGGTAGATCTCTGCTTCAAGTGAGTTATGCACCACAACCCGACTGTTCGGACTGACTGTATGCCAGATATGGCACGAAGCTGGTTCACCTATGCAGCGCACTTGCACACGCCAAAGATGATATTGCAGAGAGATCCCTCCGTGTCAACAATTATTGGATGAGGGCGGAGGTCCAGTTGAATGTGGTGCGGGATATTGCTCACGAGCTCAGTGAGAAGCATCGGATGATTCAACATGCGACGATTGCAATGCTCGCCACGAAGTTGGAGATTGCTATTAACAAGATTGAGTCTGCCATCAAGACTCACCCTATCGGAGACCAAGAACTGGAAGTATACCGGTGGAAGTATGCGCTCACGAAAGAAAAGATCGACGGGACCATTGAGGATCTCAAGGAATGGCAGTCACTATTCGACCCATCGTGGTACTTGATTATGAGAATGACAAGCGATCGAGTCAATCTTGGCCTAACGACAAACCGAAAATCTTCTGCTATGGATTTTCAAGACCCGATACCTGCCGCGCAGTTCCTCAGGACAGCCTTGAATCCGGCAGACATGAACGCTCAATCGGTTCGCCTGGCAGCGGACTCCCTCATTTTCATTGACCCACAAGAAATACCATTTTGCTCAGCGCAGGTGAGCAGGAGGCCAGAGAATGGTCAATCGCTTATTGTGGAACGAATTGAACCTCTTCCAGGGGCCAATGTCGGGGACATCAAGAAAGATATACGTGACCTCGCTAGACGGTTGAGCGGCTCCGATGCCATGGAATTCGGTCTCCTTAGCTGCAAAGGATATATCCACCACCGCACGACCGACTCTTCTCAATCCACGCCAGATGCATTTACCATTATCTTCCGAATGCCAGCACAACATCTTGAACCTCGCTCTCTCCGAGCTTGCTTTCAGGATATGAAGCATAGCCACTCACTCTCCGACCGGTTCAAGTTAGCGAATGAGCTTGCGAAAGCAGTGTACTCCATTCACTTGTTTGGATTTGTCCACAAGAACATCCGACCAGAAACAATCTTACTTTTGGGGAGTAATCAATCCTCGATTGGATCTGCCTTCCTGATTGGGTTTGGAAGCTTTCGCATAGCCTCTGGTAAAACTCTGCGGAAAGGCGAAGCGTCCTGGGAACGAGGCCTTTACCAACATCCTGACCGCATAGGACCCATTTCCTCCAGTGATTATATCATGCAGCATGATATCTACAGTCTTGGTGTATGCCTGTTAGAGCTGGGGCTGTGGGAGTCTTTTCTGTCGTACGATAAGTTGTCCCCGGCAAGCCATGGCATTGCTTCAACCCCTACTCGCGCTCCTATTCTGGGATCAGGGGGAGGGTTATATTTTCAAGAACATCTCCTCTCCTTGGCGAAGGGTGAACTACGGAAGCGAATGGGAACCAGATACTCCGACGTTGTTGTCACTTGTTTGACTTGCTTAGACGCTAATAATGTCGATTTCGGAGATGAGGTGGATTTTGAAGATGCTGATGGCATTGAAGTAGGTGTGAGGTATATTGAGAAGGTATGTTTTCTCTAACCCAAATGTTCTGGAAGGTCGACCTCTAACATATTAGCAAAGGTAACGATGCGACTAAATAGTATGTGCGTCTGAGTCAATCGTACCAACTAGATAAAACGTTCTAGTATAAAAGGGGATAGAATACATGAGTCCGCGACAACTAAAACAAGAAACGTGTCCCGGTTGGGGGTAAATATACTTCCACTCACTGGCCCTTGTATCGCCGCACTAATAATTTGGCAATTCTTTTCCTGTATCAGCTTTCCAGACCCTTACCATACTATCGCTGCTGGAAAAGCATCCATGGATGCCAACAAGTTTCCGTCGGGGGAAAACACCAAGTGTCGATCATCTGTTGAAGTGTAACCATCGAACTCGCCAATTCTGCGAAATTCCTGGAGTTTGAAAGCCCCGCCTTCAGTTTCAATAACATCCCAGAGAACAATTGTCCAGACCAACGGCTTCTCCTCGGGGTGCACAGAGGTCGCTAGAACCTTTCCATTCGGAGAAAAAGCCAGTTCTTTGGTAAGTAGCTGAAACACAATTTGACCAAGTGCCCAGATATCTGAGGCAAAAGGGGTGCCGCGCTCAATTAAACCGTGTAGCTCGGGGGGCTATATATCTCCATGTTCCACGTAGGGCTGTAGAAGGGCCAGAAGCTTCTTCTATACGCTTGCTGATACCGAAGTCGCAGATCTTGACCCACCATTCATCGTGTGGTTGTGATTGTATGAGGATGTTCTGCAACAAGGATATTAAATTGTGAGTATTGTCATCTGACATAAGTACACTGACGTTTGGTTTAAAGTCTCGATGTGCGAAGTTATTGTCGTGCATCATATTAAAACGTGAAAATGACGCCAGAAATGGCCGCCTTGCCAGCACTCTTTCTTTGCAATTCCACCAGTGACCAAACCACGCCGAAAAAGCTTCCAAGGTTTTCGGAGGCTATTGACCGATCTACGATCCGCCGCAACTAAACACAAAATCCAGGAAGATATAGGAGTGAGAGTATTGATTCTGCTACCTAGTATTGGAGCAACTCCAAGTCTCTGCATCGAAAAGTGCACATGTCACATGTGGATAGTGTCTACCAAATCCCTCACCACAGCTGATATAGAACACCCTCTAGCGACTCAAAAGAGCCCACTACTTGCAGTACTGATATCGGGAACGTCAGCGTTATAGTTTGAAATATCGGAGGATACAAAGGACATACCCAGTTTTCACTTCCGGATTGCCGGACGCATTTTTTGCCTTCGCAGCACTTGCCCTGGCCGTCACCGGGGACATAATCGCCGATTCTGCAGAGGTCCCCGGGACAATGGCAGGAAGGGAAATCAGGACAGTTACCAGCGGCCAAGGCCAGGCCGAGGAAAGAGGCGATCAAGAACATATATTTCATTTTGCTGGACTGAGGGAGTTAGTGAAAGTGTTTTCCAAGGTTGAAGAGAAGAATAGTATATACCGGACGGTTGTAGTGGAAATAATCCTAGTGAAAGATAGTAATCTTGAGAGATAATTGTTGATGAGGAATTGAGATCCTGGGAAGAATATCAAGCTATACTTATAGTTTTGAGTGCTGTACCGCGAGTTAGTATTAATATTGAATTGTTATACTATTCTGTTTGTAGAGAATGAAGATCATCTTGGCAAGGCAAGGCAGCCAGACGGCTTGCTGAATAACTTGGGAGGCCTAATGCTGTACTTGGTAACATGAAGCGCTTGATGCACTGTCCAAGACCTCTGGACGTGATGCCGGAAGTAAGCATACTTGAAGGATCATGCAGGATCCAGCAGGGACAGCTCACGATTGAGAGAGCAAGGTGGGGGAGTGGAACAGGGTCGTAACCAACATTCAGATGGTGGTCCTAATTGGCACATCTCCCAAGGCTCATCACAAGTTGACGATTTACAGGCCACCCGCTACCTGGGCACGGTGGCCTGCATAGTAATCATTATATAAGGAAGTTGATCTGCGCCAATGCCTTGACAATGTAACCATGATAGATCCCCACAGTAAGCATTAGTCAAACCGATTTCGAAAATGACTATACAATGTAGATAAATTGGTTATTTACTGGATGAAAATTTATCTTTGTCTAGATCCATATCACTTCAAGGGTGAGGATGTTTTGCTTAAGAAAACCGATGAAGTAAGTAGGTCTGTATAGGGTGTAGACCAAACATCATACTATCACTATGCATATCTGATTCAGAGTCTCGATGCGATTCGATATTAAAAAGGCACGGTCATGTCAAAATGAGACTAGCAATTCATGTGAAGAAACTGGTCGAACTGATGTCCACCCTTTATCTGCCATCCTCAAGTTGTACAGAAGCCGACAACCTTGGAAAATGGCTAAGCTTTAGGCGTCCCACAAAGGCGGGGAGAAGATCATTTCCATTTCCATTACCCTGTCTTTTTTCGGTCACAGAACTAATTCGCCTCTCCCTTCAGACCATGCATATACATTGTAACCTCGGCCATTCAACTCTGTGATGTGGCCAATAACACCTCACTTCAAGGAATGCATCGCAATTTCAGGATCTTGCCAACAACTGGGCTGGGCTGCAGCCACCATTTACGGTCTGCAGGACAATATTTTGCTCGCCCCTTTTCTCTGTCTGGAATGCCAAAAAAATAAACAAAATGTTAATAAAGGATGGATATGCTCCATCTTCCAATCTCGTGTCGAGCATCGATTTCGTCTAGCCTACATCAATGGAGAAGGAGGTAGTAACTGATCCTCTACCGCAGGAGATCCCAAGCGACGCACCCGATGAAGGGGGGGTCGCTATCTCGCCCCGCGGCGAATACTTGGATGGTCGTCTCTCTCACCATTGCCCTTTGCCTAGGTGTCTTTTGCATGTCATTGGTAAGTGGAACCCTGTGATTCCAAACTCCAGAAACTCCTGGATTCCCAAGACTCGGTTCGAGGGGAAGATCGTCTCGTCCAGTTTCAGCACCTCGACTACCAGCTGGATATGGTTCGATCTCAGTTGAATTTGCTGAAATCGGATTCTATCGAGGAAATCTATCCCTGCTCTGATGCTCACAGTGGAGTGTTGGAGCTCTATACGTCTAATTACACAGTGCAGTTTTCGAAATTTGTGCTACGGGATCAGTCACTCCGATGCAGGTGAGCAACGCTTGGAGTCAACTAGTGCACCGTCATGTGGCCTTGTCGGACGACTCTCATGAAAGAGCCAAAGGTTCACACAGATTACCTTCATGTGGTCCTCGACAAGGGACTAGCTCTAATTCTTGCTCTTTCCTCGCAGCAAGAATGCCCTTTCGGAACTGAAAAGCCTTGAATCAGTCAAATCCTGGGGCCTGTCGCCACCACACCGGCTAATCATCGGTCAGGGCCATTCCGGGGCGATCTTCATAAGGCTGGAAACCGGCTGCGCCCTGATTGACGCCTTTTCCATGACCATCCTACTAGAGGAGCTTTCTCTCCTGCTCCAAGGTGAGCCTTTGCCAGAGCAAGGGATCTCGTATCGTGAATATCTGTCTCATCTGCGCAGCCAGTCATCTTCAGAAACATTGAAATACTGGACACAGGCGCTTTACGGAGTTTACCCTTCCCACCTTCCCAGAGTCCCTGCCACGCAGTCACCTCTGCCTCAATCTCGCTCACAGAGCCGCTGTCTGCCATTTGCACAATTAAAGCGTCTAGATTCCTTCTGGCGCTTCAATAATCTCACCATCACCAACGTTTTCCAGCTAGCATGGGCCTTAACCCTCGCTCACTATACCAATTCCCGCGATGTGTGCTTCGGAACCATCACATCGGGCCGTGATCCCCCTACCTTGAAGTGTGCAATATTGTCGGATCATTTTTCAACGTTCTTCCGTGTCGAATTGCGATTGATCCCACGCGCACGGTGATAGACGCCCTGCAACAGAACCAGGAGGATATTCAGCGTCGAAATGACCACCAATACTGTTCCATACCAGGCACGATCCGCAAATCTGGAATAAGGAGCATGGACAACGACCAGCAGCTGTTTAATACAATCTTGGCAGTTCAGAACCCATTCTCAACACAATCATCCACTGCAAAAGATGGGAGCAACGAGATCGATATCGAACTCATCGATTTGGAGGATGCAACTGAGGTAAGCGCCTTTGGAACTTGAACCACGATAGGACCGACTAATCATAATTCTTTTAGTATGACCTCTGCGTTGCTATTCTTCCCGCCGCTTCCCACCTCAAGGTGGAACTGCGCTATTGGTCGACGACCGTATCTGAGGAATATGCTTCGGATATTCTGGATCGCCTTTTCAGCCAGCTGGAACAAATTGTGCATCATGCGACCAAGCCATTGAGTGTCATTACTGGCATTGGATGACAACCATGTATCTCTTTCGACTATGCCCCTTTCATGATTGCTCCTTTGATGAGAATACGAAGTTCGAGGTCAATTATAACGTGCTCTTTTGGTGTCTAATAATTTTCAACTGTTTACTTGATATTTCCACGTTATGTGCTCGCAGATACTCCCGGGTCCAATTGACAATAATATAAAGCATTGAATACTGGAAGAAGTTGATTTAAAGGACTTTGTCCAAGTCTACGAGTGCACCAAGCATCAGATTCCAAGGCAATATCATATCCTAGAACTGGTCTAAAATAATAAAAGAGAAACAAGACAACAACACATAGACAGCCACCGACATCGTGGTCAATGGATGAAACGCCATTCGCACCCGTTTTCCATACCCGAACACGGTTCTAAGACTGGTTCCAACTCAAATTTTGAGGGAGTTCGTCGCGGAAGGGAAAATATCGAAAAAGGAAAATCCATGTACACAAAAGAAAAGGGGAAGGGGAAAAAGACAAATAAAAAGGCAGACAGGTTGAGGGCATCAGTCCGGGCGAGTACCGCCGAAAATCAAAAGACAAAAATATCGTTGCCCCATAGTCGCTATGCCATCGCAGGAGAAAATAAACGGAAATCACATGTCCATCAGCAGTCCATCTCCTCCGAGACGTTATTTTGTGGAATTGCTTCGATGCAAGATCTGTACATTGGTTGCACTTGTACCACTGCCGACCGATCGTCGTCGCGGGCGAATCTCACTGCCGCTTCCGCTCCGTCGCCGCCGGCCAGTGTTTCGAATCGAGCCTCGGCGTCGTGTCTGGAGCAAACGGACGTTTTCACGTTAGAATCACGCTGGCTGTACATGGGCGGACGTGGTCTCTTAGCAAAAGACAAGAACGAGGGCGATAGGGCCAGATAAAAGAAGTATTTCGCATAGGAATGCACGTATCTGGGCAATGCAGCACAGATCAGAGATGCACTGGACTTACCGAATTAGGGGTGCCTTCCCGGCTGGGCCGTTCCTTGGAATCGGGATCCTCTTGCAATTTCAGGGAGTTCAACCGCTTTTGACTCTCATGAGTCATGGCCTCTACCTCATCGATCGGCTCCGGCACGTCAAGAGCGGGGGTGGTGGTGGGGGAATGCCATTCTTCCGATCTTTGGCCTGTTGTTCAATCACCTCCCACCGGTCCGCGCGAGTCTTTTCGCGTTGGTCTGCGTTGTTCTGGTGCTCGGTGTAATCGTGAGAGCATTCATCGAAGAGTTGCGGGTTGATCTCCATGAACATCTTCATGGCATTGTAGACCATGCTGTGAATTGTTCTGATTGAAGGGTTAGCTTAGCTCATATCCAAGTCAGTAGCACTATGCAGATCGAACTCACCGGTTCCAGTGTCCCTTCGAGTTCTCGTAAAGCGGAGCAAACATAAGCGGGAGAATTGTCTCCACATTGTCGCTTACGAGATTACAGAAGTATTCATTGTTCCAGAAGTACAAAGCACGTTCAGCAACCTGGAAATGGGGACTGGCAACAGACTTGGCCAACTGATTGAACAGAGGCTCCTGGACTTTGGCGAACTCGCCCGGATCCATCACCTCGAAGATGTCTTCCACCTCATTCAGGTACATGACTTCCTTAGTGCTATTAGTCTTAGGCCAGAAGCGCAGTAAGCCGAGAACAACCTAGACGTGTTAGTTAGTACTCGAGGTATGATGGAGAAAGATAAATGGGAGCTTACATCTTCAGTCAATGAGGAGTCCTTCTCCAAAAATTGCACGATGCAGTAGGCCAATTGCGGGTGGTACATGCTGAGGCTCTTCACCTTGTGCATGGGCAGGAGCACTCTGGTCAAGAAGAGCTTGTGTTCCTCCTTCAGCGGCAAAGCGAATCCGTTGATAATGGAGCCCAGAATTTCGAGCAGTTCAGCGATTCCGTTGTGGCGTTCTGTTTCGTACATGAACTGGAAGAAGACGTTGTTGATGGATCGGCGGATGTATGACCGCAAGTTCAAGAACTTTCCATAGATGCGATGCAGAGTTGTCTTGAGGAAGTCACGTTCCCGGGGATCTTCTGAGTCAAATAGGTCCAACAACTATAAGTAGCATTAGCTTGCATCCAACATTAAAACTAAGAAACAGGAGACATACCGAAAGCACAAACTGATGGTCGATATAACCCTTCGCGATGTTCGTGTTGAAATCCTGGCTTTCGATGAATCTCAAGAAGAATTCATACACGACTTGGATATGAGGCCAAGCCACTTCCAACACCGGCTCATCCTCCTCCGGGTCAAATGCCTCGCCTTGGGGCGTCATAGGCGGAGGAATAGGACGGAACAGGTTCTTGGCGAACATCTCTACCACACGAGGGTACATGGGCTCTGTAATGACCGACCGATTGTTGGCGACATAATCTAAAAGTTCATGTAGCGCCAGCCTCTTGATCTCCTTGGACTTCATATCGGCTGTCGGGTCATTGAAATCAAAGATGATGTTGCACTGGTCGATCTTTTGCATGAACAAATCTTGGCGCCGGTTGGGAGGTACTTCGTGGAAGCCCGGCAACTTCTCCAGTTCTCTCTGGCGCTGATCAGAGATGTCGAATCGCGACGAGTGTTGGCGTTTGGGAGTCCGGATACCTTCCGACATGTCCTTAGGAGTTGTCTGTAGGCGGTCGAAGACATGAGACTTCCTAGGAGGTGCGAGATCTCCGGGCATCGTTTCGGCGGCACCAGGAGGGGGGACATGCTACAGAATCCAATCATTAGCAGATGCGAATAGTGACCAAAGTGTGAAACGGCTGTACTTACGGGTGCGCTTGGGCTAATTATGACACTAGGAGCCGCCGGCTGACCTTGCCTACTCGGAGTTCCTGGTCCATTGCCTGGCTGTCCTGCAGCGCCCGGTTGGGGTATATAGTGTTGAACCGGGGTGCCGGGGTGAGGTGCGCCCGCAGAAGGGGTTCCGGCGGGGGAAGCGTTGTCCGGCGATTTGTTTCGCGAGTCATTGAGGGAGGTTGTGGAGGATGTGGGTGTCCCTTGGTTAGGGGAAGAAGACTGCTGCGCGTTTGAGATTCCGAGGGATTGATTCTGTGAGGCGGAGCTGGAGTCTTTCTTTTTCGAGGACTTGTTGTCTTTTGCCCGCGACAACTGGTCATGCTAAAAGCAAGGCATAGAAGGTTAGACGAGTTGCGAAATGACACCGCCTGCATGGCGAAGAAGGGGATAGATCGGCAGAAGTGATCATGTGGTGAGGTGCGCTTAGGCAGGATACGCGGACAACTAACCACTCTCTGTCTGAAACCCTTCATTTTGATGATTATGTAGATGGCCACATGTACTCGGCTAGGTTTCTTGGTGCCAGTGCAGCCAGGCGGCGCACTCTAGCCGGAGTGAATCGAGGGGAACCAACAGAAATAGCCGCTCAGGATAGCCACGAGGGGGGGAGTGTTTGGATCGACCTAATAGGAGATTCTCATAAGCGGTCCGGGTCACACAGCATGTAAGACGGTTATTGAGAAGAGAAATGGATCTGAAATGCCAATATCAAGCCCTGGAAATACGTAGAGGGGTTCAATGGCAACAGCATCAAACGCTCCAAACAATGTGCAGTCGCAGCACGCGCACGGAGCACGACGATGCTAAGAAGAAAGGGCCAATACAGGCAATGGAAGACTAGTGTCCGATCAAACGTACCTCCGTAGTTATGAGTTGGACAATTGACGGATCGAGTGGGAGTGCTCGGTGAGGGTAGGTGTTATAGGACAAGCTTGGTCGGCGCTGGAGGATCTCCGTGTCGCTTAGTGGCAGGCTGGGAGCGGGGGATTTGGGAGCACTAGAGGGATGGGCACTCAGGTCGCAGCCCACTGCGAAAGCACGAGAATCTTGATCTGACTAGCAAGAGGTAAAGTCGATGATGTACACAAGACCAAATAAAGATGATGGCGTTGGGTTGTGGAGAGGAGGAAGGGAAGTGGATTGTTGTTGAGGTGTAAGGAAATGCGGGTTGCTTCTCCTGGCTGCGATGGTGATGAGAGGGGGACCACGCCCAAGTATTTTGCGGAGGGCTCTACGGTTTTTATTTAATTGAACTGGATCTCTTCGTGCTTCAATTTCAGAAAATGAATTTACTCGACTATATTCTTCTACCCTCCTCTTCTCCTGCCACCACTGTCGTATGCTTTTTCCCGCCTGTTTCAAATTATGCTTATGTCATTGTGTCCACGTGACCTACAGGTGGGACTCGAATTTCAGGCACAGGCACAACGTCACTAATCTGAGACATCCAGCCCTTGAGGTATGGAAGGTGTTTAACCAATTCTAAACACGTATCCAGGTAGTATATACAAGTTCTCAAGGTGATATATCCCTTCAAGTCAAGCCAAGCAGGTCCTGGAGATGGAAATTCATATAGAGGCCTGTGCTTTTGCCCCACACGACCACCACATCACCTGTGAGGCACACGAGTTGGTCTAAATAGGAAATTCATCCTTCATTCTTGAAAGGTAGATATGTCAATCAATGTTATGACATTCAATTGTTAGGTATAGTACTCCTGGGACTATACCGAGGTTCCAGTCTCAACATTTTTGTAGATGTGGAAATATATATCATGACAAAGGACTACAGTAACTCACCTGTTCTTAGCCTAGTGCGTATTTCTTCTTTTCATGTCATGAAGATATCGCGCTAGATTCTAAATATCTGCTATGCATGTAGTTAGAAAGCAACCAGAGCTGGGACTCTCATTATAACTTCACTAGGAGATCATGTGGAAATAAATACGGCTTTATTCCACTAGACCACCATGTTTAGGGCCTAGGGAGGGCCATATCCCAGGTTGACAGATCACTTAGACCACAATAGGGTAAGAGCAACTATATTGTGTGTATAAATGGATAATTTGAACAGTGACAGTAGTTCTCTGCTCTTCTCTTCTTCACACCACGACAACAGCAGATACAGAGTTCCAAAGAAATCTGCTCCACAACAAGCCTAGTCAGTCATCCTTACTCGCAATCCTCACCATATTTCTCAATCCGTCAAGTTTCTTGACCAGCTAACTCTTACTTAGAACTTTGACCATTACTTACCTACTGACCGTCACTTGATCAGCGGCTCTTACTTTCCTCCTTCATGCCCACCACTCTCTGACATTTACTTCTCGCAGTCACAACTTTCACAATGGCGGACTTCATTATGCCTCGGACCAATTGTCAGGATCCCGACGTGCTATCTTCGGACAAAAAGGCCAAGACCCGACCCAAGTTATCCAAAGCACACATTAACATGGCTACCCTTTGGTGTCTGCAGTGTTTTCGCTATGCAGTCCGCCAATTGGATGATGAGCCCCCCGTCTTTGACGTGCCGTGCAGAATCAACATTGCTTGCCCCCAAAGCTGTGTTATATGTGCAGTAGAGGGAAAAAATGTGATTGGGTAAGTCTTGACCGTTGCTGAGCCCTTCTGATAAGATATGCTTACATGGATTGGGACCTTCTGCAGATTCCCCAGGGTATCCGGGGCCACGTTTTCGAACTGATGGCCTTGATCAAATTCGTGGAGAAATACTGGACCGACGACATTGAATACATGGATGGTGACAAGTCACGGGAAAAGGCCCTCGCGGAACTTGCCACCACAGTAAATGATCTCTGTACTGCCTTCGATGACCTGGTCGAGACACATAGAAAGGACCATATGCTGACAGGCAATGTCTCTGACGTGAGTTTGCTTGTGTTCTACATCTGTGAGTATCTGTTAATCTGTGCACAGGAAGCTAAGGCTGGCTATTTCGCTTGGTGCAAAGCTAGACAGCATATGGTCCGTCCCAACACCCAGTACATCAAGGGGCTCCATTTCCAGTACGCCCGCCGAGCTACGGAGCATCTCCGCCTTCGAATGGGTGAAGAAGCATCAATCAGCTGGGCCGCCGCGATTTGTGCCTTCTATCTAGCTGTCACTGCCACAGTTACAAAGTATGTCACAAGCGGGAGCGATGTTGATTACATTGATGACCAGTTTCCTCTGGAGATGCCTGAGCTTTGAGTCAATTGACTTGCTTTGCCCGATTCATTGCGGTGTGCCTTCATGACCGCATTAGCTATATTGCGATTCGCTTTTCGTTTGCTTTTCATTTTCTTTGCGAGGTTTCCTGTTAATGGCGTGGTGAGGCGTCTATTGACCAGGACCTCTTTGATGTTTTCCCGCATGGTTCTGCGGTTGTTTCAGAGCCATTGCATAGCATATTAAATGCATTATTTTCTAGCGGGGTTCCCTACTTTCTGATCGTTTAGCGCTCTCTACTCTCCAATTATTAAGCGAGCACATGCATATGTAGTATTTACCATAAAACAAGTTTTACAATGTACTAGGCAGCGTCGCTAGAAATGGCCAGCGGGACCACAGAATAGCCTTTATGTGATGCCATTCGGAGAGACCAACGACAACAAGGTCGCCAACGAGAATGTGGAGGTCAAAGAGAGGAGACATCAGACTTAAAGCCAAGCAGGAAACCCACAAGAGGGTAGTGACATACGGCAATCGCATGGATAGAGAGAGATAGAGCTGATAGAATAGCATACGTTCCAATGTTAATCAACCTGCTAGCCTCTACCGATGGATATCTGGGTGACTTCGTACACTTCTTCAGTGCATACATAGTTTCTGATGTAAGATGATCACTGCATTCTCGCTATTTCAAACTTCCCATCTCATTATCGGATTCGATAACCATCCCTAAAGGTATAGTTGTCACTAGCGACTTAAGAAATACAGAAGCACGTCGAGCAAACAAAATACAGAGATGATATCCATTGGAGATAGTATCTATCCTATTATATCGATTTCGATTAATATGTTCTTCAACAAAGTCCCTCAACGATTGTCACAAGACATCGTTATGGGAGTTAGGTACACCATAGCTGGTAAACTGTTTGAGACACCTATAGTTACATTGTTATTCGCCGAGTCTCGTCCAAACCCATACAACCTCACTGAGAGAGCATTAGAACCAGTGGTAGTGCGGCCAGTAAGGCTCTCCTTAAGCTCAGACACGTGGTTGCTGCAGCACTGCTTTTGTCACCCGTGCTACTACCACCAGTAGCTGCAGCGTAGGTGTAGTAAAGACTAGCAGCTGTCTGCGTGCCTAAACTATTAACAGCAGTGGTACTAGGCAAACTGGATGCCGAGGTCATTGAGTATTCATTTGCGAAAGAATAGAATCCTGTCGTTTGAGGACTGGCGCTACAGTAGGCGCTAGACACCCCCATCACGTAACTCTGCGGGAACCAGTGGTAGCCTTTGTGGAAGTTAGCCTTTTGATCGAACCAAGAGAATAGCAGAATGGAAGGACAAGCTGTGGAAAAGACATACCCTCGATGCCTCCATGTTGCCTGTAACATTCCTGACAACCGGCCGCCGAGTCAAAGAAGGGATATATGTCACAATAGCATTGCTGCTGGACGTCCCAGTCGCCCGAATAAGGCTGAAGGCCCGTAAAACTGCCGTTCGTGTTTTGGAAGTAGCAATTAGAATTAATCGCCGCTTGTCGTTTACACGGAGCCTCGTCGATCAGATAGGTAGGCTTGGGAGAGATGGCTTCAGACGCGTCATCCCGGCGGTAATTGTGGTGTGACAACGGATTATGCGGCAGGAAGCATGCGTTGTAGAGATCAATGTCCAGGTCGGTCAGACCAGAGTCCTGGGACGAGACAACATAGAACCTGGAGATATAGGCACCGTTTGGGAATACGGGGTACTCGTTGGAGCTGGTGCCTGAAGCGGTCGTGCTAGAGGACGTGCTGGTACCAAAGATGGTGTCGTACCCGTAGGACGAAGTATTTTCCAGGGAGGTGGTTGTAGAGGTTGAGGCAGTCATAGGCATAGTGGACGAAAGGGGTGATCTGTTGAAATGACTTCCATCCTTGGAAAGACGATCTCGGGGGGGAATGCTTGGCAATACCCGACCAATCACACCTCTTGGTCTCTGGAGTCCCTCCCAGAATGGCAGTCGGTATTATATTTGGCGACAAGAGAAGATAAACTGTTGGCTTTGTATGGACAATAAACACATGGTATTGCTAATATTCGAGGCTGGTAGTGAAGATCATTTCATGACTGGCTGTAATCGGATGACTGCTCTGACCGTCGCTTACTTGACCGCTGTATGTTTGAAGCTACCGCTGGATAAGTATAGGACAGGCGGCAGGAAAAGCCTGGCATCGTTTATTCTATACTCCGTACTTGTCGTCAGGTTTTAGAATTTGAGCGATGTGGTAACTGGGCGGGATTTACTGAGACCAAGGGAACACACGTCATTGACCACTTTGATAGCTACTGTAAAAGTAAAAAGGAAACAGCTGATCGCATTGTTTCACATCTTCAAATGTCAATTCAACCAATTTCCTCGAGATGTCTCTTCGACGCAAAGCTCTGTCTTCCAAGGTTGTCAGTTGTAGTCGGCCCCGGGAGGTCTTCGATGCGATGAGTCAGCAAAATCCCGCGATCCCTGTGGGTGCACTAACCGCTTGTGGAATGTAGCCTCGATTCTTTCCCTAACCCTGAGAGATATTGCTGGGACCCTTTAATCGTGGCGAAGGTGAAGAAAAACACAGAACCCCATATAAACAGCTGTATTCAACTGAAAGCACCGACGGGAAGTGGAAGCGTTGCCTTTGATCTCATTTGCGCAATCCTACCCGTGAGCAAATCAGAGACAACGACAACCAACATCAGTTAAGACTCGAAGCCGGCGCAAATGATTTAGCAACCACATCATTCACAAGTCTGATAAAGACCAATGAGCATGGATGATGAGCGGGGGTCCAGAACTGCCCCCTTCTACGCAGTGCCATCCCGTCGCCTTGTCAGCGTCGAGCACCCTGCCGTGGTGCGCAATGTCGACAAGGCGATCGAGACCTTACAAGGCGACCCGGGAATAAAAACAGTGAGAACACTTGTCTGTTTGAGAGAATGTTGAATATGTACTGATATAACACAGATTCTGAACCCGGCAGATGGCATACTAGCTAATCTAGTGTTGCGACCAGAGGATGCCATGGCTCGATCAGTCCAGTCAACGAGCATCCAGTCAAACAATGTCCTTCTAAAGATCACTGTTCCCAAGCGGACAGGACGGAAGCGCAAGAGAGGCTCAAACGAGCCTTTCCCTAGACGCACCAGAATCGGAAGCATCCGAGCCACCACCGCGACGGACTGCTAAGGATCTATTGCGCAGTCTGCGTGATAACCCTTCCAAGTACCAGATTGAGCCAGTCGGGAGGGTTGAACGCACACATGTGTTCCGAGGTAAGTTCACTACTTTGATGCTCCATTGCCAGCTTGCTAACGTCTGATGTCAGGAATCCCTGATTTTGTTTACTCAACTACGGCGAGTTCATTTACGAACCGGTTCCGAGACCAAATTCTTCCGTTTGACTGTGAGTATACTTGACATGCACTCCTGTAGAAACGTACTAACAAGGGACAGTCGACAAAATGAAGCAATTTGACATCGACATGGCAAAAGGCGCCACCGCAAATGCAGATCTCATCCCACCGCCATCATTCAGCCACGGAGATGTCCCGTTCCACTACATGTAAGAGCCACCACGCCGAAAACAGCAAGGCAAGACCACCAGACCACTAACCTCTCCCTCCCAGCTACCGGCAAAACCCAACAGTGAAACAAGCAATTGGCCGCTCTGGCCAACTGGAAACAGTGAACACACAAACCGCCAACAAAATCCGAACCTACCTAGTGCCCTACGATATACCACAGGTCCCAACAGAGCCACGCCCGGACATGCTCCCAATAAGCGCACTGGACGCTGGCATGCTGCGAACAATCGCCACTCTAAACGCCCTATACGAAAAACAACCCGCCTGGACACGTCGCGGCCTACGCAACAACCTAACAACGGACGAAGAGCGTCTGAACCTGCGGCACGCAATTCCATACGTGGGATACATCTTCCGATCCGGGCCCTGGCGCGACGCAATCATCAAGTTCGGTCTCGACCCACGCACCTCACCCGAGTACCGAAATTATCAAACCTTCATGTTCCGACTCCTGGCACGAGAAGCGGAGCTCGCGCGCGACGGAGGCGGCGGCCGACGACACAATGTCCCACGACCGAGCGACATGCGCGTAGCCGAAGACGAAGGCGCCAGCGGGCCGTCAACGGGCCATAGATTCACCGGCAAGCAACCGTTTGCGCAAGACGGACGGATCTGGATGGTTGGCGAGATCGAGGACGCGCAGCTGCGGGCTTGTTTGTATCCACCTGATGCGGGGCCTGAGTTCCTGCGCAGCGAGTGCGATATTATTACTGATGGGTGGTTTCGGAATGGCACGCTTGCGAAGGCGAAGACGATTATGCGGAATAAGATTCAGGCATTGATGGAGGGGCGGGAGCCCGTTGATGAGGATTATACGAAGATTATGCGGCTTCCTGACCATGCGCGGTCTGAGGCCGATTTCCCGTTGTTCACGCTTGATCCTCAGACTGCGTCGCCGAAGGAGATTAGTCTGGCTACGGAGGTTCGGGCGATTATTCGGAGTTCGCCGGTTTGGAGGAATTTGACGGCTAATGCTGGGTTGGTTAGGAGGGAGGCTGGGGAGGGTAGGGGGAGGGTAAAGGGGAAGCAGGCTTTGAAGGGGAAGAGTGTTGAGCCGGAACCAGAGCCTGAGCCTGAGCCTGAGAAACTCGATGAGGAGAGTGAAGGTGAAGAGGCAGAGATTCAGCGGAGGGAGATGCTGGCTGATCAGGTTGCGGATGCCGCTGCGGCGAGGGATGCTGATGAAGCTGATGATGACGATGAGGCCGACGGTGATGGTGACGGGGACGGGGATGATAGTGATGACATGGATGATGACGAGGACGAGTAACGGGACTCCCATCTTAGTTTAGGATTGGCTACGTCTAGAAAAATGATAATTTGTGCTCAATGTAGTTATCAAAATAATCATTTTAATCCTCGGTAAAGATAGTCAGACTCGGAATACATCGTGAAGCATCAGACATAACACAGACAATAACTCATCAATTAGACAGGATAAAGAAAAGTCAACCTGAGTGGTCACAATAGTGAAGCAAAGAGATACATAATTCGTAGCAAGCGTTATACCAAAGCACCGTATAGACTGAACCCCAGTGTCAAAAAAGAGACCAACACCAAGCAGAAAGACAAACGCCAAAGAACCAAGCAAATAGGTATAGGTATCGGGGCCAACCAGGCCAAAGAACAGCGCCACTGAGCCAGATGCAGATGCAGATGCGAAGGATGACGAGAAGACAGATCAAAGAGCAGACTTCATGCTATCAGTTGAGTCCTCGTGATTTTGATTCTGGGTTTTGGCAGGAGTAACATCCAAAACAGGAGCAATGGAAGTAGTGGCAAGGGTCTGCTGACTCTGCGCAAGAGGCGAAGAAGGCTTCTTAAACTCGGGCGAGTGCTCTTCATCATAAATGATTGCGTACGAGAAGGCATTGCAATCTTCGGCATAGTATTCGGCAGCGTTGAGCTCACCGAGAGGAGCACGGGTCTCCTCCATCTTTGCTGACTTGCGAGCGGCAGCAGGGTTGGTGGCAGTAGACTGACGAGCGCGGGGGAGTTCGATGCCCAGTTCATGAGGGGGAATATTCTCCTTTCCACGAGGGCAGGGGTCGGATTTCCCCTCGTCGTCGCTGATATCCAGGACAGTGGTTGAGTGTTGCATCAGGTTGGTGTTTTCCTCCTGCTCGGTGTCGACATGGATATCGAAGCACCACGAGGCCGGGGCCTTGGGGGCAGGAGCAGGGTTGGGAGTTGTAGATTTGGCAAGAGCGGAGGCAAGAGAGAAGGGACGAGCGACGCCGCGCTTGCTATATTGCTCTGAACGGGGCTTGGCGATGAGCGAACGGCGAGTGGCTGACTTGCTTGACTTGGGAGGTGGGGAGCGACCAGCGGGCTTAAGGATGGGAGCTGATTTGGGAGTTGTAATTGAGATCTTCGAGGGAGTCGAGCGAACGGGGGAGATGTTGATACGGGTGGAAAGAGCCATGCGGGATGTTTTGACCGGCTTGGACGCGCTCTTGTCCTCGTCGTCCTCCAAGGTACGTTTGCGTTTTGTGGAAAAGCTGGCTGGATTGATATTCTCGGAATCGGCGTCAATGAAGATTGAGCTCTTCATACTCTTCATTGGAGTCTTCACAGACATGGCACCTGGTTGCAATTGTGAGCTAGACCATATTTGGAACATCAAAACATGGGTCATCACGTACCATTTTGCTGGTTCTGACGATTAAGTTTCGAGCGCATCAACGGCATCGTGTCCAAACAGCCCAAAGGCTGACGAGTAGGAGTCATAGTGAGGGTGGCCATGGTGGAGGAAGAAGGGATGTTTTGTTTTGGTCTTTTGGTCAGCGCCAAGTGGGGGAGGATTGGCGGTCTACAATAGGCACTAGACAGGCCGATCGCACGATTTGAAGAGAGGGTAATTGTGTAAGACAAGAGGAATCAAAAGAAATAAAATGACTGAATGATAGGAATTGGTCGGATGAAATTTAGATAAATGAAGGAATGGGTAGGATGTGGTCGACTACACAGTTGAGAGGGAGAGAAAGAGAGAGAACGAGGGATGATTTGGGGTAAAAGACGTGCAACGATGAGGTAGATATAGTAAGTTGGAACGTTAAGAGCTTCGAATTAACTAGAGAGTCTCGAGGCAAGGAGCAATGGACATGAGGAGTCACAAATGGAGGGCGAAGGGAACTATTTCAAGGCCTGCATACTCGAGCGCGTCGCGTTTTGTGGAGGCTGCCAATTCGAAAAGTGGCGTTTATGCAATTCCCAGCACAATCCAATTGACGGGTTTCATTCTTCGATGTCTCGTGCGGGAACAATGGTAATATGCAGATCACTACGCGCTTTTCCGTATACTATGGATCCTCTACTTCATACAGACCTCGGGAGTATTGTGGTATTCATATCACAGTGCCTCTGTCCTACAATCTTGTACACAATTAATTCTTCTTAATTTCCCTAGAATTGCCTGTACAAGTAAATCATTACCAAAATCACCGGGGGCAAAGGTCAAAAGTTCAATTCCCCCCCCGCTGAACACTGCATGTCGCGTATCCCTTGGACGCGTCGGTCAGCAGCCAAAGTACCCGGTACCCGGCATCCCGCCACTAGCGCATACATCGCGTAAGTACCAAATACCTCCACGTCCACGTCTTGTACGTTCCTTCGCGCGCGTCTTCGCGTTCACGTCTCTTCCTTGCGCATTGTGCGCTCATTCGTGCCGAACAGCGTCTCCAATTCCGCTAATAGTATGTTGCATGAAATGTCTAATGAAACTCTGCCAACGCATCTGTCTCCATTGGATGTCCCCCGTCCGGACTGAGGTTACCGGATGAAACCATGCATGCAGAGGCCGATCGGGGGCTGCGAGGGTTTGAGGTGAATGTGGAACATTCTACGAAGTTCGGTTTCAGGGTGAGGTTTGGAGGTGTCTGGGGGTGTCGCGCACTCAAGGCTGGGGAATTTACTCTGGGCTGGCTATCCAGGTGGTTCAAAGTAGGAATCGCCCCTGAAGGCTGTCCCAAGGCGTAGAATGATGAAGGGTTATTAATAGGGATATTACATGGACAGGGTTTCCAAGGTTTGATGGCATCTGCGCCCCTGTTCCTCGTGGGCTCGGATTATTTCCTTCGGTGGATTGATCCTTGTTGCATTCCTCGCGAAAGCCGAGAGCCTATCCTTTATGCCATCGACGTACTATCGTACTATCGCATCGGCATTCCATTATTACAGGCAGGAAATGCCGACCAGAATAGTCCACATAGTCCGTATTATCTCGTGATATAATAATGTACTTGACCACAGACTTGCTGTGCCAATTCCCTTAGATCTCATCCTCAAAGGGAATGCTATCCATGGCACCCTGACGTTCCACAGTCCGAGCCGAGGCGCGTGCAGCCAAACGCATCGCCTCGTCTATGACAGTCTTGTACCTGTATGTCTTCTCATCATCCGCAATGTCCTGCCCAGCCTTGCCCTCCGCACGACGCTTCTCACGCCACCGCGCCACCCTGACGGCATAGGCCCCAACAAATGTATCGCCCGCGGCAGTAGTATCCAGGACCCGAGAGACAGGGGCGGCTGGGATATCATTGGTGAAGCGGTGTACTCCATCACTGGGTCCAGACGAGCCGCTATCCGCGGCACTGTACCAAACGCCCTTCGCCCCAAACGTGATAAGGATGTAAGTGACACCCAATTTGTGGAAGTATCGAGCGACCTTTTCATTGCTATCCAAGCCCTCTGCGTCCGGAACCGTGCGAAGCAGTTGCTCCACAGGCGGAGTCATCAGCTCAGCCTCCGTCTCATTGAGGATCAAATGGTCGACAGCAGCGTATACATCCTCGGGCAACCCACCAGGCGGCGCAGGTGCCGGGTTAAGCATAACATCCGGGCCGCACTCAATGCCGCATTTTCCAGCAGCGCGAGCCTTGGCCTTGTAAGAAGCAATCTCACGTAGTATCCCGATAACCGTGTCGACCGGGATTTCGCCCTGCATGACGATAACATCGGGAACGGGCGCCGCTAGCGCCATGCCTAGCACCTCCGGGGTAGGCTGCATGCCGTCGTAATTTGCACCTGGCGAGAACAGAATGCGGTTCTCGCCACCGGCTGACGAGTCCACAATTATCACCGCCACACCCGTGTATGCATTCCCGATGACTTTGACTCGCGACGGGTCGACTCCAGATCTCTCAAGGGTCGGTTTAAGCAAGGCGGAGAAGTGACCGTCCAGAGCCCCTACTGCGCCCATCATCTCGACATTGACGTCGCTTGTGGAGTTCGTGGTGCCGGTTGGCTTGGCTCGGGACATGCGTCCGCATGCGACAGCTTGGTTTGCGCCCTTGCCGCCCGCGCTGGTGAAGTAGGATGAAGAGGTGATTGTCTCGCCTGGGTTTGGAAATCGGGGCGTGACTGAGACCATGTCCGCATTGAGCGATCCAATGACTCGGATAAGAGGTGGCATGATGGACAAGGTGTTTCAGTTCGGTTCGGGGATTGTAGGTCCGGGGGCTGGTTGTGTCTTTGGGTCGGGCTGGGGATGCGGAAAGTTTGGAGGGGTGTAAGTGGGAGAAGACACCAATACTGTAGATTTCAGAGATGCAGGTACACCACGCAGGGGAGGAAGACAGTCCAAAAATTCGGTCGGGTCATTGAGAGACAATCTTGGAAGGGTTGAGGTGGGAAAAGAATTAGAATGACGTCTGGGCGGGGCATCTCAGGAGTGGAATATGTGGGGCGGAAAGCCACATTTCTGTGGATCCGATCTACGTTATACAGCCACGTCTATTTTGACAACATTACTCCGTACATATCTAGAAAATTGAATAATGGCATCCTATCATCCTACTTTGCAAATAAAAATACCTTGATATTAATTGCACAATTGATAGTACCGGTAGGTATCTATTACTTGTGTTGCGAGTGAAAAAAGAAGACGAAGGAGTAACTTGGCGACGAACCTAGCAAGGGAAACGTATACGACCTAGGTCTTCCCACTTACCTTCACGGGTATCACCTCCAGCCAAAGAGAGAGGAAAAAAAAAAAAGGCCAGTAAACTAGGGAGATGTGGGAATTAAAAGAAGTTAAAAAAAATTGTATTGAGCGGAAGTTGAAACCCCCCTGGTTTGTGTACTCCTGGGGTCGAACCAGGTAGTTCACTCACCTGCCATTCTCCCTGTCACGACCTGAAAGGTAAATGCCCAGGGTCCGGTCCATCCACTTCCGAAGGAGGAGTAAGCCACTGAGCTATAAGAGGGTTTCAAGTGACAGTTTTACATTTTAGTTAAATTTAACAAACATCTGGCCAAGCTACCCACACATTACTTATATCATCTTCATCTTTTACCAGATTCTCTCAACCTTACTACATACACTACAACAGAATTGAAAATACACCAGGAGGGTTGTAAAGTGAAATAAGAACTAAGGACTAGAAAAGATTGAAACCAAACCTGCCCCTTCTTATCCATACTCACACATATTGTGTCACATTACATGTAAACCTTGACTTGGATCCTCAAGCTCCAACATTGAAGGTACACACGTCCTACCAATAGAGATAGGAGACTTTCGTATACTGGAAGTGACTACAATATTGTTGTGCTTTACTTTATCTTTTCAATCAACGCTTTGCCATATTAATCACACAACAAACTAATTTACCCGGCTAGTCAGAAATTTATCACTTGCGAGTCCATTACTCGCACAGTCGAACCATGCCTGTTACATGCTTCAGGAGATGATGGGAGGGGGCACAGGCAAGGGGGGTAGACCCAGTCGGGATCTACGAGAAGTAGACACCCGGACTGGAGCAGGCTGTGTAGGCATGCTTGTAGCGGATTTAGCAGTTGACCAGGAGCTGTTCGTTGCCGCAAAAAGCTCGTACATTGTCTTTTTCGCCAGTGTATCAGCAGCTTCGTTGCCGGGGACCCCAGAATGCCCCGGGCTCAAGTGGAGCTCGACATGGACACCGAGCCTATGCAGTGCCTTTGAGTGCTGACTAATTCTTTCCAACAGGTTGGCGACATCGTTCGTAGGGTCGTAAGCCAGGTCTCCACGAATGCGCTTCAGCGCCTCAACGTCATCGGTAAAGACAAAAACCTCCTTTGACATTGCGTGAGGCTTTGAGGTGGTATGCGGGAGGGTTTTAGCGACAGTTGCCCTTTCCTTTCCCATATCGTGAATTGCTATTTCAAGGCTGCACGCAATCCCAAACAGTTCCAGAATAGAACTGTCATCAGTGCTTGTCGGATAATACACGCCCTTTCCCTCCCAATCGGAGGTTGTTAGACACACTGGCCAGACAATACCGACTGCACCGCATAGTGCACGCTGAGACGCATCACTGAAGTACACAAGCCGTTTCTCTACCGTGTCGGGCACGGGGTGTTCAAGTATGTTCTTGGCAAAATTTAAAGCGATGGGGCCCTTGACGTCGGAGATAAAGCCAGAAAACTCGTGGCCGAGTTGCCAGCAGAACCGCTTGCTTGCCTTACTAGTGTTGTTCCTCTTCGCTGGCCTGGACGAACCTGTAGGTGGATCTGGGGATAAGGCGCGCTTTCTTTTCCGGCTGGCCTTTCCGTCAGCCCCGACTGCCACTTGGTGGCTTAACGTTTTGGCTTGTTGTTCAGGGCTGGGAATGCTTAGAGCCGACCCTGGCTGCCCTAGGCCGGGTCTAGGAGACGGATTGGTTGGTACGATGTGCCGATCCGGGTATCGTCGGGATTTGCGGCGGGGGTGTTTTGCTGGCAGGGTAGGACGGTGAGCTTTTGGTGCCGCTGAGGGGATCTCCCCAGGCTCAAGCCCCGCTGGCGTGGCCTGTGCATTGGCCTCGGCGGCGGTGTCAACGTTGTCTTTCACGGAAGGGTCAGCATTAGCTTCGACAACAGGTTTGATAGTGGGTTCGACAGCAGGCTTACCATTACCTTCGACTGCGGGATCCACGTTGCCTTTCACAGAAAGCTCTGCATAAACTTTAGTAGCAGTGTTACCATTAGCCTTGACAACAGGCTCGGTAATAGGATCGGCAGTAGGATTACCATTATCCACAGTAGGCTCAACGTTAGCTTCCACGGCAGGTTTAGCATTAGCATTGACAGCGGTGTCAGTAATGGGGTCGATAGCAGGCTCGCTATTGCCTTCGCCAGTGGGCTCAACGTTGGATCCGCCAGTAGGGTCAGTGCTTAGGTCCCTGGGTAGCAAATTGAGATCTCGATAAACTGGGCTGGAATGGCATGAAATCATTTTTTCTGTGGGAAAAGGAAGAAAAAAAAGAGGAGAATAGGAAGAAGGAGTAGGAGGAAACGGAGGACTGCTGGCAAACGTATCATTTCGACACCTAACGTGTCTAAGCTATAGCATTTTGCTACAGTAGGAACCACCAGATAACACTATATTACAGTTCCTTCATCTAGTCTCGGTACTGTTTCTATTCGATCATATGGTCTCTCCCTCTTTACCACAGCACCTACTACTACAATGCTAAGTTATAACGCCTTACTGGCCCGTGATTCTGTCTGTAGGGGTGTAGAGTAAGAAATCAATGGGAAGAAAACAGAAAGAGACAGGCAAGTTTATTTGCGCTCCATCCTATTTTGTCCGTCTCGCCAGTTTGTCTGCCTCATGATTTCCTGGGATTCTCCTATGGCCGGGGCTCAGATGAAGTTCGATGTGTACCCCAAGCTCATCAAGCGTTTTTGAGTGCCGACTGATTACTTCCAACTGACTCGAAATATCTCCGTTAGGGGGAATAAGGCAAATCCCCACTAATACGCTTGAAGGCGAAGATATCATCAGTGAAGATGAATAGTTCCTTACTCTTGGTATGCAGATGTGATCTGGTCTGTAGCAAGTGATCCTGGAAGAATTCCTTGTCCTGGGGAAGGCTTTGATTGACCATTGTGTGGGGCTTGTCGATATCCTTGATAGCCAATTCTAGGGTGCGTGCGATTCCGAATAAGTCAAGGACCGCGGTGCTATCAATCCCGGAGCGGTATGGTATCCCCTTTCCTTCCCACTCGGGGGATATAAAGCTCTTTGTCCAGACGATTCCGACTGCCACCGTAGAACGACCGTATCAAAGCGTCTGAGAAGTAGACCAGTCGCTTGCATACGTTGTCTGGAATGGGAAGCCGCAGAATATTTTTGGCAATGCCGATGGCCACATAGCCTTCCAGAAAAGAGACGAATCCAGAAACCTCCTGACCAAGCTCCCAGGAGAAACGTTTAACTTCCTTTCTGGTCGCCTTTGATAGTCTGGGAGACTCGACTAGAGAATCTGTGGAGGGCTGCTTCCTTTTCCGGCTGCCCGGTTCAGGAGACGTGTTTCTTGAACGAGTGGGCCCTTCGCTTGGGCCGGACAATTTCCCCAGTCTAGTGACAGACTGGTTCGATCCAGTAGGCGATTTGGTAAGGATTGATTCCTTCAAGCTGGAGATGGAGTTACCCAGGTCCGTGACTGACTCGGTCAGGTGGGCGATGGTTCTTTTCATGTTCGCGACTGATTCCGTCACAACCGAGATTGCTGTATTCGGACCGGTGGGAGGGTCGCTTGGACCGGGGGTTGGTTCGTTCGGGCTTGCTGGAGACTCATTGAGGTTGGAAGATGCTTTCTTCAGGACGGTAGTGGATTCGTCGAGACCTAGTACATAACAGCATTATGCTCCTTTCTCAGCCTAGAACTACTTGACAGCCTACTATAGCAAATGGGCTGTGGTGGTAGGAGGCAAAGCCGCTGCCACTGGTGGGGCTACGAAACTGCATTTCTAGCTTTGCTAGTGCGAGGCAGACCAAGTTCTGCCTCGGCCCGTTTTGACATGTCATAGGCAGTCTCGTTGGCCGGGATACCCCCATAACCTGGACTCAAATGCAGCTCCAGGTGGAGGTCCCTTTGGACAATGAGCTGAGACAGGTCACAAATCGTCTTCACCAGGGAGGCATGAGCTCCCCCCACCTTGTTGGAAAGTGTGCCAGCTAACCGCTGTAGTGCATACCAGCCATCGGTAAACACTATTACCTCCCTCATGTCGTGGGTGTGCGACATGGTTCGTGTTGAACCAGGAGGGAAAAAGGTTGACGGGGCGGGATATTGGCCAGACACGGAATAGGCTGCATTTCCGATGAAGTCGAGAGCAAATTCCATGTCCTTTTCACAAGCTGCTTCATTGCCGTGTCGGGAATAGGGTATTCGAGTATGTTGTTAGCTAAATCTAAACCCATAGAGCCCTTGACGTTGGAAAAAAATCCAGAAAACCCGTGGTCGAGTTCCCAGCAGAACCGTTTGGTTATCTTACTAGTGTTGTTCCTTTTCGACGGTCAGGGCGAATATATAAGTGGATCTGTAGATGAGGTGGGCTTTCTTTTTCCGGCTGGCCTTCTCGTCTGCCTGGGCTGCCACTTGGTGGCTTAGCGTTTTAGGTTGTCGTTTAGGGCGGGGAATGCTGGGAACTAACGCTGGCTACCCTGGGCCCGGTTGCGCAGATGGAATGATTGATCGGGCGTGCCGATCCTGGTCCACGATTGATTCCGTTAACACAGAGACTGATGTATTCAAACCAGTAGGCAAATTGTTTGGACCAGCAGTTGGTTGGTTCAGGCTTGTGGGAGATTTGCGGCCGGGCTCGTCCCGTTCTAGCTCTTCGATTCTGGCCCGGAGTTGACTTATCCCAGAATCATCCTCCGGTTGTTGAGGAGCACGGGTCGAGGGCATTATTGAACTGGTTGGTGATTCTCCGGGATGGGGTTTTCGGGCTGACCCGCCTGATAGAGCCTGATAAACCTGATAGAGCCTGATAAACTGTAGGTGCCCCCTTCATCATTTCAGTCAGGTCTGAGAGAGCGGCAGCAACCTTTTCTGACTCCGTACGCGGAGGGGCAGCGTACTCTGAGGCCTGGTTTCCTAACGCTTGCCTGACGAAAGCGACCGTTTTCGGGATTTTTACTTTATCCCAGGACAGCATACTGGTTCGGACTGCAGCACTGATGACCTGGTTGTTGAGACCGGCAACCCAGGCCTGTGCGAGCTCGGACTGGTCCTCCGCCCCCACTTGAGAACTAAGAAGCCGGACTGATTCGGTGTACTCTTCGAAAGGACGAGCAGGCTTGCATGCACACGTCGAATTTGTTCACAACCTTCCCTTCAAAGGGGAACTGATTGATCAATTGTTGAGAGAACAGCTCAAAGCTGTCCTGAGTTTCCTGTGGGAGAGTGTGTGCGAACTCTAATGCGGGCCCCCGAAGACCCGACATCAATGTCATGGCTTGTGCTTCCTGGAGCCTTGCCGGAAGGGTAGCACGGTGAGTTCTCTGGGGCGCTCAGGGGGATCTCCTTAGGCTCAAGCCCCGCTGGTATGACCTGTGCAATGCCTTCCACAAAAGTGTCAGCATAGCTTCGACAGCAGGCTCACCATTGGGCTTAGCGCTTAGGCCCTCGGGTAGTAAATCGATGCCGGGTAAACGGGGCCGGAGTGGCATGAAATCATTTTTGCTGAATGCGAAGATCTGGGAAGAGGAAGAGGAGAAGAAGAAAAAGAAGGAGAAGGAGGGTAAAAAGAAGAAGGAGCAGAAGGGAACCCAGTACTAGTCCCGAAGGTACCGCTGTGACATGTCCCCGTACAACCCACAAACTCGGTCCATCGAGACATCCCAAACACTGCCCTTCCTGTCGAACATCCCATATGCTTGGGCTCGAAGAGAAGTATAGTAAGGCAGAAGTAATGGTCTAGAGACAAAGAACTGAAATCTCAGTGAGGCAGAATTGAGAGCTGACTTGGATATGTTGGCAGATCATATGTCGGTTGCTGCTCAGCTGCGTCCGGAGCAAAAGCGATACCAGGTATTGCCACCTACTGAGTGTGCTGTTGAAGCCAATGTTGAGTATTGTCGGAGCCCTTGTCGAGGCTGTGGTTTGGGGCTACACGAGGCAGGCACACTGGTATATTCTTTTCTTCTGCAACCTCGAGGTCAAAGATCTTGTTTCACCTCGTGCTTATTGTCTCCTTTCAATCTCAAACTATGAGAGCGTCCTCTACCCAAATTTTCAAATTCATCCCAGTCATATTATTGTCATCATCCACCAAATCTGAATCATGGCTTCTATAGCCACATCAGTTGCCATTGGTGATAAGTTCAAAATTCCATAATCTGACCCCAATATTTGCTGTTGACCCATTCGAACCACCTGTTAACCATGTTATTGATGTCAACGCAGCGGCTGTCCTTCAGGCTCTCGCGCGTGCTGTTCTCGAATACCTCGGGGAGCCTGTGGTAGAGACTTACCCTTCGCCTAAACCTCCCCTAGCCAATGTCGAGCCCAACCTGCAGCCGAAGCCTGCCTCGACTGATTACCGACCTGTCCGGCCCACTCGCAGCAGAACCGCACCTCAACCGGTGGCCAATCTGTCGAGCCCCCTGAACTCAAGAAAAATGCATGCGCCAAAATGAAAGTGTCAAGGATTAGAGAGGATTGATGGAAAGGTTCTCTTGGGAGCTTGGCCAAGAGTTCATTGGGTTTGTCTTTCACGTCAATGGCGCAATTGCCAAGGATATTGCGAAAGGAATCGTCAACCGCCCCATTTAACCAAAAGTACATAAGCGTCTCATATGATTTTGTGATGCTCCTATCGCCGAGGGGAAGGTCGCCGCCGTTGTCTGGCAGGAAAGCTTGGTCTTTTCGGAATCGCACGGTATGGGAATCAGTGATACGGTGGAAGTATTTACCAACAAATTCGCATCTCCACAACAAAGACAAGGAGGTTTTGATCTTTACAGATGATTGTAATACGCACAGACGCATTCATGGACACCTTTCCTATTACCCCGATGAAGATATGGCTCTTCAAATAGATGCCATCACTCAGCATTCGAAGACATATTTGCCCGGAATCTCGACACAGATCATATCCAACCAGCCTATCATGAACAAGGAAGCCTTCTTTTTCACTTGTGACATTAATGTGCTGAGTCACATGGGTGGGGACATGCCCTACCTCCCCGAAGAAGACTTTCCTCATCAATTGGAAAAAGATCAGTGAGCGTTCAGATATACTACCGTGGCGTGCACCTCGAGCTACACCTCAGCCCCGGCCATTCCAGAGTGGCGGGGAATGTGTCGACCGATACAATGACCAACGAAACCCAAAATCAGCTCATCGACGAAACAGCAGTTGCTTGACCGGTGATGGAGTAGGTCAAGGGCCAATCAAGCAAAGACTACCCCCTAACCTAAGTTCTGCCAGCGCTCCCTCCGGCACCAGCGCCTGGTACCTAGGATACGAATGACGAATAAGGGCAAAGTGAGCAACATAGGAAGGATGTTGTAATACTAACACCTTAATAGTGTACTGTGTGTCAGTTATGGGATTAATATGGCCAAATTCTGATTTAAAAAACTAGTAAATAATTAAACTTACCTCTAGTGTACATTAAAGTGAAAGGAAACATAAGTACGGACTCAAAAGCCAAACCTGCGAGGAAAACGCATGCTAGTTATTAAATTCAATGCTCTAGCTTTCTTAGTACTTGATATTAGGTGCACAAATCATAGAAGTATCCATTGCAGAAATTACTTGAATCCAATCAACATAAAGCGTATCCCAAGTTAGGCATCGACCTCGTCAGAAGTAGCAGCGTATTACAAGTCCAAATTTATTCGAAGCAACACAAAAGTCGATCGTTGCACTGTTGCCTTTCAGATTAATTGCTTTACTCTGATGTATATGTCTCAAAATGTCAATCGAGAAGGGGAAAGAATCATACTGCAGAAATCACCCATGGCCTTGTGTCCAGACCGATTTATGACGTCCTAATATAAGCGCAAATGATAAAGAGAAGTACATTTGACATAAACTTAAAGCATCGTGCGGCTGTGACAGAGCCTGGACAAAGATTGAGCTTAGAAAAAGGACCCTTCTCCTCGATTTGCACACTCCTGGGGTCAAACTAGGCAGCCAACAAATTTGAACAATAACAACTTGAAAGCCGATGGAATGGCCCGAGTCACTCTTTTGTTTCCCCCTTGTCTGTTATACTTTCTGCGGCAGAGAAATTGTGAATACACGCATCGCCGTAGATGATCAAAGAAGAACAAGAGCAGATTTCCTAAGGCAGGTGGTTTCCTTTATATATTGGGTGGGTAATTAGTCACGTGTCGTGGCCCTAGGCCAGGCACAGACTAGCGCTTAACCTTATCTCTGCTGTGGGTCTCACTTTGTCTTCTTCGTCTACCCATCTACCCGCCAGCTAGTTTTGTAGATCGGTGACTTGGAATAAATGGGAGTCTGTTAGTATCGACTATTTGGAAGTGGTAATAGAGTAAGAGACAGGGCCTGTTTGTAAGCCTGTATATTATTATGCTTTGATTACCCAAATATGAAGCTACCTAGGTAACAAGATATAAAGAAACTATAAACCAGAGATATGAAGTAATTCAGGTGTTAAGTTAGCACTCCAAAGACAAAGTGATTATAATGATAAAGTGAATTACATATGAAGTGAATATGAAATAAGTTTCAGATTAGACATAAAGCGACAAGAAAAAAACAAAAAAGTGCCCCGCCTCTCTCCGCCCCCCCCGGTTTCGTCAACTCCTGGAGTCGACCACCGGAACTAACTAGGCTATTTGAGGTGCCCAGCTCGGATTTACCCCTTTTTCCGGGTTGAGGCGGTTTTCAGGGGCAGAATCCAGGGATATAAAAACCTGGCCCTTCCCCGTTGTTACCAAGCCCAGTTAGTTACAATTTAATCCATTCCTTTTACCCAATTTGTGTGTGTTTGTGGGCTTGCGAGCCCGTTTTAGTCTGTACTCCATCTGAGCCTTGTCTACAAGTTCGTGAATAGCCTGCCACAGCTACAAGGGGATTTCTTAGAATTTTTGTCTTTTTTTTTAAATTTATGGGACCCTTTGGGCGCAAAATAGGAAGGAACCAACCCCCACCCAACTACATCATCTTTACCTGACAAGAAGAAATCTGCCTGCATGCTATCGTCATGGTGGGTCTATCAAGGTTGTGAAATGGTGGATGAGATAGATTCGTGTACTCGCCCTACACACAGTATTGTTTGCCAAGGAATTCTCATCCACATCTCAATTGTCATTCGCATGTCATTCATACATCCTATCCACATTGATAATACTCTTATAAATCTCACTAATTCATGCCATCCATAAGACTACTTTGGCCGGATGGCCAATGAAAGGTATCCTGGGAAGTTGAGAGGGCCTGCAGTGGCCCTAGTGACTTTAGGTCCAGCGAAGGACAAAATATATCCCGGCACGGGCCTGTTCTTACGTTGCTCGGCTATTAGGCTTTCATTTCGAGATTTTATAGGGACAGACAGATGGAGTTCTGTCTGAGCCCGCCTCGACATATCATGGGCCGCTTCATTGCTAGGGATACTAGGTAACTATATCCCGGACTCAAATGGAGCTCTAGGTGGATATCCCTAGCGGCAAGAAGATGTGAGAGGTCCGAGATTGTCCTAATCAGGGGGCTACAATACAATGTGTGGAACTGTGCCCTTCAAGGGCTGGAGTGCCCGCACGTAGTCCGTGAATACTATCACCTCCATCTTTCTGTCGTGCGTATAGGACATGGTTCGTGTCGAATCCGGAGGGAAAAAGGGCGATGCGGCGGACTCTTGGTCGGACACGGAACACGCTTCGTCGTCGATGAAGTCGAGGGCAAACTTCATCCCGCAGGCAATGGCGTACAGTTCGACGACGCCTGAATCGGTAGTTTTAGAAGGGTACCCAACACCCAACCCATCCCATTCTGGTTCTGACGTTGGGGCTTTCCAGACTGTTCCCACAGCAGCAGTGGATGAACCCCAAATTTTTGCACGCGTTGCCGTACAAAATTATTCTGTGAGCAAGCCTTCGCGGTATAGGGTGTGTCCCCGGCGACGACTACTAGTGGCAGACCATGTGCGCGGACCATAGGTGCAGGTCCTGAAGAGTCCGCGAGGCCTGAATCGTCCCGTACCCGTCAAAATCGAGGTGATATCTTCCCTTGAGAACATTGTTGGATATGTTGCTTTTGACCGCAATGTAGAGGCGCTCGTCGGACAATCGCACGCCGGGCTCCAGTGGTTCCCATCCTCATCCCATTAACTGCTGTATCCAGGTCACCCACCCCGGACCCCGACATCATCTCGTTTGTCCCCTTGTGGTCTGGAATTATGGTAGAACAGACAAATTCTGGCCAAGTTCCACACAGGACTTCGGATATGCTTTTGCTTTTTGGAAGTTGGAAATAGATGCGGCGGATTCAACTCTAGTCATTTGTATTTCAGACTGGTGCTGGCTTGTAGGTCTCTTAGCCGGTTATAATGAGGCGCAGTTGTTGCATTTTGCCTGGGGTGCCAAGCTCGTCTCGGTATTGGAGCCTCAGATGGGAGCTGAAATGGAATGGGGTAAATGATGAACGTCAAGAGAGACACAGGGAAGGTGACAGGCCCACGGCACTTGAATACGATCGCTTGTGCTTTGGACTGGTGGTGGGTTGTAGACTTGGAGCCAGTTGAAAGATTGAAATGACATCTCTTCCATTTTCGGATATAGGTAGGTGGGGCAGGACTGGTTAGGATCAGGCCTCAATTTCCCTAGGTCAGACGTTAGTTCCCTTGACACATTCGTGGTGTGGCTTGGCGCGCAGACAACTGCCCTTGTGGACACACGTCCGTTTGTGACTTCCTCCCATGTATGGCCTCAGTTCTCGGATCCCCAAATTGCCGCAGGTGTGATGCGTCTCAGCTATATTTTGGGGCGACATCGCAAAAACATCGCAGATTGTGTATTGTTGGGTGCAAGGGTGAGCTGTACCCAATGTTGTGAACTGTGTTCAGGTGGTCCGTAAATGGTAGTATCTGGCCTGTTCGAGAGACAAAACAGTATTCAAGGAATATGTTTGAGAGCATTAGTATTGCTCGTGCACATGAAGACGCCCCTGGTGACGATGTGACGGTGTGAATTGGTCTGTGATGCGGTTACTCCATGAAGGGGAGAGATTGACATGTGCCCCAACCTATGCAGTCGAAGATAAGCATGCGCTGGCTGTAGACCTCTGGCGTAAATCCCCCAGTGTGGGCTATGCTTACCAGTACCGGTGTACCTTTCAGGGCAGAAGCGGATGATATATTAGGTGGCTCCAGCTTTCGCTGGCCTTTGCACCTTTGTTGCGACAATTGGTCAGCTTGGGGGATGGAAGCGAGGTTTGGGTGAAATAATTCACGGTCAAAATAACAGTGAGCAAAAACAGGGTGAGTAGGGAGGAGAACGAGTGCGGATTTTCCAAGGTAGGTGGTTTCGTTTATATATAGGGTCTGTCTTAGTCACGTGCCAGATCCCTAGGCCAGGTATAGACTAGTGCTCAACCTTATCTCTACTGTGGGTCTCACTTTGTCTTCGCCTAGCCGGCAGATTTATAAATCCGTGACGTGGAATAAATGGGAGTCTGGTTAGAATTGACCATTGGAAGTGGTACTAGAGTGAAAGCTAGGGTTTCTTTGTGGCCTAATGAGGTTGTATATATTATGCTTTGATTAACCAAATATGAAGCCAACCAGATATATAGATGTACTAGATGTGATATAATAGAGATGTTTAAGCTAATAATCCAAAGTCAAAGTGAACATGATGATAGAGGTAATTAGATATGAAGTGAATATGAAGTTAGTTTAAGATTAGACCTAAAGCGACAAAAAAAAAAAGAAAAGGAAAAGGAAAAAGAAACCCCCCCTGGGTTTGCACAATCCTGGGATCGAACCAGGGGCATGTGCAAACCTAACCACACTCCCTGTCACGACCTGTGGGCAACGGCCAATTAGGTTCTCCGGAACCAACTAGGCTATAAGGGGGTATCTTGACAATACTTGCCTTTTTTCTAAATTTATAGGAATCTGCGCGCCCCAAATAGGAAGGAACCACCGATATCATCTTTCCTGGCGAGACGAAATTTAATATTATGCTGCGTCCTATCACCAGAATGGGTTTGTCAAGGTTGTGGCTGGATAGAAAATGGGAAATAGCACTCGTGTACTCGACTTTCAACACGTTATTATGTATGTTTTGCCAACGAACTCTCAGTCACATCTTAATCATCATTCACATGTCAATCATACATACTATTTTACTATTTACATTGACAACACTGACAAATTTCGTAGGTCCATATGACCTAGTAAGTCGCAACATGAACCAACCCCCCCCCCCCCCCTTCTTCTTCTTTTCTTCTTTTCCCAACCTAAAACCACTCCGTAGTCAACAGCGGCAAGCGAGCCGCAGTGGTGGGAGAGGCAAGACAGCTATTACTGTGGTGGGGATAGCCAAGAGACTATTTTGGCCGAATGGCCAAGGAAAGGTGGCTGGGGAAGTTGAGGGGGGATGTAGTGGCCCCGGTGACTTCGGGTCCAGCAAAGGACACAGTCCATCCCAACACAGGCCTGTTACCCTGCTTCTCGGCCAGTAACATTGCCTCTCTCTCCTTGATAGTGCGAGACAGATTAGTCTCTACCTCGGCTCGTCTTGACATATCGTGGGCAGCCTCGTTGCCCGGGATGTCTCCGTGACCTGGACTCCAATGCAGCTCCAGGTGCACGTCCTTTTGCACTAGAAGCTGGGATAGGTCACAAATTGTCTTCAGGAGGGGGTCATGGGGTCCTCCCACCTTATTGGCAAGTGTGCCAGTTAACCGCTGCAGTGCATACCAGTCATCGGTAAACACTATTAACTCCCTCTTCATGTCGTGGGTGTGCGACATGGTTCGCGCAGTTCCCGGCGGAAAACAGCTTGACTGGGCGGAATCCTCGCTGGAGACAGCAAATGCAGTATGGCTAATATAATCGAGCGCGAATTTCATTGCACAGGCAATCGCGTAGAGCTCTACGACGCCTGAATTCCTAGTCTTGGAAGGATACCCAACGCCCAATCCATCCCATTCGGGTAGAGACGTTGGGGACCTCCAAACTATCCCCACAGCGGCAGAGGAGTCACGGAGACATGCATCACCATAGAGAACTAGCCTGCGAGTAACCTGTTGGGGAACAGGGAGGTCATGAATGTAGCGAGCGACCTCATCGGCGTCCTTGCGGTTGGATATGATGATCGAACCACAGAACTTGTATCCAAGCCCAACACAGGTTTTTCGAATTATCTTTTGCTTCTTCGCTGTGGGTCCCAGATCCGGTGGGTTCGACTGGGATTGCTTGCGCTTTAGACTCGCCGTGGGTCGTGGCTGATGTGGCTGCTTGGACTGTGGCTCCGGCGACTGGGATCGCCTCTGTTCTAAGCTCGCGGTGGGTTGCGGATCTTGCAGCTCGTCGAACTGTGGCTCCGGGGACGGGTTTGCAGATCGGACCCGTCGATCCGGGCCTCGTCTACCTGTGGGCTGATGGAGGGTTGGTGGATGTCGGGCGCGCTGGTGACTCGCTGGGGATTGTGGTATTTCGCCCTCCTCCAGGGATGGTGATCTTGGCGGGGAGGGAACGGGATCTGCAAGAGGTGGATTTTTATGTTCGGGGTGGGTGGCGGATTCAGAGACAGAGCCAGAAGGAGGCTCAAGGACGGAGCCAACTGATGGCTCGTCAACAGAGGCAGGAGTCTCGACGACAGGTTCAACGGTTGGATCAGTGGCAGTTGATTCTGCCATAATGGGCTTCGAGGTGGGTAGAGTAGTTGTATGAAATGGGACGATTAATGGATCAAGTGAGGGACAGACAAAAGAATTGATGAGAGGGGAGACGATAGAGAGGAGGGGGGGGGAAGAGAAAAAGAAAACAAATGAAGGAACTCCTGCTGGTTGTGACCTACACGTAAGGCGAGACGACAGGAGACAAGCCTAGCACGCGTTTGCGAAGGAATCCTCGAGCAGTTCGTCCCCAACCTCGGTCCTTTAAACATTTACTTATGCGATGCTCCAATACGTTCACGATATAGCGATACAGGGATCAACTGACCAGAAAGCCTCAGTTCATCGAAGTGGGAAGGGAAAGGAATTTATTATTCGGCGGCAGTTACCAGCCCCGCGGAAGTTGAGTTCTTTACAATTGCGAGTGAAAATAGAAATTCGTGATATACGCAAGGAACGAGCTTGTGTCCCGACTAGTATCTGCGTGTAGGTCCATGGAATCCATCACTGGGCCATTCGAAGAAGCGAATCTGCAACAAAAGCGATAGATATAGAGTGGCCTGCCGAATAGGCAAGGGAATGTGTAGAGTAAAGTGTATTGGGCATGCAGGAAAATCCTTGATTTGGGATCCGAGAAAGGATACCGCTAATAGGGAGACAACCCTTTTTCCTTTTGGCCAAGCTCTTCAAGGTCTGTATGACCGGATTCTGAGCTTTTGGCAGGGCTGCACGCAGCGGGTTGTGATTGTATACTCTTCGACATATTATGGGGCTTTTAATTCTATAGCATATCTCTCATCGGCCCTTAGATGGAGCTCCAGGTAAATGCCTTGTTGGACCACAAGTTCCAGAAGGTCGAAGGTCGTCCCGAAGCCCGCAGAATCAATCTCCTTTCTGTATATTTCAGGCACATGGAGCAAGCTCTCATTGAGACTAGCTTTAAAGGAATGGGTATGCCCGGCCATTGCAAATTGGTGTCCCTGCTAGCTTCAGTCGAATCCAAGGAACCAGCCAAATTCCCGTGTGAATGGAGGTTGCTTTGTCCCTTTCTAGAGATGTCATGTGTGGTCCCATTTCCTGCAATCCTACAATTGCCCAGGTTGCAATGCGGTCCATTCGAGCGCTCAGTCTCGGCAATACCGGGGAAAGATGGGAGACCATCAAGGCCGAGGGCGTCTCATTCGTGTACCAAGATTTTGAAGCGTCATCGGGCGGTGGCTGATTTGATTCATCTGGTTAGTAAAATCTTCGTTCAAGAACTTCTGAAAAATATGTGCGATCCGTAAGGATATCCGAGCAGGCAATCACAAGTGTTCATGAGTGTATTGAAGGTGGCCTGGGGCATGGAGGTAATTGTGAAAAGCTCCAGTGTAGCGGTCCTGTTGATGCACTTTGTTTGAATAGGTTCCCTAGCACGTGGAAGATAGAACTCCTCGATACCCTCCCAAATCCATCCCTATTTGCAGAAGGGAAGCATGCAAGTATTTCCACAGCACTGTCTCCGACGGTTCTTTCTCCTCTTGTCGGCTGAGTCTGGCTGGCAAGGTATATAGGGCTGTCAATGGCTTTTGTTCCTGTTAGGATTCATAGTAGCGCCAAGCAAATGCGGTATGATTTGGGCGCGAGGCGACAAAGTGTTGACGTGTGCTGTTGGCCAGCGATTCGGGGGATCAGGTCACAGCTTCGGATACTGGGCGACCTACGTGGGCTGGGTGAGGGCCCGTTAATCATTTATTGTCAGTTTGCGACACTCTCTGGTGAGTGTTGCAACAAGATGAGGACACAGAGAATTGCGATGAAAGAACAAAATCAAAACAATACAGGTTGCCTGGAGTATGGTTGAAGGACTTCAACTCATTTTGGACTTTAGACACTCTCCCTTCAATCTGTCCATCTAATGTATTCATGTACTACAATATGACCTGCATACATACCTATATATATTTGTACATACGTTATAGGATTTAGTTTATCGTATGGGGGCAGTGGAAATAGGGTTCTAGGCTAGTTCGTAGGAGGGCTAGTGTATTCCACACGTGACCGGCCCGACCCGCGGACCCAACAAAGTCTAACCAAGTATAGAGTCTGATGGGTTGATATCCGGAAATCTTCGTTATTTGAAGATACGCTGGTTACCTGGCGAATGGAAGGCGCATGAATATGACACAGGTATTCTCAAATATCAAAGTATGTAGTTTACTGGACTAACAACACTCGAACTTAGTCGATTTTCAAGGTGGAGCCACATCTCGACAATATCACTCTGCAACATGACCCACCCCTCAACTACACGTAGGGACTGCAAAAGCAAAGAGTGATTAATAAAAGATCCTTTAAATATAACCCTGTGGATTAAAATAATAATTGTTTTGAGTTATATTTGGCGCTAATGAGATCCTATAAATTGTAGAAAAAAGGCAAGTATTTCCAAGATACCCCCTTATAGCCTAGTTGGTTCCGGAGAACCTAATTGGCAAGTTGCCCACAGGTCGTGACAGGGAGTGAGGTTAGGTTTGTCAAGCCACCTGGTTCGACCCCAGGGGTTGACAAACCCAGGGGGGGTTTCTTTTTTTTTCCCTGGCTACTTTTTGATTCATATGCAGTATGAATGATGAAATATAATATAATTAAATTATAAGTATCTGAATGAGACAGAAAAAGGTAGTATTAGTTATATTTGGCGCTAGTGAGATCCTATATATTAAAAAAAAAAGATAAATATTTTCAAGATACCCCCTTATAGCCTAGTTGGTAATGGCCGACCCCTCGGGGTCAAAGGGAAACCTCCCCGGGTTTGTCAAGCTACCTGGTTCAACCCCAGGAGTTGACAAACCCAGGGGATTTCTTTTTCCTATTTTCCTGTTTTCCTTTCTTTCTTTCTTTTTGCTCCCTTTCGATTCATGATGTTGCAATTATTCGACCACAAGTCAAGAATCATTATCTCTACCTTACTCCGCCTATATAGGCACGACATGAGAAATTCTCTGACATGAGACTTGTACGTGATCTCTGTGGTACGATTGTTACTCTCGTCTCTCCCTCGCCCCGTCCATCCCTCTCCTCTTCAAATTCTACATCAGTACACCAAGTTTTCACGATGCAAAATCATCCGAATCCAAATGCGTGCAACAATGGTCACATAGCGCGGTACAGAATTACCCCGTCAAGCCTTCTCCTGCTTTTGACTACCCTATGCCTTGATCCATCATCACTCGACAGGACAGCGACGATGGCAACTATCTATGTCAATCACTGACTCCGACTACCGATGACTGTAGGATATTGTCCTCGCGCGCAAATACATCAGAACCTCGGTAGCGGTTATGACTATAGGCCGTCAGTAGCTTTTAAACCAATGGATGAGATCCTGGGCGTACCTTTGGGAATCTTACTGATCCAGCGGTAGAAATGTGTGCGAATATCCTAAGGTCGATTAAAGAATGCTTAGCGAGGAGGACTGGTATTGGGGATGCAGAACTGAAATGATAGAGGGATGCTGATGAAAATGATGACCCACAATCACTCGAGAGAGCTGCTCTGATCTGACAAGAAATTTAACAACTTCGCAAATATTATATCATTCTCATTCTCAATTCTATCAATTACGATGCTAGCAATTAAGGCGAGAATAATTTAAAACAGATATAAAATAATATAATGTACAAGAGCTTAAAAAAAGAAAAAGAATGAAGGTGTCGGAAACCACCCTTAGGTTTGAGCAATCCTGGGGTTGAACCAGGCACTTCAAAAACCTTTGAACCTCCTTACCACGACACGGACATCACTCCAAAGCAGCCTATCTGAGGTCTAGAACTGGGCTACAAGGGGTTCTTCCATGTAAATCCTTACCTTTTAAAAGTTACACTTAACACCCATCTGGCACAGGTCCTCATACATTATTTTCATCATTTGATGCTACCAAATGTAAACCTTCCATCAAAATGTCCTACACCCATAAAAGTAAAATACAATCCGAGCAGATCTACCAAAGAAACAAAAAAAAAGAGGAGGTTGGAAGCCCGAGACCCTCTTGGTTTGTGGACTCCTGGGATCGAACCAGGCAGCGTTACATCCCTCTCCTTTCTCCCTGTCACGACCTGAAAGGTAATTTGCTCAGGCTCTCGTTCCTCCGCTTCCAAGAGGAATATGCCACTGAGCTATAAGAAGGTCTCAGATGATAGTTTTACATTTTGGCTAAATTTAACAAACACCTGGTCAAGGCACACAACAGTTATCCCAACCTCCACCATTCTATTACAATTACTATTACCTGTTCCAAATAAAAATTACAATGCAGTAAGACAGACCCAAAATAATTTGAACAAAAGAATGAAGCAACGGAAACCCCCCTTAGGTTTGTGCAAACTCCCAGGGTCGAACCAGGTAGCTTCTGCCACACAGACCCCACTGACCTCCCTACTACGACTCGATCAGCTACTACTGCAGGACTTATTCCAATGAATAAAACTGAGCAATGAATCATTACGTTTTGGTTAGATTCGAGGGATTTGTTCTTGGCTTTTACAAGGGCACCATCCACCCTTTTGCCATCTAAATTTTACCCTAGCTGTGCCCACTCCCTACACCTAGGGAAATATTAACCTTAGATCTACCTGACATGGGTCGCATATTTCTTTAAATTTTTCGCTACATGGTGGTTCCGCTTCACACCTGACAGCCATTATCTCCTGGCCTCCTATACTTTTTTTTTCTGTCCCTGCCAACACCGCCCCGTCAAGCTCATCATCTCCAGACATTTATGATGCTTTAAACAAGCTCTGTTTTGTCGTCGGGAGCTGCCGTCGAACCTTGTTTGAGGCCCACCAATACCCACGTGGGATCCATGGAACGGAATTATCAGCCCCACATCCGCGTGTGCCTTTAGCGCAACGACATTCGGTCGACTCTATCCTCCCCAGCGAACATTTCGCCCGAAAAATAAAACCAATGGGGGCGGTTGACAAAAATGTGCCAATCCATCATATCTCTAAGAGCCTTGCTAATATATGCTCCTCGCCGCTGATTCTCATAACAAGGGAAATAGGACATGCACTGCGAGTAGACAGGAGGAGGGAGATCGATCGTGCTATTGGGGCTTAGTATGTTGTAGGCGTGTGCGTGGAACTGGGAACAAATTGTCTCGAAAGAAACTTATCGTTGACTCGATCCTGTATGGATGCGGGTTGCCTGTGCTTTTTTTTAGATCTGGGACTCGCAGAAGGGGCTGTGGTAGTAGTGGGTTAAGGTGACAAGTTCTAGAATCGAGCATCAATGGATGTCCGAGATCTTAAGAATACGTTTCTTTGAGTCAATTAAAGTACCAGATTTAAACGTCTCTACTAGATCCAGCCAGTACTCATTGCCAATGAAATCGAGGGCAAATTTCATTCCGCAGGCAATGGACGAGTCCGGTGTCCGAAGTCTCAGAAGGGTAAGCAACACTTATACTATCTCATTTAGGGAGAGATGACAGAGCTTTCCATACTATCCTACGGCGGCACGAAAACCGTTAATACACGAACTTCCCATTCAAGCGCTGTCGCGCAGAGATATCGTCCGTGAACATAATAACTTCCCGCTTCCTATCGTGTGTGTGCGACATGATGCAGAGTAGGGTGGAAGAAAGGTTGGTCGCCTTGCCTTTTTATGCGATGTGTAGTACATCGCGTTGTCAATAAACAGCAGTGCGAATCTCATTGCGCAAGCAATGGCGTACAGTTCAACCAGCCCGGTGTCCTGGGTGGGTGCCGGGTAGTCAATGCCTATGCTGTCCCATTTAGGGGGAGATGGCACGGCTTGCCACACTACGCCGGGGCAGCTCTAGGGACCCCGAATGCACGCATTGCCGTACAGAACTACTCTGTGAGTCATACTTTCCGCCACAGGGAGTGTCACTGGCGACGACTACTAGTGGCAGTCCATGTGCGCGGACTAGAGTCGTAGGGCTCTGCTTATGGGTTAGTTTGATGTTCATCAGTGTAGAGGCATGGGTGTTTACCTATACAGCGTCTTGAACTTCGAAGGAATACCCGAGACTTGTCTGGGATCCGCCACAACTTCTTGATGCTCATGCCCTCTCCTGGCACCTTCTCCCACACTAGGTGATCGATATATCGCCCTGGGGCAATACCGGTGTCACTTTGTTTGTCTTGGTAGGAGTTAGGCGCTGTGGTAGAGGTCAGCGGCGGAAGTTGTTTGAGACCGTTCATCTCTGCATGGCCTGGTGAGGCAACAGATCAGGCGTTGCGACCTCCGTATGCAACTGTGGGACTTCAAGGTGAATATGCATGAAACCTCTCTGTAGAGTAGAGAGATGTTGCAACTGGCAGATTCGATGAGTGAATCCGTGGATGAGGAGCGCTTCCTTTTCCGGCTGGCCTTGTCGTTGACCTCGACTGCCACTTAGTGGCTTTGATTTGAGGGTGCGAAGTGTCCAGAACTGGCGCTGCTGCTCCGGGCCGGGTCCAGGAGATGGGTCGTATGATCGGATGTGCCGATCATGGTACTGTGGGGACTTGCAGCGGGGGCGCGTTGCCGGAAGGGTAGCATGGGAATTTCTCCGAGGCGCTGAGGGGGATCTCCCCAGGCTCAAGCCCGGCTGGCGTTGAGTGTGGGGTGTCGCTTGAAGGAACAATGCCCTCCACATCCTCTTCCAGAGGCTCCCCGAGATACTCGAGGATAGTCCATGCGAGAACCTGAAGAGCAGCCGTTGTATCGACATCAAGGACTCGGCTTCAAATGGGTTGCCAACAAATTTTGGGTCAGATTCTGGGATGTAGAACTTACCATCAACGGCATTTGTCTATGGCTAGAGCCGTCATGATTAGAACGTGGTGGATTAAAAAAGGAATGAGGTTGTCGTCTTTGCGGCGGCATTCAAACCCGCCCACTGCATACGATGGGCCGAGTCCGTGAGCCACATCAGTTTTTGGAGCTGGCTTCAGGCTTCTTGCCAAAGAAATCCGGTCTCTGGGATTTGCTACCTTCGACAGAAGCCTTAGTTGCCTCAGTACAGTTCACCGGGGCCAACTGCCACTTCTCAAAGGAGACAGTGATGTCGCCTACATGGATGAGAACGACGATTCTAACATTGCCGGGAGTCTGCAAAGGGCTTCCACGCATCTTGGTGTTCGGCGAAGCCATTGCGACACGCCTAATTTGACAGAAGGTGTTGGACCAAGTTCGTGAAGAGGTTTGAGCTGTTCAAAAGCTGTTCTGTACTCAAACCATTCTCTGCAGATTCTTTGCGGAAATCAGGGGAGGGGCATTAGCTCTGGAACCAACTGAAATTTCCAAGGTTGAAAGGATTCTCTCCAGCTCTCAAGTATTGTTAATGGAGACGCCAATCGATCGCGATCGCACATCATCCAATCCCCACCATTCGGAGCTCTCTTCTGGAGGACATTGTACGCTCCTGATCATCCTTCAATGTAGTCTCGGTAACGTCGTATTTGTGGGTCTGGGGCACGCCGACTGAGCAATACAGTTCATAGGGCTAAACCCGGTATCCGGTCGCCTTGGATGTGGATAGGAATGAGCAGGGAGAGACGACGTTGTGATGTCGCGGGCAAGCAAGAAGTTGTTGATTGTCCAGCACATATTCGCCTCACTCAGTGTGGCATGGCCGAAGGAACGATAAAGGAGAGTGAATGGCCTGACCGTTGGTAAGCCAACGGAACTGGAAGTCATGAACGAGGTTGAAAGTCAGAGATATACTGCTCAGATTGCCGAAATGCGAAGGGTCAAACATCGAGAAACAAAGGTCAAGTCAAGCATCAAGTAGGGACGGACCTATAAGTGACAATTTCGGAAGCCCTGGAGTCAGAGATGAGTGATCGAATGGAAGAGAAAGATGAAGAAGTAGAGCATGTAGTAGTAGGTGGTGAGAGATTCGTGTATTAGAGAAGACCAGCAACTGATTGGTGAAGCTATACATAACTCTATAAGCATCTAGAACTGACACCTAAACTGAATCTGAAATTGATCTGAAGTGGATCTGAAATGACATTTAGAAAGACGTTAAAAAGACATTGTCACAAAATGTTAAACTACCTAGATATATATATATGTACGTAGCTAAACCATTCAATCAAACTACAGCGTGAACATGTACGGGATGGATAGAGAGTACAAGGATCGAAATGAAAATGCAATTGAGGCCACAGAAACCAATCATCACAGGTCATCATACCAACAACAACAGTAAGAGCTTGTTGGATGTTCGCCATGTTTATCTATTTGTACCAGCCAACAGCAACAACGACAAGGGTGGTCCCCATGGCTCACATCCATCTAAGCCCACTAGTTGAAGACCAAGTTTCCATTATCATTCCCAATGCGCTCGGCCAGGTTGATATCCGCATCTTGCAACTCGCCCTCGACATTATGCAAACGAGCCCTTAGAACAGGGATCTCGTCATCCCCTTCGCGGTCGAAGCTGACATCCTCCGCAGTGGAGTGGAAGTCCCCGCCGTCCCAGTGGAAATGTCCTACCGAATGAGTCAGATCGACTAGTGCTACAAAGTCGATGCAGATATGTATGTGCGATGCAAAGACAAAGGCCAGATTGGACGTGAAACATACCATTGTCGTTTCCAATGTGATCATTGAGATCGAGGGTGGACTCCTGTTCATCACCCTCCTCGTTGCGAAGAACAGCCTTGAGGATGTGACCATCCTCAAGCTCGATGTGGGAAGCGGATTCGTGGAAGCTCATGGTGTCGATTTGGGAGAGAAGAATGCAGAGTAGAGTGTAGAGAGTATGGATCATAAACTTGCTGGAGGGCGGAAGTAGACGAGGGGAAGAGGGGCTCTCCTTATATACCCCATCTGGCGAGGCCGATATACCCCGAATCGCGATCTGGACTTACACAAGGAATCGTGCGGCAGCCTCCAGGTCTTGTCTGACACTTGTCCCGGACTAATTCGTCGCACTGCGTCTCGATTGCGCCATGGCAGTGGCACAGGTGGGGTATTCATTGGAAGGACCGACATTGGCAAAGCGGGGAGAGTGTACAAGATACTCCGTATCAACGGGGATGTCTTCCAAGGCAAAGAAACCTAGCGAGTCAGTTGTAGAGGTGTGGAGAGGGCAGAACGGGAATATCCACTACGCCCGTACACGTCAGTGGGTGGATCAAAGCAGTGTCAACATCCGAGGCAGTCATCTTGGCTGGATATTCCGGTTCAAAGGAGTACAGAGCACATCTGGTTCATGTCCAGTTATCGTGGCGCATGGCGATATCTCGCACAGTCCCTAGCCACAGGATCCGGAGCGACATGTCCTGATGTTGCACTGTGCATGCACGCCAAGGCTGCAAGATTCCGTGACAGCCTTAGAGAACAGCCACAGGACGTGGGCCACACATGGCCAATGGGTATCGAGCCGACCGAGGAGAAACGCTGGTGCCTAATGAGGACAATGCAGTCAACCGGGGCTGATGCTGTGCCAAGCCAGTTTGGGGATGCAGCCTCATGCTGTCAGTCCTTGGCAGTTAGTATTGAGTAGGGGTAATTCACCAACAGTGGCGTTGAGTGGAGCTGTGGCTGGATAAGGCTAGCCCTGTGACTTGGTGGCATTTTTGGAGGGGTAAGAATCAAGTGGAGGGGTGGATCATCGTCAAAGACAGCACATCAATGTCTGAAATATTGGTCTCTGCTTTTGGAGAAGAGAATTCGGGGAGAATTAAACTAGGGTCACCATGATACATATTCTAAGTGTTTACAATTGAGGGATCAGGTTCACAAGCTCTTTATTGTTCATTCTATACATAGAAGGTCGAGACAAAAAAGTGCAGACAAGCAAAGACAGCATCAAGTATCGTAAAGCCCACAAGGTTGGCACATACCAGGACTAGGAGGAATGGGGATCATTAAAGGAACCTTCCGTTTAAATAAAAAAAAAAGTCTTCAGAAAATAATTCAGACAACATAGAGCTATCTCTGTGGATAGGTTCCAAAAATTGGTTCAAAGGAGATGAAAGCAGAGCCCCTTCTGAGGTTTCAAATCTCGTGATGGACAATGGAGAGCCCGGAAAAGTACGGTCTGTATCCGCAGAGTTCCTATATGCTGAGCATGCTGAGCACCTAAGGTACCCGAAGATTCCGTTCGATGTCCCGGCGGAACATGCTTCGTGCCATTAGACTAGGTCCAGGGACCCCAGCCTAACCAGACTTAACTGAGCCGCACCAAAGACCATCAGTTCCCTAAAGGTATCTCTTCCTTCACTGGACAACAGGAGACATATGTTGAAGTATGGACGTGGAGCTGAAGGGTCAAAAAATTGAAGACTCTATATTTTCCCAGTGAAGGCAGGAAGGAACTGGGGTGGGGGATGAGTTTTCGTCCAAAAAGGGAAGCTGCGACAGAGGGAAGGTGCCACCCACGTCTTGGATGAATTAGAGAAAATTAAGAAAAATCGAGAAAAGAATATGTATGCATTGATCTCAGAAATATCCTCAGACCCCCAATATCAAACACCCCTAACACCACTTGCAAACTCCCATACAAGTTCGACAGATGCACAGAATCAACCTATCCCATAGCACATAGGTGTATCAACAGAAACACATTAGAATCATAATAAGTCACAGATTAAACTCCATTCCGGTAGATTTGAGATCCACCGGAACGGATCTGGATAGTGTCACGTCGCTGCAAGACCACCAGCGCACGATTAAGTGCTTGCTCGGTATAGTTCTTGCCATCAACAAAGTCACGGCGAAGAGTGGCCAAGCTTGTGCTCCAACCAATAGGAAGGCGACGCTTCAGCTCGTCTTCAATTTTGCTACTTTGCTCCATAAGTTCCTTGCTGCCTTGCCCCTCACCCTGGGTAATGGCGTCCATGGTGGATGCCAGGAACAGGCGGATGGCCTCGTCCACGTGGGCCTCTGTGGCGATGGGGGAGAGAGAAAGTTTGGCAAGGGACTCGGAAATACGGACAATGGCCTCGAGTTGACGGACGGTGATGGGGATCGATGACCGAGTGTTGGATTCCATCTCGGCACGGTGGACTTGCTTGCGGATGGAGACGAAGTGTGACGAAAGTTTTTCCGCAGCTTCGGGCGAGAGGCGGGGCGCACAACGACTACACGGGATGTTAGTATGAATATAGCAGTTCAAATCAGCCATAACTGTAAACGTACCTGCGACAATAGCTGATGTACCGCTTCATCTGCTCAACGGGAATCTCGGCCTCCACCTGCTCTTCCACACCACGACCACCCATGTGCACACCCATGACGTGACGTGCAATCTTCTCGTCACGCCCGCGCTCGTGTTCATCGCGGACGACGAAGATCATATCGAAACGGGACAGGATAGTGGTTTGGAAATCGATGTTCTCGCCGGGGGTCTTGAGATCATCGTAACGACCAAAGATAGGGTTGGCTGCGGCTAGTACGGACGTTCTCGAGTTGAGAATGGTGGTAATGCCGGCCTTGGCAATAGAGATGGTCTGCTGTTCCATGGCTTCATGAATGGCAACTCGGTCCTCGTCGCGCATCTTGTCAAACTCATCAATACACACAACACCACCATCAGCAAGCACCATGGCACCACCTTCGAGGTAGAACTCGCGAGTGGTCTGGTCTCGCTGCACGGAGGCTGTCAAACCAGCAGCGGAAGAACCTTTTCCAGAGGTGTAGATAGCGATAGGAGCAGCCTTCTCGACGAACTTCAAAAGCTGAGACTTGGCAGTACCGGGATCACCCAGCATCAGCACGTTTATATCACCACGAAGCTTCATTCCGTCAGGGAGGATCTTCTTTGAGCCACCCATCAGCAGACACACGATGGCTTTCTTCATATCCGCGTTTCCATAGATAGACGGGGCAATGCTTCGAGCGAGTGCGTCATACAAGTCAGGCCTCCGGCTGAGCTCCAGGAATTCTTGTTCTTCCTCCTCAGAGAAAACTGAGTTGCCCTTTGCTGTCTGGTCAAGGTCGGAGGTGATTCCCACTGCGCGGAGATAGGGGTTGCGGATAGCCACGGCAGCCTCCTTCTTGACACCCTTCGCTTGGTAGATAGAGAAGATGCCCATGACGGTGCAACGAGAGCCAGGAACAACTCGGTTGGCAAGGTAACGATCGGCCGAAATAAGAACGTGTCGCGGCATCTCACCCACTGGCACCTGGTCGGGGGCTTCTTGAAGCTTGAGGACTTGCTGGTCCACAAATTGACATTTCTCGTGGTGAACGACGTAAGGATCCAATGGACATTGCTCGTTGGGTTGATCATTCTCGTTCCTGGGTCGACCGCAGCGGCGCGGCAGCGTGAGGCCAGAGAAGCCACCATCGACGTGGATGTTCTCGCTGTGATCGCAGCCCTTGCAACGGACATGAATGATTGTTGATTTTGAAGAGATTGTTGAAGCTCCAATCACAATTCCGGGGATGCGAACGAGGTGAGAGATGTTGGTGGCATTGAGATCACGGATTGAGATGTGCGATGCCGAGGAGTGTAGGAGCAGCTGGTGGGAGGGTAGTGTGATATCGCGCTGCCCGGGGTAGATAATCCGTGCAGTACATTGCTTCAGGGCCAACTCAAACTACTTCGGGTTAGCGAGGACGAAAGATCACCAGGGTTGTTGAAAAAAGACCTACAAGAGGAATAATATCGCCGGGCTCCGTGGTGAGTTTGTGGGCCAATTCTTCGTTGTAAGAAATGAGATGGGCAATGTCAATATCACAGTAGTATTGTTTCACAAGGGCATTTTGCCGTAATTGATCACTGTTGTATCATAAATTAGCCCCCATTGGACCCTCACAGCGGTGGGATGCGTACCGGTAGACGAATGCATTATCCAGCTGGAATTCTAGCACGAAATCCCGAAGGCGGTTTTGAATAGTCGTGCGATCTTCATCAGCGCCATTTGTGCTGGGCGCAAGTACGCTCAAAGTATAGGGGGTGCGTCTATCCATAGTGTAGAGGACCGCAAATGTGGCAGGTTGGGGGGTTGATGATTTGGCGGAAGGGAGGCTTCAAGAACTTTTGGTTAGTGTGGCACCAACGCGACGCGTCGAGGGTTCACGCGTTAAGTGGTTTCTGAGTCATCTGCCGCCTGAGGCATAAATCCATTAGCAGAGTTGTGGCCTGAGGAAAGAAAGATCTGAGTCAGCACGGGGAACCGCGGGCCCGGCGTTAGCGCATTGGCGGATTGGGGAGCCATGGCCAGCTTGATGGAAACAAAGCCACATCACAGCCATTCTGCACCCAGGAGCCGAGTGATCTCGGACCAAAGTCGCGAATCGCAGAGGCTGATTTGACCAGTTTTAGATCCAATACCTGAGCCTGTCAGAGCTCTACAGTCAGGACTTTATCCACTGTCATGATCAGATAACACGGAACATCTCAACGATCGACCCTCCCCCGGTGGCTGTCCGATCCGGCTCGTGACAGCCATGTCGTCAACCAGTCCACGAAAATCAATTGATAGCTTGGCGTCCGGGGTCTCGTCGCCTTCAATTTCTTATTCAGCGAGTCAGCTGGAGTCTCCGCGTGTGGCCCCTCAGCGGTTCCCCCTGAGGAGGGGATCAACCGCGAGCTCGATCGTGAGCATTGGAGGTGTCTTGGACTCTTCTCACTACCATGGCTCAATCTCAGAATCTGTTGCAGAGTCTGGGCAGAATGGTTTGTGACCTCGGAATTCCCAATTACTCGATGACTAACATGTCCATATAGCCATTTCGACCCTCCTCCAGCCCCCAATCATCCGCACCGGTCTTACAACCGGCAGTGCCACGTCCTCCGCCGGTTTCAAGGCCCCTACGTCTCGTGATATCCCGCCGGTGACTCTGACGAATATCAAACATGTGGATGCAAAGGTCTTCCAGCCATATCTGTCCCAAGTTGGCACTTTGTACGATGTGTTTCAACAACCGAAAGAAGGCACGGGGGACGATACACTACCGGCGCAGGCTGCCAAATCTCCTAAGCCAGACTCCGAAAAAGATCGCGATTCATTAATGCCATGGTCCCCCGAGCGGAGGTCTTCGGTTATGTCGACCGGTTCAAGATCATCCTCGCCATATCGCGGCCGACGCCCCTCCACTGGCCGTGGTCGCGCCCCCGCAGTTACTCCTCTATCCACCATCCCTCCGGTTTATTTCGAAGAGGGCTTTCATCTAGAAAATCCCCGTACGTTCGATGTTATATCAGAGAAATCAGATGTGGTGAGGCCGCCGAGGCCGCCGACCAAGGACGACAACGCCAATGGATTAGTTGCGGAGCCAGTACAAACGGGAAGAAAAGCACTAGCAACTAATGCTATTCTGCAAGAAAAGCTATCATGGTACATGGATACTGTGGAGATTCATCTTATTTCATCTATCTCAACGGCATCGAAATCCTTCTTCACGGCCCTGGGATCTCTCCGAGAGTTGCACGCGGAAGCTGCCGATTCGGTCAACCGGATACAGGTACTGAGAAGAGACTTGCAGAAAATCGATAAAGAAATGGCTCTAGGCGGTCTAAAAATTGTCAATTTGAGACGGCGAAGGGAAAACGTACGAATGCTGGCAGCTGCCGTGGCTCAGCTTCGCGATGTGGTCGAATCTGTCTCTCGGTGTGAAGGATTGGTAGAGCAGGGCGACATTGAGGAAGCCGCCGATGGACTCGAGGAAGTCGAAAAACTGATGGCCGGTGAAAAACTCCCCGACCGTGCAGCTTCGGAGGACGAGGAGGGTGCCCCTAGACGCATTATCGACCTGCGAGGCATCAAGGCCCTCGCGGGAGCTTCAGATGACCTCGCACAGCTCCGCCAACGGATTGGTATAGGCTATGAGAGTCGGTTCTTAAATGACCTGTTGGGAGACTTACGACAGCATGTCCAGACTGTACCATCGAATGTGACAATGCAGCGCTGGGGAAACTCATTCCAACGGCAGCGAGGTGGTCAACGGTCTGGCCTGTCGTTATCGCCTGCCTATATGGATTTTGATAACGAGTTGCGATCCCAATTGAACACCCAGCTCAACGGACTCGCGCGTGCTCACTATACGATGTCTGCGGCAACTTCTTTCAAAACCGCTGTCTTACGAGAAATGAAGGGCCTTATTCGCAAACACCTTCCCAGTTCTAGTGATGATGACAATGAATCTATGGTGTCATTATCAACACATGGCGGTCATCAGCTAAGCCAGCAGGAGAAGTCATCAATCCTTGCTCGTAATTTGCGTGCTCTCGACTCGGATGATGCTTATGCAATGTTGATGAATGTCTACACCGGGATTAGCGAATCGCTAAGGCGACTCAGCGTCCAAGTCAAAGTCCTTCTGGATATTGCTAGTGGCTTAGGAAATTCGCCTACTGTCAGGTCACCACCACGAAGCCCCAACCCGCAAAGTATCGATCAGGCTATGAAGTCTCCACAGATCGGGCCGACAGCCTCTGACCTGGCCCAGGATGAGATTCTGCAGGTTTTGGATATGTCGAGTCTGCTTGGTCAGGCAGTTGACATCGCCCAATCCCAGATAACAAAGGTGTTGAAGGTACGGTCTGAACAAACCGCCCAGCTTTCCAAGGAGGAATTCCTTAGGTACTTCACTCTTAATCGCCTGTTTGCCGATGAATGCGAGGCCATCTCGGGACGTAGCGGTACTGCTCTCAAGACCATCGTCGGAAATCAAATTCGCGATTTCATTACCCGTTTCGGTGATAGTCAGCGCCATCAAATTGTCAGTGTCATGGATGCTGATCGATGGGATGCACGCGATTTCGGGGATGCTGAGAACACCGTTCTTACTAGGATTCTCGATGCAAGCACCAAAGACGTCGACGCCTGGCTTGAAATTTCCAAGATCTGGATTCGGCCTGATGGAAACGAGCAAGCCAAGCTAGGTGATACTGCTGCTGAAAATGGGACTGATAAGTCCAAGGTTCGCAGCGCCGTCATCGACGAGCAGAAATACATCCTGCCTGACTCTGCGGTTGCCGTGATGCGCAGCATTGAGGAGTTCGATTTCCTCATGTCGAATATCCCTAGCATGATCCAGGACATTGCGCCGCACCTACTAGATATTCTGAAACTGTTCAACTCGCGGTCATCGCAGTTGATTCTTGGGGCCGGCGCTACGCGTAGTGCAGGCCTGAAGAACATCACAACCAAGCATCTCGCGCTGTCATCACAAGCATTAAGCTTCGTTATTGCTTTGGTGCCGTATGTACGGGAGTTTGTCCGTCGTCACGGACAGGCGAACCCCTTGATGGCGGAGTTCGACAAAGTCAAACGGCTATGCCAGGAGCATCAGAGCGGTATCCACGAGAAGCTGGTGGATATCATGAGCTCGCGCTCTTCGGTCCACGTGAACGCGATGAAGAAGATCGACTGGGATGCCAAGGGAGCACCTGCTGTGAATCCTTTCATGGAGACTTTGGCCAAGGAGACGGGTACTCTGCACCGGGTCTTGAGCAAGCATCTTCCAGACATGACAGTTAGCATGATCATGGTGCCTGTATTCAACAGCTACCGTGATCAATGGACGAAGGCTTTCCAGGAGGCCGACGTGCAGACCGAGGCTGGAAAGAAGAGGTCAGTTTGGGCTACTTGAACCCCGCTCACGGGTAATACTAACCGCACAAACAGGATGCAAGCCGACGTCGAGCATTTCCGAACCAAACTGAGCAAAATCGAAGGCGCCAGTGAGATTGGCGACAAGCTCCTCGAAGTTGTGCAGGCCAAGACCATTGCCAATACCAATACCAACGAACCTGAGAAGTCCGAGACACTAATCGAGAAGCAACAAGATCAGGACGATGGCTCTGATTCTACCAAATCCTGACTTCCATTCCCATCGCCCTTTATCATTATACGTATAATTTTGTTTCTGCATGTTCCTTTCTTGCCTGCGCGCTCATTCCCGAGCTGTACACTTCTCGTCACTGCCGGTACCACATATCTGTCTACCAGTTGCATTCATAGAGCTAGCCCGGCGTTTGTGGATATGAATAAGAGCAGATGTGATTTTCATTCTAATATCTCCAGCACATTCCATATTACGCATTAGACAGTTATTACGCATTAAGACAGTTACTAAACCTGAGATTGTCTCACGTTCGTGTACCTTACTTCACTCATCCTGCTAATCACAAGAAGCACCATTGAAATTTCATAACTTGAGGATATCGTGTATCATTCATGATGTATGCACTTCAAAAACACCAAAGACCATCGTAATCATAGAGAATCACCACCCCCCGCGCAAATCATGTATCATCATAGCAGACTTGCATCAATCACTTATTTTCCAGTGCCAGCAGTGTTCTTCTCATCGAGGGTAATAGGCTTCGCAGTACCACCCTGAGGGTGAGCTTCACCAGCGGTAGGCAAGCCAGGGTGAACATCGCGGCCGGAGCTAGTCTGCTCTGGCATGGGGGCGACCTTGTGGGGATGGGTCATGTCTGCGGGCTGTGAGATGCATTAGCTGTTGTCACAGATAACAGTCCATTGAGTTGGAATTGCAAACGTACCTCATCACCGACTCCGTGGGCCTTGTTGGGGCCGTTCTCGATAGGGTTATCGCTCTGGGGGACACCGTTGTCGTATTCAGCGCCGCGGACCATTTTGACGATTTGAAGTTGGGGTAGAGTTGGGAAGGTTGAGAAGGTCGAGAAGGTTGGATGTGGTGTTTGTGTAGGAGTGAGGTTTTCTGTGTGGGAATAGAAGAGTGTTTGATGGTTCTACTTATAGTTGGTTTATGGTTGAGATCGGGAGTTGTGACAGCATGCTGAAATCATAGTGGGGAGTATGACTTCATGCCCGTTGGATCAAGATCTTTATTCGATTGCTTTGGAACTCTAGAAAATGGAATTGCAGACCTTGGGAGATCAACAGACTAATTAGTACCTAATTTCTATTAGACAGTTAATGTTGTGGTCGGTAGGAAATGTTCAACTTGTACGTTGCATGGGATATAGAACTGCACGGAGATTATACTCCCCTATCTTCCACCGTCTACATGTACGAATGCAGTGCATTCCTTTAGAACACATTAATATCCGGAATACCATTTGCATCGTAAATATTATACTAAAATAGCCTGTCTAGTGGGAATATGGCGGAAGGAGATGGATTCACTATGCTCTGGTTACAGGAGCCAAACTTGGTCGTACCAGTTGTTGTTCCAGCATTATATTAAGCCACATCGTGCGAGGCGGAGAATCGAAGTTTCTGGCACTTCCATGCCTTGAATAGTTACGTACCTACTGGGACATGTTCGATATATTCGGTAGCCAGAAGAGGTCCACGGGTGGATATATATACAATCTGATGACGTCAGTCTATTAGCCATTCCAAGGTTGTCAGACAGCAACATCAAACCTTGGAAGGAGGATATAAGTGAATGAGTAATATTCAGGAACAGGATTGACATGGAAAAGGTGATCTATTTTTTATGATTCATGATATTCCTTGGGAAATTTCAACCATAACTCCAAGATGAATCTGACAAAACATTAACAAGCAGCCATGAGAAGTAAAACAAAGCCAAGTCGGGAAACATCACAAAGGATAAGAAAGGGTATTCGCAAATTAAATCTGACTGAAAGTTGGCACCAAATTCTTCGTCAACGGTACCTGCGTTTTTGTGCAGCCGATCCAGCAATTAGACACATCTCCAAGCCAGATGAACCCACACTCTCGTAGATGCGATCAGTGTCGATAACCAAGGTCAAGTCCCCTGCAGAGGTAGCATAGAGGCTGTTGTCGCCTACAGGACCAGCCAAAGGCGAGCCAGGTGCGGTATCTGAGAAGGAGGAGGAGACACGATTCAACGCCCGAGGACCAACCAACACTGGGGGAGAGATGAGCCCAGACCGACGGGTCGAGCAGTGCCTGCACTGAGGACCAGCCCTAAGGGAAGTTGGAAACCCGTCAACGTCAATCTCAAGACGGGATAGTTCTCGGGGGCTAAGTGGGTATGGGAGCGGGGGATTTCCAAATTGGGCGCTGTTGTCACCACGATAGTAGGGATGACTGTGGAGAGCACGGTGTCGTCCTGCTAGACAGCCACCGCACATCGACGTTGGTCGGTCAGGATACTGTGGAAGATCATCGATTGCTGGACTAGGCGAAGAGCGGGGAGTGGATGAGGTAGTGGCTTGGTTGGAGCAGGATGTCGAAGAAGATAGAGGAGGTAAGGGGCCATTTAGGATTTTACGGCGGAGACTGTATGGGGGGGTGTTGCACTGGCGCTGCCACATCATGGGATGTGTCTAAGGGAATAGGCGACAGGGCATCGTTCCGCTTGATGGCGATGACATTGCACTTTTTCCGAGTGATGAGTGGTTGGCGTAAGGGAGCAAACGGCGAGATATACCGGTTGTTCACGATGGCATCTCCCTTTCTCTGTGTCTGCCGGATGAGGAATTCCGTGGCGGTCATTCGGGGCTGGGCCCTTTTGATGGATGATCGTGGCATATCTGATGAGGGTATATGTTGAATCACTGGTTCAATACCGTGTGAGGAGTGTGCATAGGAGCAGATACCGTTCTCGAAAAGAACTGGTGAACTGCAGTCTCGAAGAGCTGCTGTGATAAGACAGCATAACGGTGGATCGGGTTGATGTATGAAATACAAAGCAGGGAGTAGAGGAGCCAGCTCTTCAACCGAAAGATTGACCATCCCAACATCGGACTCGGCCAAAACGGAATGCGACTGCCCACGTTGCTTTTCTTCACCACTTAACTCAGCAGGTAAGTCTGGACTCATTGCCTCAAGTGCAGAGAGTTCGTACACATTCCTATCAACTTGAAATACAGAAATAGGGCCTAATTCCCCAGACTTCCCATCTTCACTACTCGAAACAGACATGTCCGGATTCATGATCCTCAGCACACAATGTTCATCCCCTCGCCAACTTCCACCGGGATTATGGGGATAATCCGTCTCGGGCGAAACGCTCTTTCCTGGGCTCGATGCCTGGCGATCATTGCGGCCCCGAAAGAAGCGACACGGATATCGATCAGTGAGAGCCCCAGAAACGATCCGTTTGAAATCCCAGTCCGGAATGCTTCGACGCTTCCGCTCTACCTTGTTGATCAGCTTGATCTTCACGTTGCCCAGCGGAGTGAAGACCCAGCTTCTCAGCCAACGCTTGATCTTGGACCGCTTGCGTCCCTTCTTCTTTTCAGCCATGCTTGATGCGACGGGTAATCGAAGCTCAGAACTTGGATTGAATAGAAGGGAGAGGTGCTGGAGGCCGGGAGACTGCAGAGGGTCTCTTTCTTCAGGTCTCATCTCGCTCAGCTTTTATATATTTCTGGAATGGTATACTGGTACCTCCGAGATCGACATCAATGAGTCTTTCAGTTGATGCATTTCGAACAAGTGACACAACACTGTCTACGCGCATGAGGACTGGACTCCATCTCACTTACAATGAGGATGGGAGCAAACACAGATTTGAGACTTTTGACATTCTTTGTTGATGAATTTGTCAACGATGGATCCTTTGTTTACCAAGTGCCCAGGTGTCTCTACTTTTATGAGTCAACTGCTGTGCTACTACCTACCCATGTAGGTAGCTAGTGGCTAGCAGTGCAGGGTAAAAGACATGTGGTCTTATCATCCTGGAGTCCTTCTGCTGAATCTATCCGTGGGCGATTTTGATATAGATAGTATCAGGTGCACAGGTGGCTTGAGTTCGGTCAGACATCGCAGGATATCGGAGATATTTCTCTCCAGAAAAAAGGGATGGGTAGAAGACAAGGAACACAATGTTGTACAAAAGAAAAGGTAGTTTGCATCTTCAACGTTGCACGGTATAGGCATATTTCAACCCCAATGAGGAAATGGATTGCCAAGACGATCATCCCCTCCAACGTGGTCCGTCCTTCCCCTTTCCAATAAATGGAAGTGGTTAAGCCATTTCCAGCCATTAACCATGTTGGTGGTCATATTGGTGTGATATCGGCCATTCAGCATGGCCATTAGGACGATCAGAGCTCTTGCGGGTCCTTTCCGTTCGGTGGAGAAGGCCAGATGACATCATGGCTCCAGCTTTCCCCAGATCCGACTGCAATTGGATTGGTCCTGCACTTTGTAGACTGGGATTGGAGGCAAATCAATGCAGATCAGATGTTCAATGATCGGAGAAACCGGAGAAACATAGTAAAAGAGAGAATATGAGAATATTGGGAGTAGAGAGAGAGGGAGGAAGAGAGAGTAGATTACGTGGGCGATGCCACTTTGTTACTCCTGCTACTACTGTTACATATCCAGGCACAGAGTACCATAGTTCTTAAGTGAATCACCAAGAAAAGATTAAATAAAATCTCTTCAACAATAATATCGATGATGGTACTTTTCTCAACAGTCTCGGGTGGAATTTCCCTGGCAGTTTTGAGCCCAAGCGCACTAGAAAAAGGCCTTGGTCACACCCGCCAGTCCAGAGAAAAACTCTTGACCGGAACAAGAAACGGGAATTCTTGTATTCTTTTTCTTTTTCTCTCTTGAAATATCTCTTGGACCTCAATTTCATCTTCAATTCCATCCATACCCCTCCCTGACTCCTCCAGCCACCCCAGAAGCTCAAAGTTGAAGCTCCACTTCTCTCCCCGCACAGACCGGGACAGCTCTTCCAAGGTTGTTGCGCGCCCCCCCCCCCTCCTCGCATTTCATTTCTCTTTCGCTTTTACTTTTTGTGATTTCTCTGGTCTTTGAGCACAATGGAGGAAACCAGCGAACCTATCAAGCGTGATGTGCGCAACCACATGCTCTTCGAGGTGGCCACTGAAGTGGCCAACCGAGTAGGTGGGATCTACTCGGTCCTCAAGTCCAAAGCACCCGTGACCACCGCCGAATATGGTGAACGGTACACTCTGATCGGACCACTCAACAGGGCTTCAGCTGCAGTGGAGGTTGAGGAGCTATCGCCGTCCAACCCAGCCATGCGGGAGACGATCCAGTCTATGAAGGAGCGCGGGATTGACATGGTCTACGGTCGCTGGCTCATTGAGGGTGCCCCTCGAGTTTTACTCATTGACACGGGGACTGGCTATCGGTGGTTGGATGAGTGGAAGGGCGATCTTTGGACTACTTCGGCCATCCCATCCCCCGCTGGTGATAATGAGACCAACGAGGCCATCGTTTTTGGATACTTGGTTGCTTGGTTCTTGGGAGAGGTACGTTCCAATTGTTATCCACATTGCAGCTGGCAACAGAACATGACTGACTCAGATTTCCACTGTAGTACATTGCTCACGACCGTCGCCGCGCGGTCATCGCCCATTTCCATGAGTGGTTGGCTGGTGTCGCTCTGCCATTGACCAAGAAGCGACACATGGACCTCACAACCGTCTTCACCACCCACGCGACATTATTGGGTCGTTACCTCTGTGCTGGCTCGGTTGACTTCTATAACAACCTCCAGTACTTTGACGTGGATGCGGAGGCCGGGAAGCGAGGAATCTACCACCGCTACTGTATTGAGCGGGCAGCTGCTCATTCCTGTGATGTCTTTACCACTGTATCGCACATCACTGCGTTTGAGAGCGAGCACCTGCTGAAGCGCAAACCCGATGGGGTGCTGCCAAATGGTCTGAATGTCAAGAAGTTCTCTGCTATGCACGAGTTCCAGAACTTGCACTCCCAGGCCAAGGAGAAGATCAATGATTTCGTTCGTGGCCATTTCTACGGCCACAACGACTTTGACCTGGATAATACTCTATATCTCTTTACCGCGGGTCGTTACGAATACCGCAATAAGGGTGTCGATATGTTCATTGAGGGGCTGGCCCGCCTCAATCATCGTCTGAAGTCTGCTGGGTCGACCATGACCGTGGTCGCTTTTATAATTATGCCAGCCCAAACCTCTTCGTTGACGGTGGAATCGCTCAAGGGACAGGCCGTTGTCAAGTCTCTGCGCGATACCATCGAGAATATCGAGAAGGGAATCGGCAAGCGCATGTATGAGCGCTGTCTTTCCTGGAAGGAAGGTGACAACATGCCCGATGAGAAAGATCTCATCACCAGTCAAGATCGTGTGATGCTTCGCCGTCGCCTGTTCGGCATGAAGCGCCACGGTCTTCCTCCAATTGTCACCCACAACATGCACAATGACCACGAGGACCCCATCCTGAACCAGTTGCGTCGTGTGCAGCTGTTCAACCACTCCTCTGACCGGGTGAAGGTCATCTTTCACCCGGAATTTCCTCAACTCCGCCAACCCTGTATTGCCGCTTGACTACGACGACTTCGTTCGTGGAACCCATCTGGGTGTCTTCCCCTCCTACTATGAGCCATGGGGATATACGCCAGCCGAGTGTACAGTGATGGGTGTGCCTAGCATCACTACCAACCTGTCTGGATTCGGTTGCTATATGGAGGAATTGATTGAAAACTCCTCGGATTATGGAATATACATCGTGGACCGTCGCGCCAAGGGCGTTGACGACTCGGTCAACCAACTGGCCGACTTTATGTTCCACTTCACAGAGAAGAGTCGTCGCCAGCGCATTAACCAACGTAACCGTACGGAGCGCCTGAGCGATCTGCTTGACTGGAAAAGAATGGGCTTGGAATATGTCAAGGCTCGGCAGCTGGCATTGAGAAGAGGTATGTTACAATTCCATTGTCTTTTGTTAGGTGATGATGATTAATTCTTTGTACAGCTTACCCATCCTCCTTCGAGGGTCAAGAGGACTACTTCGATATCATTGGAGGAACGGAGCAGAAGCTCTCCCGCCCGCTTTCCGTTCCTGGATCCCCGCGGGATCGCTCCGGAATGATGACACCCGGTGACTTTGCCTCTCTGCAGGAAGGCCACGAGGGATTGAGCACCGAGGATTATATCGCCTGGAAACTGCCGTGAGTTTTACCTATCATTAGTATTTGTCAAATACTAAGCCATTGTACAGTGAAGAGGAAGAACCTGAGGAGCACTTCCCCCTCACACTGCGAACTCGCAGGATGACTGAACGGGCTGCATCCCCACTGGACAGTATATCGATCAATGGCCGTGAAGAGTCCGAAGTAGGAGCTCGGACTGCATAGCCGAGGGTATTGGAATGCTCTCTCATCTTCACCCTAAATCCTGTTGGAGTGGGCTCCCATTGACGTCATGTGTACTTGTTTAATCAGTCTGCTTTTTTACGATCTTTTTCCTAGCAGTGCATCTGAAGCCCATGTTTTTGTTTTTAATTAAATGAAATCGAAAGTTATTGCCAGAATATTCAACGGATATTTAATGTAACACGCCGGAGGGATGAGCTCCGACTCTATCCACTCGACTTTCTCGGAGAGAATATAGAGTTACGCACTGGAGCACAGCGGATTTTCTCGCCCCGGTGAACCTTTAGCGAAAGTATGATTCATCGTACTTCTGCTATTTCTACCCCTCCTGCCCCTCCATCCTTTCCCCTCTCACCATCATTCTTACACATCCCTCGACTTCGACTCACGTCTACCATCGGTACGACTCTCCAATGGAGCCGCGCACGTCCAGGACCCTACTGGGTCGCAGGACAAGGTCCTCGCTACGATGAAGAGATGGATCAAGGTATTTGTTCGTATAACAGTCGTTGCCCTCGCATGACAGGTGTTCGGTCTAGCCAGTTGATTGGGGAGAACTATAAACCTATTTCCAGCTCTCCTGGAGTCTTGGATTGGTTTCTTTTTCTCATATCAAGTGGCTGGCCGTTCTGAGATTATACTGTCAAAACTTGATCTAGACAATACTAGCGAAAGGACATGCGTGACTTTGATTGTTCCCCTGTTTTGTGTTTTGTGTCTGGCTCTGCTCACACTGTGCTGGTTGACGTTCAATTGAATACATAGGTTGAATGGAAAACAGCATAGGTAGAGTAGAGCTGGATGCTTTCTCTCTTGGCATGCTGACCCAATTGAAGTATTTCAATAGCTTGATCTTTCTGCCATCATGTCTACCGACAAGATCACTTTCTTGACCAACTGGTATGCTGACATTGTTCCAGAATCCGAGCTCCCGGGGTGCCCAGGTGCCCTTCGTGCTCGATCTTTAGTTCCATTTGGCTAAGTTATTTTCTTCTAAAGGCACGCGACCCCGTACCACGCCCCCCTCTACCTCGCCCAGTCCAGAGGCTACTTCAAGGATGAAGGTCTCAAGGTGGCTCTGCTCGAGCCCAACGACCCCTCCGATGTCACCGAGATCATCGGAAGCGGCAAGGTCGACATGGGCTTCAAGGCCATGATCCACACCCTGGCGGTGCGTACACATTCCCCAAACACAAGCACACCAACCATACTAATACCACATCTAGGCCAAGGCCCGCGACTTCCCCGTGACCTCCATCGGCTCCCTCCTCGACGAGCCCTTCACCGGAGTGGTGTACCTGAAGTCCAGTGGAATCACCGAGGACTTCCGCTCGCTGAAGGGCAAGCGAATCGGCTACGTCGGCGAGTTCGGCAAGGTATGAATTCCATCCTCACCAGTCCAATCCCACCAAACAAACCCTAACCCAATCCCAGATCCAAATCGACGAACTCACCAAGTACTACGGCATGACCGCCGATGACTACACAGCCGTCCGCTGCGGAATGAATATCACAAAAGCCATAATCCAAGGCAACATCGACGCCGGCATCGGTCTCGAGAACGTGCAGATGGTCGAGCTGGAAGAGTGGCTCGCCAGCCAGAACCGACCGCGCACAGACGTGCAGATGCTCCGAATCGACCAGCTCGCCGAGCTAGGCTGCTGCTGCTTCTGCTCGATCCTGTACATCGCGAACGACGCCTTCATCGCCGCGAACAAGGACAAGGTCTCTGCGTTCATGCGTGCCGTCAAGCGCGCCACAGACGACGTCCTCGCGGACCCTGCTGCCGCGTATGCCGAGTACATTGACGTCAAGCCTATCATGGGCACCGATGTTAACCGCAAGATCTTTGAGCGGTCGTTTGCTTACTTCTCGCGCGATCTGAAGAATGTTCAGCGCGACTGGAACAAGGTTACCAACTATGGAAAGAGACTTGGTATCTTGAAGGAGGACTTCGTTGCTAACTATACCAATGAGTTCCTCTCCTGGGGTCTTGATGCTGATTCCACTGATCCTATCGGTGACCAGAAGCGCATGGCTGCCTTGCAGCAGGAGGTTGCTGCTGATGGTGGTTTCAAGCGTCTTGAGGTTAAGGCTTCGGCTTAGGTTGGGCTTAGGTTGGGCTTTGGCTTTTATTGCTTGATGACACTGCTTGAGAATGTTTGTCCTAGGCTTCACTCTTTAGCCTCATTATATTGAGTCAAATTGGAAATTGCCATATTGGTATCACTTGTGCTTAGACGATCTGGTAAAAATCTTGTAATACTGTGGACATGGGTAATAACAACCTAGCAAGAATCACCCATTCCTTTGACTACGTAGGAAAAGTCTACAGCCTAACATTTCCAGTATGATGTAGTGTAAAGGGAATCATTCATAAAAACTAAATGCGTTCGTAGCATGATGGATATTGTAGTAATGGTTTATTTCCAAAATCGTTAACATCAAAGTCATTATCATGTCTCATAATAGGACACCGTGTTACAGGCTCCAGTCGTCAAGGCACAGATGAGGGCGCACCCTCACTCCCTGAACGATCAAGCATGGCTCGTAGCCGACTCTCCGCGGACTGCAAAGCAGGGCTAGATTCTGGCCCAGCGATACTGGCAGTCCACTTGAGCCACCCAAGAAGGGAATGGATAATTTCCCGACCCGAGCTTCCTACCGCGGGTGAAGCATCACCAGCCAGACCAATTTGCGGGATAATATTGGATTCCGCGAAGGACCCATCATTTGCAATCGCCTCTAGATGGACCTCTGAGACGACAGCGGGAGTGGCCATTTGAGACGACTGCTGTTGGTCACTGCCAGCAGCATTCTTTGCCAGCAGATCACATCCGCTATGCTTCGGTTTCGATGCGAATTCGCGCGTGAAAGGGCTCGAGGGTATAGTCTCCGGGGCAATAGCCAAGACAGTTCCAGCCTCAGACTCCATACCCGGAGATAGCGGAGGTTGTCCCTGAGTGATTTGGCCGGATGTGCCATTCTGTCCCTGCATAGACGCAGTCTGCCGCAGGTTTTCCAGATACCGATGAAACGAGAACGGATGCATATCCCGAGCCGGATCAATCGCACTGGCCTCATCGTCGACGACCACCGCGTTACTGTCATCCACACGCCGTTCCTCATTAGGCCCGTCCTCCTCAACAGGTCCCAGCGCGCCCGACGGAGCACAAATCTCACCTAAAGGCGCGATGTGACTCCCATACTCATTGGAAAGACTCAGCTTGCTCCGCCCGCAGATCTCAGCGATCGAGTCTAACGTGCCACGGATATCAGGCTCGATAGCCTGCAGTATACTCTCGATGCTGAAGTCCTTATCCGTCGGGAAGATGACATCGGACTGAGAGGGACGGGGCGGAGCCGAGGTCCTCGAGCCGGAGAACGAGAGGAACCGACGCGCGGACATAGGAGGTTGTGTTGTAGGTCTATCCTGCGCATCGCCTGAATACGCCCTGACAAGCACTGGGCGCGTAGGTGACGAGGAGTGCCGGGAGGGATTATCAACTGGGACGGGTCGGGATGCAGGCCTTGGGGAACTGTTCGGCTGGCGCAGAGCCGTGGTACGATATGCGGTGGGGTCTTCGGCGGAGTCGTATCGTTGGTTTGTCTGGTGCGAGGGGCTGGTAGCGGGCGCTACTGGAGACGCGTTTGATGGGGATAGTAGTCGGGACCATCCTTGTCGAAGTAAGGAAGACGATGGCGGCCTTGTACCGGGCAATGTAGCCGACTCCATCTCCGTGCCGGTTGAGGTAGCGCGCAGCTATGTGTAATGCAGAATGCAGGAGACAGCGCAGACACTTACCCCGCTCTAGAGGTACAGGGCTTCGACTGGGTTAGGTTTGGCTCACGAGGGGTGTATCCGCGTCGCATGCACAATGCATATTCTCCGACCTGTGTTGAGGATTTGTGATTTAATGTACGGAGTACGGTCCCGTGCCTTCTCAAGTTAGTTTTGCTCTTTCCGGTTTAGCCCTTCAATACGCCGTCACGTATGTACCTACATGTAGGTAGCTCTTGGGAACGAGAAGTGGGTTCCCTGAGCTATGGCGTCCACGGGCAAAAGATCCCCGGGGCCGTGCCGGTGGATTAGTGGGGTCATCGGACAATATTTCAACCGATAGCATCACCTTAGGCCTTTGACCACGAATCCCGTGAGCACGAGGGCTCGAATTACCAAATCACTAGGGGGTATGAGGGATCTAGGAATACCAGTCGGAGTAACAACAAGGCCATTCTAGGAACTCGCAAAGAGAAGCTGACTTGCTATGATTGTGGGTGTATGACCGAGTCCCCGTAGGACTGAGGTAGGCCCTCGGGAAGCCCACGCTTTTGCCTCCAGTGGACTGGAACATGGCAAGATCCCCCTGTTTCCAATATGAATGAAGTCGGGTTTCCATTGGTTGCACTAGTACTTTCACGAGTCGGTTAAGTCGGCCGCAGTCAGCCCGACTTCCACCTGGGGATGAGTCGGCCGCTGACTGGCCGAGTACATCGGCCTCCGAGCCCGCGGGCCGGAAGCCGCTCTTTGATATTCCGTACGGATCTGTAACTAGCGCCGCCTTTGTTTCCAATTTCCTATGTTGTAGCCTTGAAATGAGCCTTCTTGACCGCCCCCGGATATGCCGGCGAATTCATCAATTCATCGAGACTCCGTAAACACGCCATATGTGCATAAACGCGGATTTGTATACTCCGTATTTCTATCACTGTCCTTCACTTCAGTCGACTCCAGAATGAACGCAACAGACTCTGCAGATTATTTGTGGGGACCTCCAACTTCGAAGGCAAAGTCAGTATGCCATCATGCTCATTTCTCCATTTGCTGATCTCGACAAAGCTACTGCGAGACGGACTATGCCGTGAGCAGATACATCGCTGAGTTTATCAACAGCTTGACAAATGTCGCCTATAGTAAGATACCGGAAGCAATGTAACCTTATGATCTAATTTATCTTCATCAGTAATCTGCGATCTACGGGTTACGCCAGCTGCAACGGAAAGACAAACATGGTGATTCTTTACGTGCCCTTCCATACTGGGGCTTAATAGCGGTCGGTTTGTGCTCGTTCGCATTCCATCTCAGCCTGAAGTACCACACCCAAATGAGTATGTGCCGCGTCTTTCTTATATTAGCTACCAACGTTATTAGCCTCGTGATTCCTTCTACTAGTGGAGGACCTCTCGATGCATGTTGCCACAACCCCGGTCCTGCATCGTGTCTTAACAGCCAATTCAAATCGCCGAGACTCTATCGTTATAGGTATAGTACTAGGCTCTATATTGCTATTTCTAATAACATTTCATGTGATAACCGATGAGCTGGTCCTGCATTCCGTGTCATTTGTCGGCACGGTGACCCTCATTGGGGTACATACTATACGGCTCGTCAATAGTCGGACGCTGCCGGGCTCAGCTACCCGACAACAGATCTGGGGAATCGTCAGGTTTGGAGCAGGTCGGTAATCTAATCCTACGATATCTAAACCACTAACTTATCCCAATAGCAATTTTTAATCTTGGGTATTGGCTTTGGGTACTTGACCAGTGGGCCTGCGGATTCTTGACAAAGGCGCGAGAAGCAATAGGTCTTCCCTGGGCTTTTGTATAGAACTTCATGGATGGCGAGTTTCAGAATTCTTGCCCCATGACATCTAAGCACTAAACCCATCGAAATAGGTGGCATATCTGTACTGGAATCTTCATCGCCGTTGTAGACCACCTCGTCTCTGGTGAGGATCTAAGCCAGCAGCCGTTCGCCTGGCCTGCTTCCTGGGCGTCGACATCAATTTTCGCAGGACGAGGACCCGTGGTCAAGGTTAGCGTGAAACAAAAGTGAAACCACAACCATGAATGTTTCTCGAGACAGGAGGGGGTGAAGTCATAGGCTGTCAGAGAGTCTATTATTTGATTCGAATGTACACTTCCCCGATCCGCCGGGGCATTGAAACAGTCAACGTGTTTCAAGTATCTCAGGTCACTAAAAGAATCACCTTGCTTAGCAAGGTATGTGAAAAGCTATGTACATTCTAGGACCAAAAGTGGAGGGAAAAGTGGAATAGCTGTAGTCTGCGAAGGGGAGATTCTTGTGTGGAGAGAAACTTCATCGGGTAAAGAGGGAGACAGTCATTTCAATCTCAATCAAAATCCGCATAAAGCCATGGATCCTGTAGTAATTCCTTTGCGGTACTTCGTTCTTCTGGGCGCCATTTTATCATCCTTTGTACGAACTCGATGAACATCCTCTTATCCTCATCGTGTATGTTGCATATTGAACATTCGAAGTTGAAGTCCAATGGTGCGACAGTCCTACCTTTGAATTGCCCTATCGAATTGAGTTAATATTCGCTGAAACAGAAGAGACAATAATATACCTAGGTACTTACCATCAGATGTGTAAGAACGATCAGTTCTTGTTCCTTTGTCTAGAAGTTCCTTTGGAGGAGGGCCTACCAATGCAGCGATATGGCCAAGGTGGTTAAGCTCATCATATTCTTGAACTTCGAGAGGATCCACCTCCTTGAATAGCTTTTTGCCTTCAAGGACATCCCACAACTACCGAAAGACCGTTAGTTTTAATATAGTAATGATATAGTGCAAGACTTACCATGACACCTAAGCTCCAGATATCGGCACTGTACGAATAGCCTGCTTCCAGAATAACCTCTGGGGCTCGGTATATTTCTGCTTGGATACATCCACTGTTTGGCCTATCTCCGCGGACAGATAAATCAAAGTCAGTGATTTGGATTATGCCGGTGATCTTGTCGGAGATGCCGAAGTCATTCCGAGAGAGGTGCGGCCATCTGAGCAACTTTTCTGTGGTAGAGGATGTTCGTATTCATCTCTGACACAGTTGTCCAAGATAGATGGATCCTCAACTTTGATCATTATATTGTCGGGTTTCAAATCTGGGATCGATTAGTTCTAACTTTTCAGTTATCCAACCCGAACTAAAAGACAAACCGGTATGAATAACATGACACTCAGAGTGGAGATAGTCAAGTCCATGAAGCATCATCTGAAGTAAAACCTTCAGCACATCTGACGGTATCACATCACCGGTGAACCTTTGGCGGTATATCCAGAGGGGTTCTCGCAAAGGTTCAAAGACAAGGCTGAGATGTCTCGCCAACCCACGCTCTATAGTGAACAAATCGAGAGGACGTGTGACGAATCCCCAACCCTTATGCAGGGGATTTGCTTCAGAGATGTGTCGTAGGATGTCTAGTTCAGCTTGAGCAGCGTTCTGCCGAGAGTGATGAGCACTTGAATTTACCTTGAGAGCAACGTATTTCTCTTTTAACCAGCGCCATCTGTACCGAGTATTAGCAGATGTACAACATACCCTGGATGTGGAGTACGTGGGGAACAAACTGGTTCAGATCCCAAGCGAGCCAGACCGTTGAGTTACTACCATAACCGAGTTTCGTTGCGAGTTGATACCGGCCATTCAAGATGTCACCCAACCGTGCTGGATAGAATCGTGCGGGATCATAGTACGGCGTACATTCCTCTTCAATGGCTTCCTTCACTGGAAGTTTGGGAATGGCCGCCCATGACAGTGGCCAGGGGCGGCGTTTAAGTGCTCGGACAGGGGACATTCGGGAGATGAAAGCTGCCATAAGACTCCGTCGGACGTGGAGCGCAAGCAGATGTCAGGGACAGGGTCATAGTGCGAGCATGAATGGAGAAGAGGGACGTGATCGATTTCGTTGTTCCGGTCCTTGCAAACATGTATACACCAACGTCGGAAAACCACAAGAAAGCTGTCAAATAAAGCTGCAAATGTAGTTCAGACTCCTTGCGTACAAACGTCAAAACGTTGAGTAAATAAGCCCAGAGCTCTAGTGTTCTCGTGCAGACAAAAAAAGAAGAGACCAAAAAAATGGCTCCGCCGCGATTTGAACGCGGGACCCCCCCCATTAGCACCATGAAGATACGAGTGGGATGCCATAACCACTAGGCCACGAAGCCAGTTATCGTTTGAGTTCTGCGATTTTAGTCCTCTTGATTAATTAGCGTTCATCCCATATCGAGGCATATCCTACATCCCCACGTTTCCCCCAGTGTTTCCTTATACATTGCCCAAGCTTTGCCCGGACGCACCATGAATCGGTTCCAAGTATGCATCCATGTCACCCAAAATCGGTACATCATCTAATCTCCTATAGTTCAGCGACTCCGACGGGTCATCCGATTTCGATGAAGACCAATCCGGGCTTCCCTTCCCAGAACCGCTATCCCGCACCTCATTCCTCGCCCCTGACTTCGATCCAGCGAATTTCCTATCGTCATTAACAAACCGACATCAGAGCCTCGAGGATCTTCGACAGGAACTGCGGGGACTAGAGCAATTATTGAACAAAGAGCTGTTGGATCTTGTCAATGAGAACTACCAGGACTTTCTCTCATTAGGCAGCTCACTTCGCGGGGGAGAGGAGAAAGTCGAAGGTGTGAAGGTTGGGGTTCTTTCTTTCCAGCGCGATGTCAAATCTATCCGGGACAAGGTCGAGGCGCGGCGGCAGGAAGTGGAAGAGCTGTTGAATGAGAAGCGGCGGTTACGAACGAACGCCGACATCGGCAAAGATCTGTTGGACTATGCGGATCGGGTGGAGGAATTGGAACACCGGTTGATGATAGTGGACAAGTCATCGCAAAAAGAGGCCACACAGGACGAATCCGATACCGAGTCCGATCTGTACAGCGGCGAAAGTGCAGACAGCGATGACGACGAGCTACCGGATGGCACTCCCGCGATTTCATTGAAGAGGATGGAACGCCATGCCCAGAAGTTTGTCTACTTGACCTCGATAGCTGCCCGGGTCGGCGAAAAACATCCCTTCCTGCTTGCCCAGCAACCACGAGTCGCGAAGATCAAGTCCACAGTGCTCCTGGATCTCAAAACTGCCCTGGAGCAGACCACCGCTGGTGGTAAACAGGGCAAAAGCGACGCTAGGACAATGGCAATTCTGCGTCTCTACGAGCTTATGGGTGAGGATGTCAGTGCCGTCGCCGCGCTGAAGAACCTCAAGCTGTAAAAATAACGTGCTTCGTCCTGAAAATTGGCGACGTGCACTGATTTGCATACATAGCGTCGGCGTTTGGTCTTATAAAGTTCTAATTCAACAATGATACCATGATACACCATGTCCTTTCCTAATAAAACAATAAATTTGTACACGCCAAAGGATATAAGAAAATTGAGTATGTTACACGCCAGTCAAGGCGGAGGTTGGGGGTGAGGCATCGGAGCGGAACTCGCCGTTGAGTGAGAACCCGGGTCCGTTCGTTGAGCTCAGTACCTGACGGTGTTGTTAGAGGCTGGTTTCCACAAAAAGGATCAATTCATGTACTCACCACCTCGTAGATCTCCTTGTTGACACGGTCGGTCAGCGCGGAGGCATCCTTCTTAATCTGGTCAAGGGTCACGCGCATGTTGTCGCGCAATTGCTCCGGAGAGAAGCCCAATTGTCCGACGGGCAGACGGATAACGGCATCACGCTCACGGTAGACAGTACCACCACGGAGATCCTGTACTCGCGAAGCCACATCTTCCACAACGGTACCGGTCTTCGCACTGGGCATCAAACCACGAGGACCGAGAATACGACCCAGGGCGGCCTTGTTCAACGCCGGCAAACTGTCCGGGTGGGCCAGGCAGCGATCGAACTCAATAGTGCCTGCCTTGACAGCGTCGAAGACTTCATCTTCACCAACAAGAACGGCACCGGCGGCAAGCGCTTCCTTGGCTGCTTTCGAACCGGGGGGGGCAGATGACACAGATGCGGGATTCGGTCTGGACGGCGTGAGGAAATCGGAGCATGTTACGGATGACGGGACCGTCGCGCTTTGTCCGCAGTCGGATGTGCAGTTCGTATTTTCGAACGGTGGGTTCGCGACCGACTTCGATGGCCCGGATATATCTGCAGAAAAGAGGGTGTCAATTCGTGGCCCGGCCATTGACTGACGTCTCACTATGAGATGCTCAGTACATACCGCATAGCATCACACAGAGAATACTGCGGCATGTCCTTCAAATTCTTTTGTCGGAACTCCTGGGGTCCTTTGCGGCTCTTGGTAGGCTGCTCTTTCCCCTTCTTTGGTTTGTTCTTGAGACCTCGGACCTGCTGGAAAGGGGAGAGAATGGGAGCGATTGGGGTGTTCCGCAGTGGATTCCGGCATGATGAGAGGATTCCGCGTGCCGCGGTGGGCAGCATCGAGCCGGCGGACGACATGTTGGCAGGCGTTAAATTGAGCTGATCGACTGGATGAAGCAATTGTTTTCTGCCGGAAAGCTGTCGGCCTCGGAGAAACGTGGGTCCGGACGGGGACTGTAAATGATGACTGCCCCTCCAAAATTTCCCATTGCTTCCCACACTTCTGCGCAATGTCTCAATACGAATTGAAAGTGGCCACTCGTGGTAACCACGCGGCGCTCCTGCCTGTGGTTCTCATCGTCACCTCTATCAACGAGGCCCGCCCCGCCCCCGTCGTCAATATCACCTTTGAGGACACTGCTCTTCTCCAGGATAACGATAAGGCCATTGTCCAGCTCACTAGTGGCTCCAACTCTGTTTTTGGCACTGCCGATGTTATCCAGGAGCTTACTACCCACTTCCCTTACCTGGTTGGCAAGGATCCCAAGGTGGTGAGTTACTAGTTACTGCCCCGCGGCCGAGACTTCTATTTAAAACGATATGTCACTAACACTAATTTTCCCATAGGAGACCGAATGGATCTCTCAGTTGGAGTCCTTGACTACCCTGGACTTCAAGGCCCTCGATCCCTTGCTCCAGCGCCTCGATGCTCACCTCCTTATGCGCTCGTTTATCGTCGGATACTCTCTGTCTACCCCCGATATTGCCCTTTGGGGTGCTCTCCGCGGAAACCGTGTCGCCGTTGCGGCTCTGAAGAAAGGATCCCTTGTGAATCTCACCCGCTGGTATCGCTTCTTGGAAGAGCTTTGCCCCTGGGCTACCGCCGCTGTGGAATCTATGAACGCAGTTGCTAAGGAGAAGAAGGTGGCCAAGTCTAAGGAGGGTGCCAGTTACGACATTGCCCTTAAGAACACCGAGAACGGTGTCGTTACCCGATTCCCCCCTGAGCCTTCTGGATACCTCCACATTGGTCACGCTAAGGCCGCTCTTCTTAACGACTACTTTGCACATGAGAAATACAACGGAACTTTGCTTCTCAGATTTGACGACACCAACCCTTCCAACGAGAAGCAAGAGTTCGAGGATGCGATCGTGGAGGACCTTGCGCTTATGGGTATTAAGCCTAACAAGATGACCTACACTAGTGACTACTTCGATGAGTTGTACGAGCACTGCGTTAAGATCATCGAGCAGGGCGACGCCTATGCGGATGATACCGAAAAGGAAACTATGGCTGCCCAGCGATGGGACGGCTTGCCTAGCCAGCGTCGCGACCTTTCCCCCGAGGAGAGCTTGTCTCACCTAGAGGAGATGAAGAAGGGCACCCCCGAGGGCCTTCGTTGGTGCATTCGTGCTAAGATCTCTGTCGACTGCCCTAACAAGGCTATGCGTGACCCAGTCATCTACCGCTGTAACCCAGCGACACACCACCGCACCGGCGATAAGTGGAAGATCTACCCCACTTATGACTTTGCCTGCCCTATTGTTGACTCGATGGAGGGTGTGACCCACGCTCTGCGTACCATCGAGTACCGTGACCGTAACCCCCAGTACCAGTGGATGCTGGACACTATGAAGATGCGTAACGTGCAGGTGTGGGATTTCGCCCGCATGAACTTCGTTCGCACTCTCCTCTCTAAGCGCAAACTCACTAAGCTGGTCGAGACTGGTCTCGTCTGGGGCTGGGATGATCCTCGCTTCCCCACCATCCGTGGTATTCGTCGCCGCGGTATGACCATTCCTGCTCTCCGGGAGTTCATCCTGAAGCAGGGCCCCTCCAAGGCTGTCACCAACTTCGACTGGGGTCTTATCTGGGCCACTAACAAGAAGTATATTGATCCCATTGCCCCGCGCCACACCACCATTTTCAACAAGAACGTTGTTAAGACCACTGTCACCGGTGGGCCTGCTGCTCCCTACAGCGAGGAAAAGCCTAGGCACGTCAAGAACGCCGCCGTGGGCATGAAGAAGGTCGTCTATAGCAGCTCCATCATCCTCGAGCAGGAAGATGTCAAGCTGTTCAAGCCTGACGAAGAGATCACCCTTATGAACTGGGGTAACGCTATCGTGCGCAAGGTCACCACCAACGAGACCGGTCTCATCACCGATCTTGAACTCGAGCTGCACATGGCCGGCGATGTCAAGAAGACTGAGAAGAAGGTCACGTGGCTTGCCACCGAGGGACAGGACCTGGTTCCCGTCGAATTGGTCGATTTTGATCACCTGTTGACCAAGGACTCTCTCCAGGAGGACGACGTCCTGGAGGACTACCTCAACAAGCACACCGAGTTCCGCGAGGAAGGTATGGCTGACTGCAACGTCGCTGATCTCAAGGAGAGCGACATCATCCAGTTCGACCGCAAGGGCTACTACCGCCTTGACCGTGCGTACGCTCCTGGCAAGCCTGCGGTCTTCTTCAACATCCCTTCCGGCAAGACTAAATAGATCATGTGCAAATAGATCATGTGTCAGTTGATGTGAGTCATGTTTTATGAGTGATCTATGAAAATGGAAGGTTGTTTATATGATCATATGCACCTCGTGCTCAGTAAAACAATTGTAGAGAGATCCGCATGCTGAGCAGAATCACATGGTATTTGGGAATAGCCTCGTTTGATGGAATCGTGTCTGATTGATGGCAGTCCAATAGGAATTGATTGAATTGATAAGGGGCCAGGGGGCAGGGGGCAGTGGGCAGGAAGCAAGCAGGCATGTTGAAGAAGAGTGAGGAGAGAAGAATAGAAAGTCTAAATGAGAAAAATCTGGGTGTATCTAGCCTCTTTCCTTCATCCCGACTTCGTTGTTTGCTCCTGCGGTCTTCGGATGATTTCTGCCTACTGCAGGCCTTTCCTTATGCACCACCTGGGCAGACCATCTCATCGACCTCGGAAGATCCATGGCTGGATATTTATAACTTTGCCATGCGCACTGCACCCCACCTGGGCAGGTCCCTACATATTTATGTACCTACCCATGTTACAATCCTGTATGCATCTACAAAGGGCTGCATTGGACGACGCAAGGGCAAATTGTGGCATTATCTCCCATGGCGCGTAGGGGATTTCACGGGCCATTCGCGCGGTATTTGGCTACAGGTAGGCATATTATACTATGATGTCGCTCTGGGAGGGCTGCTGCTGTCTGGGAATGGTCCTAACGGCGCGTGTAGGGCTGAAAGCGTCACGTGTGCGACGCCGGACCCTCTTTCATGACTCTACTACAGCAATCTTCCTGGGTAAGTTGTTCACCATGCTTCTTATACTTTTCACATCCCGGATTTCCTGGCTCACTTTCCCACCGTTCGCCCTCTCTCTCGGCGAAACATGAAACTGGCGTGGGAATGGATATAAATTCCGCCGACCGGCTGCCAGCGGAACGGGCGCGCATGACGTCGAAGACTACCTGCATGCATTCGATTGACATCCGGACAGCCGCTCGTCCGCCTATGCTTGAATGGCTTCCCCAGTTCCTTGGGGCTCAGGGATTTCGACTGGTATTACAACTACGACATTCAACGCCCAATGATTGTCCTGGAACAGATCATCACCATATGAATTATATATGCGATGGTTTCTAACAACATCATATTCTGCAGCCACAGAAAAATGGCCTGGACCCTTCCCTACTGGCGTTTCTCCTGGCCTTGCCGAGACATCTTCCGTGATCCGTGAATGAATACTCTCTTGGCTCGAACCCTATTGGCTCGAAGTCAATTCGGGTACCTGCTTGCGCCACCAGCTTCTTTTGACCTTAGCGCCAACCAAATGGTCTTGTCTCTGCCCGGGATTGGTCGAACCGATATTCGATGCATCAAAACCCAGCGGGAGTTCTTCGGGTTGTCCGCGGCACGTCCCTTTCGAGACCTGGTTCCTTGGCTTCTAGTTCCCCGGTTTCATCATCCTTCAAGTACCGAGTACAGAGACCAAAATAATGAGCATACATGGAGACGTGTCTCTCCCGAAGGCTTCCTAGCTCGACGTCAGCATGATTTTCCAAGGGAAGGGAACATTCCTACCTTAACAGCCTTTTCTCTTTCCTACTCCAGATACAATCGCAGTGATCTTCGATTCTTGTCATCCCGAAGGTGCTGAGGCACAAATAGAACATTTGCAAAGCTCATTTTCTTCATTACATTGTTTGCTCATTTCTATATCCCCATTTGCTCCGTGCATTCGTTCTTATTATCATTAATAATCTTGTCTCATTTGACAGGTGTGTGTCAATCGGGCTTCTCTGTGTCGGGGAACTTATATCTGACTTAGGAAGTCAGACATGTCGGCGAGGGCAAAGCCGAGCGTGCCGACAATCGCCGCCGTAGCTCACGTATCTCCCGGGCATCTCTGAGCGGGGACTGGAACACTCTGGATGAGTATGGCAAGCTTGTCAAGTATGTGTCGACTTTCCGTGATCCCAATGCAGCGGAAGAAGAGAGGGGGGAACTGGTTGAGAAACGAGTCTGGTACGCCCCATGGATGAAGCGAAAGGTCCGCGTTCGAAGGGTCGAAGGAGAAACCGGCAAATTTCCCGATGAGTGGACCATGACGGACGTCCGAGAGGGACTTTCTAGCGATGAAGTTCCGCTGCGTCGTCGTCGAGCTGGGTGGAATGAGTTGGTATCCGAGAAGGAGAATCCCATTGCTAAGATTCTTTCTTACTTCCAGGGTCCAATTCTCTACGGTGAGTTCCTATCGCTCCTCCTTTGACTATCACGCTGACTTGAGCATAGTCATGGAGTTGGCTGTTTTGCTTGCTGCTGGTCTAGAGGACTGGGTTGATTTTGGTGTCATCATTGGTATCCTGTGTCTGAACGCGTCCGTGGGCTGGTATCAGGAGAAGCAGGCTGCCGATGTGGTTGCAAGTCTCAAGGGTGACATTGCCCTGCGCGCGCAGGTTATTCGTGACAACACTCAACAAGAATGTCTTGCTCGAGAGTTGGTTCCAGGCGATGTAGTAAGTCTATCTTGGATGGGGCCGAACATGGTATACAGCAGACTCTGATCAATCATCTAGGTCATTGTTGGTGAAGGTCAAGTCGTGCCTGCAGACTGCAGGGTTATCTGTGATGTCAAGGACGAACATGGCTGGGAAGAGTTCAACCAGCTTCAAGAGCAGGGTATGCTCGGTGGAGGGTCCGAGTCTGAAGAAGAGGATGAACCAACCAAGACCGATAAGGGTGAAGGCGATGGCAAGGCCAAGGAGGAGGACGAACACCAGGCGAAGAAGGCCCGCAGACGTGGTTATCCTATTTTGGCTTGTGATCACTCTGCCATCACGGGAGAGTCGCTAGCCGTGGATCGTTATATGGGAGATATGATCTTCTATACGACTGGTTGCAAGCGTGGCAAGGCCTATGCGGTCGTACAAACGAGTGCGAGAACATCCTTCGTTGGCCGCACTGCGACTATGGTGCAATCTGCTAAAGGCGCTGGTCACTTCGAACTTGTCATGGACAATATCGGAACGTCTCTCTTGATTCTTGTTATGGCCTGGATCCTCGCTGCTTGGATTGGCGGATTCTTCCGTCATATTCCCATCGCTTCGCCCGATCAGCAGACTTTGCTTCACTACACTCTGTCTTTGCTGATCATTGGGGTACCTGTCGGTCTACCTGTTGTGACCACTACCACAATGGCTGTTGGCGCTGCCTATCTGGCGAAAAAGAAAGCTATTGTGCAGAAACTGACAGCGATTGAATCCCTGGCCGTAAGTGCGTATCAACTCGGACTCGCCGTCAAATGCTAATCGCAAAATAGGGTGTTGACATTCTGTGCTCTGATAAGACCGGTACTCTCACGGCAAACAAACTCAGTATTCGGGATCCTTATGTAGCTGAAGGCGTCGATGTCGATTGGATGTTTGCCGTTGCTGCTCTTGCATCCTCGCACAATATTGAATCTCTTGATCCGATCGATAAGGTGACAATCTTGACACTAAGGCAATACCCAAGAGCACGAGAAATTTTGCGCCGAGGTTGGACAACTGAAACTTTCACGCCCTTTGATCCAGTTTCAAAACGCATTGTGACTATTGCCACCTGTGACGGCATCCGGTATACCTGCACCAAAGGCGCTCCGAAAGCTGTGCTTCAATTGACAAGCTGCTCCAAGGAGACTGCCGACTTATACAAGGCTAAAGCCCAAGAATTTGCGCATCGAGGCTTCCGCTCTCTGGGTGTTGCTGTGCAAAAGGAAGGCGAAGATTGGGCTTTGCTTGGAATGCTGCCTATGTTTGATCCACCTCGAGAAGACACAGCCCATACTATTAGCGAAGCACAGAATCTCGGTATCAGCGTCAAGATGCTCACCGGTGATGCCATTGCCATTGCGAAAGAAACCTGCAAAATGTTGGCTTTGGGAACTAAGGTGTATAACTCAGACAAGCTAATTCACGGCGGTTTGAGTGGTGCTATGGCCAGTGATCTTGTTGAAAAGGCGGACGGCTTTGCCGAGGTGTTCCCAGAACACAAATACCAAGTCGTACAAATGCTGCAAGAACGAGGCCACTTGACTGCTATGACTGGCGATGGTGTAAATGACGCACCGTCTCTCAAAAAAGCGGATTGTGGCATTGCTGTTGAAGGCGCCTCTGAAGCCGCGCAGTCTGCATCAGACATCGTGTTCCTCGAGCCTGGGCTGTCAACCATCATTGATTCAATCAAGGTCGCACGTCAAATCTTCCATCGCATGAAGTCGTATATCCAGTACCGCATTGCACTATGCTTACATCTTGAGATCTACCTCGTGACTTCAATGATCATTCTCAATGAAAGCATCCGTGTCGAGCTCATCGTCTTCTTGGCATTGTTTGCCGATCTTGCGACTGTTGCAGTAGCCTATGACCATGCATCCTTCGAGTTGCGGCCTGTTGAATGGCAACTTCCGAAAATCTGGTTCATTTCCGTACTTCTCGGTGTGCTTCTCGCCTTGGGTACGTGGGTTATACGGGGAAGCATGTTCCTTAAATCGGGAGGCATTATCCAGAACTGGGGCTCTATTCAAGAAGTTCTCTTTTTGGAAGTGGCACTCACGGAGAATTGGCTCATTTTTGTCACTCGCGGCATCGCTACCTGGCCATCTATCCACCTGGTGACTGCGATTTTCGGCGTAGACGTTTTGGCTACTATCTTCTGTCTGTTTGGTTGGTTTACCAACAAAAACATGAGGACCAGCCCACAAAGTCAATTTGTCGAGACCACGAATGGCTGGACCGATATTGTCACTGTTGTGCGGATCTGGGGTTACTCGCTTGGTGTGTCGATCGTTATCGCTCTGGTGTACTTCATCATGAACAAGATCAAGTGGCTCGATAATCTGGGTCGTGTCCAGCGTGACAGGGGGGAGGTCAAAATGGAGAATCTGCTTGCTCACTTGTCTCGTCTTACGGTTGAGTACGAGGAAGGGGGTGCGCCGAAGGGACGGTTCTGCTTGGCTACAACCAAGGAGGAGGAGGAGGCTGAGTAAAGGGGTGGGATATCAAGTGGGTGGTATGATGTCCGGAGTTAATGATCATTTGCTGTTGAAAGATTTCTCTTTTGTTTTGTTCCTGGCCTAATTAGATATTGTCGATGGTGGACGTTATCATTATTGTGTTTTCTCGGGGCCAACGTATACCAGCACGAGGGTGTGTCTGTTAATCTCTAATGTGTTGAATCTGCTTGGAAGTATCCTAATGGCGCCAAATACTTCTAGCTCTGTCTTTCGAATTTAATCATTAATTAGTATAGTGTTGATGGAAGCCACAAGATACCCATGTCAATTTGTAGATAGATTGAACGAGCTCCATCCCGAGTCGAACGGTATATTCATCATATGATTAATTAAATTACAGAGTTACCAAGTATAGAGAAGGCACAAAGGAATGCAATTGGTATGATTTTCCAAGGTTCTAAAGGGGAAGATTAAATAATGGGTATCATATGGGCAGACGGGTTGAAGGGGATAAAATCGAAGGGTATAAAAGGATGACAAAAGATTCGAAAGACAAATTAAAAGCGAGCCGGGTCTGGAATAATGTCGAGTTCATCGTAGATCTTCTTATATATGCTCAACAGCCCATTGATGTGCGTCCACATCGCAGAGACACAAACTCCTAAAAGGGGTCGGTAACGATGTCTGTTCTGTTTTGGCCACAATATCAAACGCTCAGGTACGGTTACGCTGAGCATGTCTGAGGTTGTTAGTTAGACCATGGGTGGCGCGACTAGCAACCTCGTTCGCCTTACGGAGGCCGCCCAGTAACCCAAGAAGGTCGTTGCCCAAGACAGAGGTGAGAATATTATTTTCCAACTCATCGTTCGATTCATCCTCACTCGAGTGATCCTCATTCGGCGGGTTAGCGTTCGAGGTGGGAGCCGCAGTAGCCTCAACAGATGGAGTTGTAGAGTCAACTGGCTTTGTTGTCGCGGTGGCCACAGTAGTCGGGTTGGGCGTTGCAGCGGGAGCAACGGGCTTTTGTTCCTTGGAGGTGGTTTCTTCAGGTGCCTTGTGCGAAGCAGAAGCAGATGAGGAGGAGGAAGACGAGTGTGAAGAGTCTGGTGCACTGGAAGATGACGACGTCGTCGATGTCTTTGTTGTAGTCGTTGAGTCAGTGGACGTAGATGTAGATGCCGAGGTTGACACCGGATCGGGCGACGACGAACCGGAATCATTCGCAGGGCCCAGAGCCTTTCGCACGTCCTTAATAAAGCCATCATTGGCGTATGCCTGCGTGGCATCCCACATCATAACACCCCCGAAACTCTCAAACTTCTTCGTGTATTCAATCACCTCGGCCAACTTGGACGCCGGAATATACCCCGTGCTAGCGGCAGAAGTGAATGCCGGTACGCCAACAATGACCTTGACATCTTTGTTCTTTGACACGGTCTTGGCCCAGTTGTCCCACTCTTCGAAGTTATATTTGCTGCTTGAGGCGTCGGTGTTGAAATTGTTGACGCCGCAAAAGTTGTTATAGAACTGTACCCAGATAGCGTCGATGTAGACAGGACCGTTGAGGATATCTTTGTCGGCCTGGTCGGGTAGGGGCATTGCGGTGCTGCTGTCAAGTAAAACTTCTGCTTGCTCTTATCTGCCTCCATCAGTGAGCGCAGCTCGTTGGCGAAGGGGGCCATGTGTTGGACATTGGCCTCGAAGTCGAAGTCGAACCCATCCAAGGCGGCGTCACCGAAGGGACGAAGGGTTTTGGAACCCTCCTGCTTGGGGCCGAAAGTCTCCCACATCAGCTTCGCACCGTCCTTGGCAGCTTCTTCCGACTTGAAGCCACCCTCGCTGTAGGTGGCTCCACCGATAGAAAGAAGAATCGTCTTGCCCTTCTCTTGACACGTCTTGATATCCTTGCTGGATGTTGTCAGCTATCTAGCAAATCGTCAGCGAACGGGATGTAGCAATGCTTACGCAATTGAAGGACAATTCTTCAGGTTAGTGCCCTCAAAGACTTCGCAGTCTTTGCTGGTAACGGAGAAATCAATCGCCGGGGCGCCTCCTGGGCCATTGACCATCATATTGAAGGCCATTGGTATCACCTATGCCAGTTTGTTAGCCCATAACTTTGGAAGTTTTTTTTGGTTATCCTGTTCGTACATCAATGTCATCATCTAGAGTCTCGTGTTAGCTGTAACGACCACATCGGAAATATAGGGCTCACTCACTATCGCAGTAGTGTGCCAGGGGCTGTTGTTCCTTATCCCCCTTTCCATTGAAAGAATTTTGGCCTTCAGTACATCGAATGTAAGTATTAATAGGCCTAAACAATGAAGGAACACATACCCCAATAAACAACGATGTTGCTGGTCGAGTTCAAGTCCAGCTTCGCCTGTGCTCCTCCAAGTGAAGCCAACAAAATAGACCAAGGAAGGAGACCCTGATACCGACGCATAATGACAACTGCGGTACAGAATGTGCTTGGGTTAAATACTTGTATTGAAGAAGAAACTAATATATGGGATTAGAGGATATATAGGGACGGAAATGACAAGGACGCGTCAGAACACCGAGCCTCAGCATGAATGAGCATAGCGCATCATTAAATAGGATACAGTGGACTTTTGCCCTTGTCATTCTCCAAGAAGCATTGGCCGCGTTTCCCATCCAAGTGCCTCACCTGGTGCCCGGAGCGCATGGTATGATCCACATGTCCACGCCAGCGATCGCAAAAGAGTTTCGGGGTCATTCTTTGGTCTCAAATGAATAAAATGTGTAAGTAATATTGCTAGATGACTATGTTGATTGGACTGTGGAGTGTTTTGGGCGCCCTGGTCTGCATTCCAGTGCCGTTGTCAGGGGGCCGAGAGCAGATCTAAGAATGCACCGAGGGATGAGCATATGTGAATGTAAGATCTAGGTCTAGGCAATTAGAATTTGACTACATATTGTATGCCCGGCTATCGTGGTCAGAAGCCATATCCCTTGTCATCTGGGTGGTCATCTCGGTGATCGGTGATTATTTCGGTGATCATCTGGGCGTGGCACCCCTTCAAACTATACTCTACTCGCCCTTAGAAGATGAACTAACTTGACACAAATGGGCCATAGCTTTTTAGTTCGCTACTTCTCAAGGCTAATTTCCAAAAGAAAAGATAAAAGAAAAGAAAAGAAAAAGAACATTGAATATTGAAAACTACATTGAACGTAAACTTGCTGGCGCTCCGAAATATATATTAACAAACCTAATTCCCCGAATCACTGCCTACGGAGGGATATAGGATACTCCACGCAATGCAGCAACGTCAGCTCTTGTATTGGCGTTGCTGGAGATGAGGAAAGGGAAAGAAGTCACAATGCCATTCATCTCCAATAATCGTACGTGGTTCTCCGGACGATTGACCCTGGGGCTATTCGGGGAAAGGGGGATTGTTGGAAATTAAGAGAACATGCATGAGCCGAGTAACTCTGTGTAGGTGTTAATATATGTAATCGTTATTGAGAATACGGCTTATTTAAGTTACTTCGAACTTGATATTGCTATACGGAGTAGTGAGCCGATCATATTGCCAAGTCCTATAATCTAGGGCCCTATACTTTGTCGTACAGCGCCTAAAGATAGAGCGTAGAGATGTAATAGGTGATTCTGCTCTATATACACTCTCTCCTAGGATAACTTGTCAAGATTCATCAACGTCAGATATTCATCTATATCATCGGCTAAACGAGTCGTTATTGCGGAGTAGGGTTTGCAATAGTGATAAAGACAGGAACGCTAAGTATCAACGATTGCCTGTGACCTCTTCGAGAGATTAGCAGGCAATTTGTAAACAATTCAAAGTTGTACTTGTAGCATACTAGCCTATATTGGGGTGGTTAATTCCCATCATGAGTTAGGTACATCGAACGTTCCAGTTTCCATGGATCATTCCAGGATCATTCCATGGATTAATTCCGCTATTACCACGGGTCAACATACTGCTTATGGGAATAACGAAAAGTGGTTGTCGTCATACTTCAACTTTTTCTATCCTTCAAGCTTTCTTATCAAGTTTCATGTTCAAGCTATCTGGGAAATACTACTCAGTTTCGGTCCGGTCCCGGAATTGGATACCCGGAAAAAGGGGACACTGAGTACAATCCTGGACAATGAGAACAACGTCATCTAAGCCTATATACACGTTCACATGGTAATTGCATTCAACTCACGAATATACGGAGATGGATATCCACTGGACAAAACACCCACACTTTTTGCCATTTTGATACCAAATGTCGGATGAAAGAGCGATACCCCATACTATGTAATATGAATTTTCTGAGTATAAATTGAAATCTAACGTCATCGGATAACGAGACGGTTACTAAATCCGTTGCAATTATGGGTGGTTCGTCCATTGACATCATGTGCTCTACTCGTCACCGTATCTGACTAGCCCAGTGTGGGCTGATCACATAAGAGATGCTAAGAGTTTTGAAATCAGTAGATTTCGCTGCAACAGGTTCCATTGTCAGTCATCTAATAATATCGTCATGGCACACCAACAATCCAAGAGACGCGATCCAAACGATCTTGATGCCTGGATCCTGGGAAGTGGGATTGGCTCTCTGACAACGGCAGTACATCTCATCCAAGAGGCTAATGTTCCGCCATCACGAATTCACATCCTCGAGGCATTGGAGTTTGCTGGAGGGGGGACTGCAACCTGCGGTGATCCGGTCAATGGTTATCACTATCGCGCTGGTGTCATGCCTATATTCATTGACGCTTGGATGGAGCGGCTCTTTTCACTCGTACCATTAAAGGCGGACCGGACGAAGACCGTCATGGACATGATGGAAACCAACCGCTCAAAACCGCCTACCGAAAAGCTCCATACTAGGTTCCTCGCACGGAAGTCTTGGGGCGTAGAACGGATCAACACTAAAGACATCAGGCTAGGGCTTAGAGACCACATGGATCTGCTCAGGTTGGGTTTCAAATCGGAGAGGAGTCTAGGGCGATCTCGCATTAGTGATTACTTCCACCAAAGCTTCTTCCAGAGCGATTACTGGCTGTTACTAGCTACAACGTATGTGTCACTGACAGATGGTTTTACTCGTGACTATACTGATGATAATAGGTTCGGCTTCCAGCCGTGGCACAGCCTTGTGGAATTCCGTCGATATACACAGCACTTCAGGAACGGCACCCACGGACTGGATCGTGCGTGCCAACTTGATGTCAGCCGCTACAACGCCCACGAATCCGTTATCGCCCCACTAGCTGATTTCCTACTGTCTCGCGGCGTTGACTTTCGCTTCCGCACGACTGTGACTGATATCATTTTTGAGCCGTCGCACCAACAGGTATCCACCATCTGTGCGGTCCCAGAAAACGAACCAGCGACAACAATCGAAGTCAGGCCGCAGGACATTGTTATCGTATCAGTAGGCTCAGTGATATCCGGCGCGACGACCGGGACGAACGAATCTCCGCCATCGCTGGAGCTGATGGAGTGCGATAAGAACCTGGATGACAACTGGCTCCTGTGGCTGGAGCTATCGTCAAAAGATTCGAAATTTGGCAACCCATATAACTTCTGCACTCGGGTAGGTGAATCCCGGCAGGAATCATTCACCGTGACGCTCAAGAACAACACACAATTCTTCGAGCGCTTCGTTCAGCTGACAGGCGATGAGCCGGGCACCGGGACCTTCGTCACCCTCAAGCACAGCAGCTGGCTCCTAACCCTCAGCCTGCCGCGACAGCCTATGTTCCCGACCAGCCCGTCGACGTGCAGGTTTTCTGGGGCTACGCGGCCTTCCCAGAGAAGGAAGGCGACTATGTCAAGAAGCCGATGCTCAAGTGCTCCGGCGAGGAAATAATGACTGAGATTCTGCACCAGCTACAATTTCCTATCGAGGGGATCCTCCAGGGATCGATCACCATCCCCTGTTTGATGCCTCGGAAGTCGGCACCCTTGTTGCGGCGGGACGGTTGTGACCGGCCCCTGGTCGTTCCAGACGGGATGAGGAACATGGCCATGATCGGGCACTTCGTCGAGATTCCGAATGAGATACCTGTTAGTATGGACTATTGCGTACGCGGGGCACAGATGGCGATAAATCATCTGATGGGATTGGGCTAGAGATTTAGCTTAATATGCCCTCGGGGACCTAGGTGTTGTTAGCACGAATCCCCACCGAAACGCGGAACGGACAATCCCGACAACATACCGTCTCGCAGTGGGGTCCCCGAGGGCATTGAGGGTGACCGGTATAAACTCCTCGCTTGCCTCTCATGGGCGGGACAGTTCTGGACGAACTCGGACGGTGACGGATTTGGCATGGACATCGACGGAGGTGTGGACGAGGACGGTCATGAGATTGTTTCATCGTCACCAGAAAGATTGGTATCATTAGCCATGGGGTGTAGGATACCCGTAAACAAATGATTCCTACAAAATCAATTTTCCATATACGACAAGCTGTAAAGAGAAGTTGGTAATAGGGCTTGGCTGGGTGTGTACGGGTTTCTCGGGGCCAAAATAAATATCTCTACGCAATAACAGCCTTGACCTGCTCTCATGTGTATAGAATCGGGGCTTTTCTCTCCATTTCCTTTCCCACATACCAAGCGCCAAAATGGTACATTTTCTGAGGTCTCCATGTTCAAGCAGTAAGGGAGCTATCTCTTGATCCCAATGACCCGCTGAATAGCTTCACCATTACTCATAGCGGAATCAATAACACCAGCCACCTTGAGCACATCAACAACACCCCCAATAATCTTATCATCAACACCACGTGTGGCATTAGTAAACTTAACATCCTTAAGCCACTCCGTCGCATCCTCCTCAATATAATTGCAACCAAGCTCGCCAGTACCCAAAAGCTTCACAACGCGCGCAGTATCGGCCTCGAAATCCTTGATTCCCTGATCCAGCGCCTGGAAGAGACTCTCCAATCGCTGGTCTTTCTCGGGGTTAGGGAACAGCGCCGTAGAAGCGACAATCATCCACGAAGGCCACGGCGTGAAGATCTCGCCAATCTTCTTAAGCGGCGGGTTCGGGTTCTCAGAGGTAGCATGGAAGTACGGCTTCGTGGTGAATTCCTCCCACATGAAGAACTCAGCCGAGGGGTTCGCGGTCTGCTCGGGCTTTGAGCTGTCGAGACCGGATACGCCATCCCGCAAGGGCCCGAAGGGTCCCAGAGGAACGGTGGTCAAAGAATCGGCTTTCCAGCCTTGCCGCTGGGCAAGGACGAAAGACATGATATGGGAACCGCTGTAGGTAAGTGTTAGTTCCAAGCTATACTGTGCTCGGTAGGACTCAATGTTGATGGCACCTTCCCAGCCGGCTGACTCCAACCCTCTTGTCCTTCAGATCAGACACACCCGTAATCTCGTCCCGATTCCGGCCCGTTACAATAGCCCAGCGCAGAGGGTTGTCCACCCAGTGGCCGACAACCTTGTATCCCCCATCTGCGGAGCTCTGGCTTGCTTGCTGCTTCCCGGCCAAACCTGCGACCCACCCCTCCGTCAAACCGATAGCGATGTCGATTTCACTTCCGCGAAGCGATGTGATCATATGTCCTGTCCCGGATGGGAAGGGAGTTGTGGTGATTTTGAATGGGAGGGAAGCAACGGCCGGGGAACGGAGTGCGAGATGGAGTGGGGTTAGGTAGTGTTCTAGTGCGCGGTAAAAGCTTGTCGTTAGCTATATTGTGTCTAATGGAAAGTAGAAATGACCGGAGCTGGCAGATTGGACACGGGAGTACTGCAGTAATGTTTCCATCTGATGCCGAAGATGTGGGAGGGGCTGACGTACCGGGCACATAGCCAATGCGGATTGTGGGCAGGTCAGCCATTGTGCAAGACCTATTTCCGTTGCGGATGCGGCGAATAAACAGAATAAACGGGGACAGTAGAGCTAGGGTTTCGTGGGGAAGAAGTCGGCGCAAAAGTTGGAGCAGCGCAGCATTCCGAGTGACGCGGGGCAAGCCCCTCACCAGACGCGCGGAATCGGAGGACTAGGAAATAATCTTTTTTGTTTTTATAAAACACCACGGTATTGACATTATCTCATTCAAATTACAGTTCTATAATGCTGTTTGCCAATGCTACCTATCTACATAAATATTGAGTCTAGTCCAAGTTCATCATCCGGCTTTTCAGTTCATGCGGATATCCTTCTCGTGATGACCCCAGCGCCCATTCTGCTCCATAGACTCGCCTGCGGTCTGAGAGTTGGAACGGGAGTGGGAAGCGGAGAGAGGGAAAGCGTGGGAGAGTGAGTTGGAATGTGAGTGTGGGTTGGAGAACGCGTTAGAGAGCGAGTTGGAGTGGGAGTGGGACGGAGTTTTAGAGTGGGTGTTTCGGGTGAAAAAATAGAACTGGAAACCCAGGTAGAAGTCGCACACGCACTGGAAGATACCGCAGAGCTTGAACGCCCATGGGATGGTCTCTGTGCTGTTGAAGAAGTAGCTCATCTTCATGGTGTCACCAAGAATCCATGCCGCAATAACGGAGACTCGGAAGCCCTTGCACGAGCCGGATCGGTGGTTGGCAAGGATTTGAGGGATAGGGAGGGTAGCTTCGACGGCGAGTCCGATGTAGCCAAGGAGGCTGATATAGAATTGCGACTGAGCGATCGGGGTCAGGTGGACGACGGTCAGCATTCCGACAAAGTAACCCAGAGACATCCAGTATCTTTGCGAAAATCGGTAATTAGTGTCAAGTGCTGCGGTTGGAGGCGCGCAAACTTACGGCTTGGCGGCTTTCCACTGCCAAAACTCATAGGGCCTTAAGGATGAACCATCGGAGTTACCGCCACTGAAGGGTGTGTGCTCAATTCCATTTCTCACCCCGGCAGAGGGCCGATTATTGAGTGCAACCTTGAGCATCGTCATCTGCACCACGATCATGACAATTGCTTGCGTCAACAAAGTGCCTGAGTAGTGCTCGCCAAACCAATAGAAAATCCTAATGATACCACATTAGCCCGCTGCCTCAAGTTTAAACGCACTATTGATTCGGAATCCTACTTCAGGATCGACGAAATCAGCATGATCAAAGGAATGTCCAAAGAGAAGCCTGCTGAGCTTCTTGTGCGATGAATGCTGAAGATCTGGTCGGCATAGGAGGTGACGGGAGAGGTTATAAGGCTGTATATGAGATTAGCACGGAAACCTGCGGATCAATGGGGGGAGCTCGTTCATGTCCACGTACAAGACAGGTGCGGCATAGTCAAATGCCATCTGGAAAAAAGACATGACGGGCGATGGGGGTATGCGTGGTCGCTATAATTGAATAAAAAAACGGCAGCTGGGTCGACGCAATTGCGTGAGGAGTCGCGTCTCACAGGTATTCGCGACAAAGGAAACGCTGTCGACAATCCAGACAAGAATCTGTCAAAGAAGGGAAAAGAAAAGGTACAAGCTTTGGGACACACGACTGGATGCGGCTTGGCTTTTTCGGGGGCCCTGGATTATGTCAGCGGGTCTCCACCTCCAGGGCTGCGGCAGGCGGGTGGGGATGACTTGGCGCAGTTGGAGCCAATGAGATCAAGGGGCTTTTATTTACTCGTCATTTGCCTCCAGGGCTGTCTTGGATAGAACCTTGAAAGGTATTGCCCGATTGGGATACGGAGTTGTATCACAATGAGTCGTCGATATAATCAAAAACAAAATTATGACTTGACATTCTCCTACCAAATCCAACTTCGTGTCTTTCCCATCTGATCCCGCTATTGGTCTTACAAACATCCAAAATGAGCAACCCTAGTAGGCAAACCATGACGGAAGCCGAGTTCCAAGACCGTGAACGTGAGCTTCGAAACCGCGAATTGGAGCTTGAACGCGAAAAGCGTGAGCTTAAACTTCAACAGAGCAAAGTCGAGCTCGAAAAACAGGAGCTTAGATTCAAAGACGACAAAGCAGAACTCGAAAAGAAGGAAACTGAACTCAAGGAAAAGATCGCCAAGCTCGAAGAACTTGAAACCGAGTTCCAGAAACATGGACCCGATATAATCAGGCTGGCGATATCCAAGAAGTTTAGGCGTGGCATGATAGGCACGAAGGAACACGAACTCAGACAGAGCGGAGATATAAATGCTCTTCAGCGATGGCGATATGAACGCCACGTGTACGAACAAGACCTCGATGAGGCAGAGGATCAGTTAGCAGAGTTCCTCGACGTGGAGACCGGACTCCGAGAGATTGCTCAACGGGAAATCTGTTTAGGAGAGCGATTTAAGCAAGATCCCGCAAGACTCGATCAAGAGATCGAGATCGCAGACAGGGAATATAAGCGACTTGAGCACGAGTGGTGGATGATCCGGGATTCTTTCTCTGATGGACCGTTAGTGCGAGGGTTTGAGCTCTGGCGGGGGAATCCTAAGTGGTACATGCATCGTGTCCTTCGGGAAGACTGTGCCGGTAGAGGAGGCTGCTGTGGGCGTGATTGTGGATGTTGTCTTAATCGCAAACTTTTCCTGGATCGCGAGCATGCAGCTGGGCACTGCACTGTCGAATGTGGTTGTTGTCAGAAGGCTCGGGGATTTGAGCTTTCTGAGGATGAAAAGAAGAAGTTTGCGATTCGATATGCGGTCTCCCAGGATGGTAAGAAGGGCCTCGACCTGAAGGACCTCCATCTGAAAAACCTCGAACTGCAAAACCTCAACCTGCAACATGTGCTTTCTGAAGAAGCAATGAAGGACACTGTGATGAAGTACACGTTCTCCGACGGTGAAGTTGCTGAATATGAGCAATATACAAACGAAGCCGACTTCACCGACTATGAATCCGACGATGATGAGTGTCCCCGGAAGAGGTGGAGGATCCGTACTATCGTCGAATCTCCCAAGCTTCGATCTGGGGATTAGTAGATGGGAACTTTCAGAACCCGTTTGACTTGATCGACGAAGAACCGGCCCGTGATCTAACATGGCAGCTTGTGGCCGGCCAGGAGGAAAATGACTCAACGATGACAGAAGCGAGTTGGTAGTTTCCAAACGACAATTCTGTAACTACTTGGCTACAGTTTCTTTGGGGTATTGGTAGGTTTATGAGCTAACGTTTATGAATGGCTGGGAGTAATGAAGAAATTGGGAACTTGTTAGCTTGCCCCGAACAATGCTTATTTTACTACATACACCTCGGTGGTAATCAGTAAAAGTGGTCCTAGAGTATGCGACATACTAAGTAGTGGTATTACTGGACAGAGCGTTAAATAACCACGAATATATTCGCATACAACATAGTCATTAGAGAGATCTTTATAGCACTGGATACCAAAAGGAGTTGAAAATGACAATATATATATATTGTCTACCCTCCATGCAAAGAAATTAATTCACCCCGTCAACTGTCGATCTAGCAAAGATACATGAGACAATCCCCGAGGATTGCGCGTTAAAATTCTGGTGGAGTCAAAGGTGATCGACATCCTATATCTCAAACGGAGGCAGGGGTTTCCTATTGACTCGGAGGGGGCCAGGGGGCCAAAATGTCAGAGCGGCCATTAGACTGGCTTCTCAACAAGAAGGGCAAAGCTCCCTGCCTTGTTAACGTCAATGTAGCAATGGATATTGTATACAGCCGGTCTACTAGTTCTGATAGCCTCTCTAGCACGCAGCGCGTCTGCTTTCACAGCCTCGACAGTAGCACTGATTGACACGTGGCCATCAGCAGCTGACTAGTAACAACCCTGCTTTAGTTTTTTTTTTCGGGAGGCAGCATAAGGGATTTCGTAGTTAACAAAATATGTCCTGATCTGAGGAGGGAATCAGGGACGAGTTTCTGCTGAAATTGTCCAACTTTTTTCCTCAGGGAAGCAGAAAAGGGGAGCGAGAGAGGAAAAGTAAAAGTAAATCCTGTTCTGATTGAAGTTCTGTTTTGTGTAAAAAATGCTCTTCATGGCATGGGGAATATCAAGTTGAGATTCAATAGTCTGGGATACGTATGTAACCCACCGAACCCGATCACGATCACCATCATGGCTTACTAGAAGGATCGAGGATGTTAGAAACAGGCAGTTGCAGCTAAACATGGTTGACTCACGACACACGGGGCTTCGTCACTCTTCCCGGGGTGACAGTGAGCCCAAGGAAATCCTGCGGCTTTCTCTTCTAATGGACATCAGTACCTATGCCGCAAGTCGTCCAAGAGAATAGATCTCACCAAATGGTCACGTTTGATATGAGCGCGGAGCTTCACCACCTGAGGGTCCTTGCACATGAGGTCGTCAAACTTCGGGCAGTAGGGACACTTGTAGGCGCAGGGAGGAATCGTCTAAGGGTAACGAGTATTAGCCTCAGCTTGGAATAGACGGTTTGGGTGTTTTCACTCACGATGACTGCGTGTTCCATCGGCCATTGACATGCCTGATGGTCATCACAAGCGCAGAGCTTCTTGTTCTCCTGACTAATAGAATCGGTTAGCCATATTCAACATACCTTTAAAAAGCAATCCATGGATGCTTACAGCCATTTGGTGGGAGGCACGTCCCTGCTTGACCTCCAGTAATGACCGTACATCCCGTAGTAAGGGTTTGCGGGGACAGGCTCAGCCGGCTGAGGCTCGGATGGGATCGTTGACGATTCGTTCGTCATGATGGCGATGGTTTGGGGATGTGCTTCTGATGGTACCTTTGAGTGAGTTGATTGACAAAGGGCAAAGTGCTGGAAGGATGGCTTACTAGAAGATGAGGTGCGAGATGAGGAAGTAGAACAAAAATGGAAGGAACCCAAATAGGAAAGCGAAGTCGACACAAAACCGTCTGATATGGGTTGGCACGTGCCCAGTTCAGGCTGGCTTGGATTGTACATTTACTTGAGGAGTAAGAAATCTCGTAATACCAGAAGAAAAATCATCATAAATCCATTTCGATCCACAGAGTATTTACAGCACATACTTGAACAGCGGCGACTTGTCTCCCATATCGAACAGCTCATCCTCAGTGTAGTTAACCCTCGCATCATCCGCAATCCGTGCCTTCCTTGCATTGCCCACCTTGTATGTCCATTCGAGGAACAAAGCAACAAAGAATCCAACCCCACCGAGTGCCAAACTGAGGCCAAATCCAGTCGTGTACTTCGGGCTCTCTTTCTCCATATACATGAAGCTGCCCAATATGCCACCGATATTGCCAACACAGTTCACCAGTGCAATGCCCATAGCCCGTCGCGACGCCGGGGCAATGTTGTTTGCATTCCAAGACGCAGCTCCGGGCTGGATGGGGTAAATACCGATGACAGACAAGACGACTGCAAAGTAGGCCACTCCTTTCCTTGCTTCAAGCTCTCCGTTCAGGGAGATGATAATAGAATAGGCTACCACAACGATTATCATGGGAATGCAGACAAATGGCATTCGCCAATAGAAGCGATCGGAAAGCCGTGCAAACAAGATAGCAGATATCGCACCGGCAATATATGGAGGTGCAGAGGTGAGCTGGGCGTTCGTTGAGCTGAAGCCCATGGATTTGGTGATAGTCGGGAGGGTGAACTTGGTACCTGGTTGCGCAATCAAATTAGTTCAGTGTAGTGTCTCGTACAGACTTGAAGGACTGTTACCATAAGACAAGGCCGACTGGCAAAACAAAAAGTAGCTCAGCACGTATATCCTCCAGTTCAGCAGGACAATCTTGAGGTCTCTCCATTTGAAGCCTGTTTCTCCGGTACTAGTTCCTCCTTGCTTGATGAACATCGAAAGTTCCAGATAGCGAATTTCATCGGGAGATAACCAGCGCTTGGATAGAGCCGGGGTGTCGATGAGAAGAAAGAAACAGGCAACACCTAGTACCACACTAGCAATGCCTTCCAGAATGAAGATCCACCGCCAGCCCTCAAGCCCGGCAATACCGTCCATCTCAGCAATAGCGGCAGCCAACAGGCCGGAGAATGCACCAGACAGCGCACTGGCACAATAGAAGTATGAGATACGAAGCGCCAATGCCCTAGGCATGTACCAGTATGAGCAAAGGTAGATAGCACCAGGGAAGAAACCGGCCCTATGTAAGGTTTCAGCGTGCGAATCAAAAAGGGCTTGTTCATTTGCACTGACTCGAAAATACCAAGTAGAACTCGAGTGGCCATAAGACCAGCAAAGTTTTGCACCAGACCTGTGCATGTCATGACAACACCCCATGTTGAGACAAGGAGGCCAAGGTACACTGAAGGGCGCTTGAACCTTTTGAGAACAATGTTACTGGGAACTTCAAACAGGACGTAGGGAATGAAGACTATATTGGACCAAGGTCAGTACAGTACATATCAGTCCCGAGGCATCACGCCGGCTGAGTGTGGGCTGTAGGAAATAAACTCACATATAGAGAGAACAGTATTATACTGCAACCCTGTCATTTTGAGATCTTCGACCATGCCTTCAATTTTAGCATTGCCGATATTTGCACGATCAATATGGCAAATCAGGTACAGAACTGCGAGCATGGGAATTAAACGCCTGTCAACCTGGTAGAGCGTTAGCCGGATATTACGTGGATGAGCTAGGTCAAGTATGCTCACTTTGCGGAAGACCTTTTTCCGTTTGTCCTCGGGATAGTTGTTATAGAAATCTGCATCGTCGGGTGTCAAACCGACAACACGAAAGTCTCCGACCTGAGTGACGAGAGAAGGCTTCGGAATGTTTTCGACATGAGAAGTTTCATCGACAACCTCGACGTCGTTCTTCCCAATAGAACCGCGATTCATAGCTGCGGATTACAAGTAGTATACAACCTTTGGCTACTTCAAATGGGCCAAGGTCGAGATAAGCTCATCTGGATATGGGGTATCAGAAAAGCGATACGGGAAATCGACCAGAGAAGAGGGCATATACGCTATATAAATAGTAGACATCGTGGGTTGCCCTAAACAGCATGGAATGATTTCAGATCATTGTTTACCCCAGTCTTGGCTATGAGCCAATTAGCCAAGAAATGCGGGGAAGCTTGAGCATTGAAGGGCTGTGGCCCAGCTGATTCTCACCTGGGCAGAATTATGCCGGACGATGTATTGACCCGACCAGTAGTCGTCTCTGCCAAGGTGAGCTTGTTGATAGACATCCAGTCAGAGCCCAACCCACTGTGGAAAGCACAGACAACTGCGGGCATGCGGGGTGTATCTTTTCTCCAATAGAGCAATGATGCGTCTTTCTCCGGGCCTTCCTCGGGGCCTTTCAAGGTTCTCCGGGCCTTTCTCCAGGTCGTTCTCCGGACCTTTATCCGGTACTGTCTGCTCCGACCCGACCTTATTTGGACGTATGGAAAACTGCTATTTCACGTTTCTGGCCGGAAAGCAGGTCGTTTGATACCCATTTGGATGTTTCTGCCTGGAAGACGAAGGCTAACGTAGCATGATATTCTCAGTGCGTTTTCTGTTCGAGAATCACGTCTCAAGCCGCAATAAAAGAGATCAAGAACAAGCTGGTGGAGTTTGATGACATTCCATTGGTGGGAAATGTGGTTATGCACGAGCCGCAGTAGGATCAAGATCATCACGGATTCCGCGACTCGGGCTGGTCATTTGTTGACCTGACACGCCTAGCTTACTTGGGAAAAGCCGGGAAGATCAAAGCCTCTTTCCGTACGATAGAAACGCACCAAACTCTAAATTAACTCGATGGCAGTTGACGACAAAGCGGGAGAAGAGATACTTTTTAATCTTTCTTCCCTTGAGGCTGCATGTCTTAATTGCGAGGCAAGCTGGTCCGCGGGTGGGTCTCTTGGTGAGCCGTGTTGACCTTCTATAGTGACCACGTAGTATAGATGAAGCTCAGAGCCAATACATTCTTAGATCAAAAATGTGATCTTCAATATGACGGCGTTAGATTGCATGAAGGGGCTGTCACGTTTACCTAGTAAAACAGTTGTATACAACGAACAAATAAAACAGCTGCCCACGACATGCACGTTTATCGACTGCCAATGATGCGAATATTGCATACATGTACTGCGCAAGAAATGAAAAACATTGCTCAGAACTCAATCCGCCAATTCTTTCCAATGCCAACATTTGGCTTCTTCACCACAGCATAGGACGCCTTCCCGCCCTCTTGCTCGTAGAACTCCAATGAGGCCGTAGAGGCCGACTTGGCTCCATCTTCGATGACAACCACGTTGTCCTTGGCCTTCCATTCGACGGGAGGGTCAACGATCACCACCCGCTCCACTGTCACACCAGCCATGGTCTTGAGGTACTCAGTAGTCTTAGGTCCCTTGGTACCAATGTCCTCCGACGACAACACCGACTCGCGGTAGTTGAAGTGGCGGTGAATGTAAGCGCCACGCTCGTAGTCGAACGTCTCACCATCATCCACGTACAGACTGCCCTGCGCCTCGCTATTCTTGTCCAGCGTAATGACCAGTGTATATGGGTCCCACCGCATAAGACCAGTACTGCGACGAGGACGGTCCTTGCGGGGTATGATGTGACCACCCTGGATCAACACAGGCACCTTGTCCTCTGGCGCAGGGACAATGTGTTTCTTGCCCGCACCCTGGTAGACGGTGAAATCGAAGTAGTCATAGTACTTTTCGTCGTCAGAGATATACACGTCTGCACTGTGGGTGTTCTCCTGCACAACAGGCTTCACAAGAAGACCCGTGGAAGCAAGGTACAGCTGATCATCAATGGCAAAGCCTTGCTCGTCCTCAGGGAACATGTAGTACTGAGGCCGCACGATTGGCGTGCCGTTAACTGAGGCTTCATGGAAGGCAGTGTACCAAGCAGGCATAAGTTGGTACCTCAGGCGGATTGCCTGGGCGATGTAGGACCGGTGCGGTTCGCTGATCAGATATGGCTCACGACGACGAGTATCAATGTGAGCATGCGCGCGGAAGAAGGGATACCAGATACCTGCCTGGTACCACCGGGTCAAAAGGTCCTTATCAGGGTTATGGAAGAATCCTCCGACATCTGCGCCGGCAAAGGGGAAGCCTGCAATACCGTTGGTCAGGACCATGGGGATAGAGGCCCCTAGGTGGTCCCAGGTGGCCTGGTTGTCTCCAGTCCACATAGCAGACACCCGCTGTGCCCCAGCGTAGTATGAGCGCGTCAAGATGAATGGCCGGCGCACCTCGCCCTTCTTGCGCTCCAGCATTGCTTTGTAGGTGGCGTTCAAAAGAGTGAGACCATTGACATTGTGAACATCGCGATGTTCCCAGTTCCCATAGTGCAAATTGTCCTTCGGCATGGTCATGTCAGGCCCGTTGAAAACAGAAGGCTCATTCATATCATTCCAGATGAAAAGATTCTGAAGCGATCCTTTGAATTTGTCGAACTTGTGCAGGGTGGCCCACCAGGCGTGGGCGGCGGGGTTAAAGCAGTCGACCCAATTAGAGGAACCTGGCCAGCACCACCCATCGTAAATCTCGCCATCCTTGTTCAGCACAGCGAGATTTTTACTTCTAAGTTCCTCGGAAACAAAATACTTGTCCGCGTTCTTAATGTGAGGATCGATCAAAACCACAAGCTTTCGTTCGGTTTCATCCAGCTTTTGCTGCATGCCCTTAGGATCAGGGAAGGTGAGAGGGTCCCAGGTGAAGTATTTCCGGTCATCGGTATACTCGAGATCAAGCCAGATCACGTCGTACGGAATCTGGTACTTATCGAACTTCGTGTTGACTTCTTTGACATCCTCGTCTGTAACATAGTTCCAACGGCATTGGTGATATCCAATGGCAAACTGCTGGGGCAATTGTGTATATCCTGTGAGTTCACCATATGTTTTACTGATATCATTCGGCGAGGGCCCGAGGAAGACGAACAGGTCAATCTGACCGGATTCCGACATCCAGTGAGTTTGTGTGTCTGTCTTGGAGCCGGCGCCCAAGGCAAGAGGGTTGGAGGAGGCAGTTGATTTGACAATATCGATCCACGTTTCCGCTGCATTGAGCCAGAAGACCCCGACAGTGGAGTTCTTGCGGTGGGCTTGCATGAGCGGGATGGCTCCGTACAAGGTCATAGGGCTTTCGAGTTCATACTCGAAGACATCCGAGTTGTACAGACGGTAAGGGTTCTCATGATTGCCAGGCCCACCTCTAGTCTCCTTGAGCGAGAGCGAATCTGCGTGCTCTGGAATACCAAACACATGACTATAACCGGGGAAGGTAATATCAAGAGCGATACTCTCGGGACCACGGGGCTTCGAGTCTGTATTGCCCCCAAAGGTCTCTTCCCACCAGGTGCTCTCATCCTCGCCGGACTCGCCGTCTTTGCCGTCTACCTTTGGTCGCCAGTGCTCCATGTTCAAGAAGCCTTGGTGATTCAATTGAACATGGGTCTGTCCGTCTCGCTGAAATTCGACTCCAAATGGCGCGTGGCGAACGATAGCCTGGAATTTGTCGTCCGGTCCGTATAGAATGTTGGTGAATCCAGTTTCGCTCTGAGCATTCAACGTGGCCGACTTGCTGACTTCCAAACCACCCACGATAGTCCATTTTTCAGTTTCATCATATCGCTTCTTGTTCGCTTGGCTGCCATGTCGCATTTCAATGTCGCCCTTCATCCGCTTCTCTTCATCGACCACAATGCGGGCGGCTCCCGATTTCAAGAAAGACACCGTGAGAGGTAGCCGGACCTTCTCATTGGCAGTGGTTGTTTTGGAAATGACTCCAGTGAGCACACCATCTTTGAAATGTACGGTGGCAGGGTCGAGCTCGTAGGGTGAGCTCCACGAAGCGCCTTGGGAGGAGGCGTTATCGGCGTAGGCGCGGTTTCGTTTGCAGAACCCGGACTGCTCACAAGTCTTGAAATCCTTGTGTTTGACCGCAACTGCTCATATCATGAGAATTAGCTTTCTGTAAACTTGCAATTTCGCGGAAGGCAGCCTTACAACCGGGGACGACAATGCATCCGAGGAGGATAACTATGGAGAGCAACATTGCCCAACGGGGCGCAGGTAGGCTCCTGGCCATGGTGAAATAAATAAGATGATCGATCAGAGGCCCTCAATCCCCGACAGAATGGCGTTGGTTATCAATGATTGACCTGCATTTAGAGGTGGAGATGCCGTCAACAGAAGCTACAAGCTGGCCTGAGCTGGGGTAAGACACCTAAGGCAACAAGGCAACCACGATAGCTTCTGAACAGCCAATCAGCTTTGCTTTCCTTTGAGCCAATCAGCCCCCGACTGCTCAGTACATATGTTGTATGCACCTTTCCACACTGTACATCTACAAGTCCACGCATTAGGATCTTTTGTCAACAATGCAGCTAAGTCTTCGTCTGGATCTCCACTCAGCCTCTGCCCTAACAACCAGCTGTTTTCGGAGTACCCGAAGGTCGAAAACAGCGATCTCTTAGCAGCCGCTATTCATTCATAAGCTTATAAGAGGTTGGTCTCCCCTCGGGGTTGCATTTTGGTGTCTTCCGTAAGAACTGACAGAAGCGTTGCAAGATTTCTTATTGATTTCAGCTCCTAGATCTACTTATACCTACATATGTAGGTATGAATAGGATAGTACCTCCTAGTAGTATAGTGAACAATCAATCTTCTTCCCTAACCTACTGCGAAGAACCGAGTATCTTAAAACTATAAATTAGGAGCTGCCTATGTAGGTATTCTTAGAGATTAGGACTAGGATAATGTGAGTGTATAATAGGCTACGCTCATCTCATCCTAGTGACTAGGCTAGGTGCGGATTGTTATCCCATTTGATGAACCATGACATAAATATAGGTATCATTATTTGAAATGAGCTGTTTTTCAAGTCGATAGATATTTCTACCTTTGCGCTTGAATGTTCAAGAAAAAGTGTGAAGCCAAAGAGCCTATACAACTTTTCCAACGGCAAGGTCCACCATTGATGGCCTTAGCATTCTGGCATCAACACCCCTCCTTGCCGGCCACCAATCATCGGCCCAAGTGGGAAGGCCTGAATTTTTTAAAAGGCCTCTATTTAATCTTCCCCTCTTCCCTCTCTTTTCCTACTTCATACCTTTGAATATTATTCTCATACATTCAAAATGTCCGCCAACGAGGAACAGACGTATGTGCTTCAAAATCAATTTTCCCATCACCCTTCTTCTTCGATTGCCATTACCCCTCGTTGTCGGTCAAGCTAATCAATTGCTCTAGTTTCATTGCCATCAAGCCCGATGGTGTCCAGGTACGAGCTCAGCATCATTCGACCCAAATCCATAACGGAACCGGAAGGGTCTACTCAATTGAACTCCATTTGCTGACAATGTAAACCAGCGTGGCCTCATTGGACCCATCATCTCTCGCTTCGAGAACCGTGGCTTCAAGCTCGTTGCCATGAAGCTCACCTCCCCAGCCAGGAGCACCTCGAGAAGCACTACGCTGATCTCGCCACCAAGCCCTTCTTCAAGGGTCTCGTCGCCTGTTAGTTGCCCCGTCCGAATCGTTCCGCAAATCGCAACACCACTAACACGGCTCTAGACATGCTGAGCGGCCCCATCTGCGCCATGGTCTGGGAGGGCAAGGACGCCGTCAAGACCGGCCGCGTTCTCCTCGGTGCCACCAACCCCCTGGCTTCCGCCCCCGGTACCATCCGTGGTGACTACGCCATCGTAAGAAAACCCCCAATGCTCCAATGTCGCATCATATCATACTGACAATTCCACTAGGATGTCGGCCGCAACGTCTGCCACGGTTCCGACTCCGTCGAGAACGCCAAGAAGGAGATTGCTCTCTGGTTCGGTGCCTCCGAGATCCTCAAGTACACCTCCGCCCAGGCCGCTTGGGTTTACGAGTAAATTCCTCGTCTCTAAGTAGACTGGTCGGGCGGACTTCTTGTTCGGATACTTCTAGTATAGAATAAAGCAGTGGTTCTGAGGAAGAAGTCCAATCGCTTGGAGAATACACAATATACAAATTCATATGATATATGAATATAGTTCTCTCTACTATCATAGTAATGCTCGACTAGCTCATCCTCTGCTGAAGAGCCGTCTGGCTAGGTTTGCTGTCGGTGTAAAGATCGACTTTGCAAACCATGGTGTCGCCCAAACACTCGCTGCCAACCGGACTGGCAACAAAGCTTTCGTGATCGCATAGGCCGTAGCAAATTCCAGCACCAATCGAACACCTGCTCGGTCCACTGTATTCTCCCCGGTGATTTCATGCTCTGCAACAGTATTCACGTCGGACTCATCCACCCAACCTTTCTTTTTTAACCAGCGGCCGAAACGCGCAGCTCCTTCATCGAAGGCATTGGTCTCGCCTGTCTGAGATGCAAGATCCGGCATCCAGGTACCATAGTGAAATGCACCAACCAGCCCAAATAGTGGAAGGATAGCGGTCATTTCGTGAAGTATTAGGAATGATGTGATATGGGTGACCGGCGCTCCAAATAAGGGTGTAGTATATGTGCGGAGAAAGCGAGGAAGGCGGTCGTTGAACCGGCGCAGGCGAGAGCGAGTGTCATTAGGGCTGATCTGTGATGGCTTCGGTGGTTGCGTAGGAGAGGGAGTGGAAATAGTTCGTCGCGACCCGTGCGGCCTAGTGTTTCGAGCTGTTTGGAGACGGAGGTAGCGGAGAAAGGTGGGTGGTCGAGGAGCCATGTTTTGGTGAAGGAATTGACGGACTTGTAGAGTTCAGAAGAAAGATTGTATATGTTCAAAAGTGAATTGTCCCCCTAACGCCCAATATACACAAATGTAAAACAGTTAGGTGCTCACGTTAAGCATCGTCGATCCCGATATGAGAAATGACGATTATCGCGCTGAGTCATCTATAGCGCTGCCACTTTTTTTTTCTCGAGCTCTTCTGGATCAAGATAAAGTCACTCCTTGCATAGAAACAGTATTAAAGCCTTTAGATCCATGTAGTATCTTTGCAGTAGACCTTTAATGCGCGATGGCCAAGTCGGCAGCTGTAGACATCATCGTTCCCGATGCGACTGGAGCAGATCGTGACATGGTCCACTTTTGCCCGAATCCTCTCTTCTTCATCCAACCACTCCCATTGCCGACTCATACACCTAAAGGACGCAATGGAGAAGAAGATTACCGAGAAGATCGCGGCTCTGCCGCCAGATGCCAACTACTTTTCCTTGGAGTTCTTCCCTCCAAAGACCCGGATGGTGGGGTTACCCCGCGTGCTGAACGCATCGTGGATATTTTGCTAATATGGCCTACTGTAGGGTTTCGCCAACCTGTCTGCGCGTCTGGAGCGTATGGCTCAAGCACTCCGTCCTCTGTTCGTTACGGTCACTTGGGGTGCCGGTGGCAGCACTGCGGCACGATCGCTCGAGCTGGCGGAAGTATGCCAGCGCCAACTGCAGTTGACGACCGTCCTGCATCTGACATGCACGAACATGAGCCGCAAGCTGGTGGATATGGCTCTAGATGAGGCCAAGGTTCTTGGAATTCGCAATATCCTGGCTCTGCGAGGAGACCCGCCTCGCAGTGAGGAGTATAACATGCACGGAGAGGATGATAGCAACAAGGATTTCACTTTTGCCGTTGATCTAGTGCGATATATTCGCCAGACACATGGCGATTACTTCTGTGTTGGTGTTGCCGCATACCCGGAGGGCCATCCTGCCGACAATTTCCAAGACGTCCAGGATCCGGCCAGAGATATTCCTTCCTCGTCGAGAAGACACAGGCTGGAGCAGATTTCATCATGACCCAACTTACCTACGACATCGAAGCTTACCAGAAGTTTGAGGAGATGCTTCGCAACCATGATTCCGGTGCTTTTAAGACTATCCCCATCATTCCTGGCTTGATGCCTATCCACAGCTATAAAATTCTGACTCGGGTGACTAAGCTCAGCCATGTCACAATCCCGCCTCCCATTGCCAAGCGCATGGAAGAATTGAAGCACGACGACGATGCGGTCAAGCGCGCGGGTGTGGATATTGTTAGTGAGATAGTGGGTGGTGTGAGAGACATTCCCTCCCCCGGGGCCGCGAGGATTCCACTTCTACACTTTGAACTTGGAGAAGACAGTATCATTTATCCTGGAACAATGCGACTTGATTCCGTCTTACTCGGATGCTGGAGACACTGCTATTGCGGATGACCCTGCGTCGATTCCACTGGATTTCCCTGGACGTGCGTTGCGGAGACGCCGTGCATCCTCTATCAACTCGCAACCCCACAACCGGGTCATTGTGGACAAGCTATCTGTCCACGAGTCGTCGCAGGACTCGGTCCATGAGGCACTCGCAGACAGTGCAGGTGTGCCCGCACCCCCGCCAAACCGCAGCACTACTCTTCTCATCTCTGAGGGTCTTGGTGCGCTCGGCAGAGAAGCAACATGGGATGACTTCCCCAACGGACGATGGGGTGATGCTCGCTCGCCTGCCTTCGGTGAGATTGACGGCTATGGTCCCTCGCTTCATGTGACTGCCAACACTGCACGTAGGCTATGGGGCCACCCGGTGGACTCCAAGGATATGAGCACAATTTTCCGGCGCCACGTCTCGGGCGAGCTACACATGGTGCCGTGGTCCGAGGGTGGCGCGGAAGAGGACGGCGAGGGTTTGAATGCAGAGACTGAACTGATTCGACCGGAATTGTTGAAGCTCATTGATGGCCGCGGCTGGTGGACTCTGGCCTCGCAGCCCGCAGTGAACGGTGTGCACAATGACCACCCCATCTTCGGTTGGGGTCCCCAACGGGAAGGTTTTGTCTTCCAGAAGCCATTTGTGGAGTTCTTCTGCTCGAGCAACGATTACACCAATATCCTGAAGCCATTGTTTGCTAAGCACGGCCACGACAAGCTCACCTGGTTCGCGACAAACATCAAAGGTGATTTCGAATCTTCGCTCCCAACCCAGCCTGCCGATATGGAGCTCGATGACCTTGGCTCCAACCCCGAAAGTGTCAACGCCGTTACCTGGGGTGTGTTCCGCGGCAAGGAGATCGTCACCCCTACGATCATCGAGGAAGTGAGTTTCCGCGCGTGGGGTGAGGAGGCTTTCCGAATCTGGGACGAGTGGCGTCGCATCTACCCGCGCGGTTCACCCACGGAAACATACTTGGACACAACCAAGAACGACTCTTGGCTTGTGTGTGTTGTCGGTCAGCAATTCGGCGCCGGTACCAAGCAGGGCTCCAAGGAGGAGGAAGACGAGGTCAAGTGGATGTGGCGGGTCTTGGCGGGCGAGGAGGCTTAAGAATGCGTCTGTCTACAAATCAGGATAAAGATATACCCTGTATCAATGAGGGTTCTTACGGTTGACGGTTTAATGAGGGCAAGCCTGGACATATGAACCATGAATGGCACAAAATCTGGATTTCTGTATACTAGTCTTGACCCCATCCCATGGAGATGAATATTACGATTACGCGTGCACTGCTTTTGTATATTCTTTGGTTGATTGATAGATTCCATACGCCAATTGCTAAGCAAATGCTTCTATAAATACGTATCGTTTCTCATGCAAGCGTTTGCCAGAGGTGATCGTCCCTGCTGCAGGCTTGATCACAACTTCTCGGCAAACCCGTGTTCCTCGAGCCCGCTCGCACCTGTATCTGGGGTCGCGATTTCAGACTGGGCCTCGGCGTATTTCTGTATAGCATCGTCAAGAACGCCATACACCTTGGGCATACGGCGGGGCTGGTTAGGCCCATTTGCCGGTAGTTGATACCCACGTAATCTGGGAAGCTTGTTAGCAATTTGAAACAAAATATAACATTCGGGATTGACATACCTAGGACCTTCTCCGCTACTCTCCGGCATTGAAGAGGCATAAACACGAGAAAATGTCTGAATGTCCTGCTCGAAGGACCCACGTTGGATACTCTCCCGCACTCCTGCGAAGAAGGTATCCATGACGTGGAAATTATGGACTTGAAGGAGAGCCCAAGCGGTCATCTCCTTAGCAAGTAGGAGATGGTGGATGTAAGCACGATGGTAATTCTTGCAAGTATAGCATTCACATCCCTCGCCCAGCGGAGATGTATCTGTAGTGTGATCTCCCGTCCACAGATCGATTCCCAAAGGCAGACGCTCAGACTTGCCCTCTGGCACGGGAGCTGGGGCGGGGAACACGAATCCCATGGCGATACCTCCGTCTGACGATGCGCCTGAGGAGAGGGTGGTGAGAAGGTCTGCTCCGAGGGATATGTCACGCAGGATAGCCTGTGGAGTCTCAGGCTCGCTAAAGAGCAATCGAGGAAGGTTCGCCAGGGATTCTGGAACGAATCCCAATGACGCAGACTGATATAGCGCTAGGCCGGATATATCCCACCGGAATTCACTCTCCAAATCTTCCAGGTAGAGGGACTGCTGCGCATTATCAAGAGGCAACACCGGCGCAAAATATGCGCTCTTTGACTTGTCTTTCTCTGCCACAGCGTCCCCATAGAGCTGCTCCAATGCATCCCGAGTCCAGGCATGTGTCCGGTCGACCATCTTCCCCCGCCTCTTGGATCCGGGCTGCTTATTAGCCAGGTCCACCATCCCAACCGCAATATCTGGCCTCAGCTTTTGAACAGCCTTCACATAATCATGCGCAGATAACTGGGTGAACCCGACTGATGTGAGCAGCGCGATGGAAGCCGATGTGTTCGCGGGAGGGCATGGGATCGGAGGGAATCGACGTGGACCTAGAATCAAAGGCATGTCCTCGGCCACACATATGAATTTCTTCAATGGCGACTCATGATCTGCGGCGGGTGTCTTATAAACGGGTGGTTGCTTTTTCGCGATAACTTTATATGCCCGGGGACATGCGCTGTCAGTTATGCCCAGGAACAGATTGTAGTAATCATGCAGTATTCCGCTTACAATCTTCCAATCCAGCATACAAGCTGTTTATTTCAGTGTGATCACGCATCACATCATGCGCAACATGCGGGACTGTGCCCGCGAAGTGAGCGGGACATGGTGCGGCGTCGCGATGGTCTTGCGGCCTGGAATAGCCAATTTGCCTACTCGGGGTGCAAGAACTGGAGCAGTGGATGCCAGGACACTGAAGGTCATCGCTGGGGAAGCGGACGTCGCTTGGTCCATGGCGTTCCTGATTATTGGAAGACCATGTTGGGGGCGGCCTGGATCTTGTCCTTATCGGCTAGGAGAAATTGAATTTCCCGATAAACATCGCCCTCACTATCCTCCTCCGGAAACATTCTGGACTATTTTGCATATATTGCGCAGGAACTGAGCATATTGATCTGCAATTTTGAAATATTTTATGCCTAATTACACCACTGCGCCCCACTCGATCATGACAGGACAATCAACGTCGCCGACGCGACGCGGAGCTCTCATCGTTGTCGAAGGACTCGACCGCGCGGGCAAATCGAGCCAATGTGAGATGCTACGGGATTCCCTCTCGCGGCAAGGACACATGGTCAAATACATTCGATTCCCAGGTACTTAGTTACTGGTTTCTTATGGCTGGCATTGATCTAATAATGTTTTCTAGACAGAACGACGCCGATCGGGAAGTTGATTGATAGCTATCTACGCGGCTCATCGCACCAAGACGACCATTCCATTCACCTCCTTTTCTCGGCGAACCGGTGGGAGATTTCAAAGAGCATTGAAGAAGATATCGCGAACGGAATAACAGTCATTGTAGACCGCTACTCATATTCCGGCGTCGTCTACTCCGCCGCAAAAGCGAACCCCACATTATCACTGGAGTGGGCATGGCGGCCAGAAATCGGTCTACCGCGCCCAGATATCTGCCTATTCCTTAGCATTTCACCTGAGGAAGCAGCGAAGCGCGGTGGGTTCGGTGCCGAGCGATACGAAAACGGGGAAATGCAAACCCGTGTGCGAGAGCTCTTCCAAACGATCTTCGAGAAGCAGCAGGATGTATCCATTATCGATGCGGGGAAATCCATCGAGGAGGTGTCACGGGAGATACGGGGTGCCGTAGGTGATTGCATTGCGCGTCTGGACGTGGCGGGCGCGTTGAGGAAATTGGGGCCTCTTGCGAATTAGAGAATTAGAATTTAAGACTGGGCGCTTGGCTCTCATTCAATGAGTTCTGCGTCATCCCAGTCGCTGTCTTCAATCACGATCTCGAGCTTTGATGGAGGTTGAGTCGAGCGGTTCTTCTGTCGGCCCTCGAAGTCAGAGTCGGATTCTATATCGACTTCCTCGAACCAATTTGGCCCTAAGTCGTCTTGGGTCGGTTCTTCTAGCAGCGACCTTGGTTCAGTTGAAGATGAACGAGGTACTGAAGATCCCTCCATGGCGGCAGACTCTTTGCGAACACGCTTCTCTTTCTTTCTGAGAATTGCGCGCGCTTCTTTCTCTGCTCTGTTGCGGAGGCTTAGCTCATGCATCATTGTCACCCATTGTACGGTGTTTCCACACGGTGGACAGGTCCCTTGGGTAGGCACTAGGAGGTCCGGTTCATTGATCGCGTCAAGGAATCTGGTAGATAGACATAATAAATGACTCGTGCCGCGGCAATTCGGATGCGGACACACTACTATTTGTTCCTCGTTCGGAGAGATCGAGTCTTTACAAACCGTGCACTGCAGATCATCCGGGTCGTCCAGCATGAACATTGACTTTTCGAGGTGATCTTCAAGCCTGGTGTAGTCAATTGATAGGTTGTTAATGTTCCCAACGGGTGCATGCTCATCCCGTTGATTGGCGTCGGGGGCTGTTGCAAGGTTGTCTCCATCTAGAATAACCTTGATCATGTCGGGCAAGCGACTATCAACACGATCATTCCAGGCTCGCCATACACGATACACATCGGCACAAAAGAAACGGACTCGTAATGGCCAAGGGAGAAATAAGTCGAGCGAAGCAGGGAATGCAAATCCTCCAAATGCGCCATTAGGGATCTCCTGGTTCGCGCTCTAGGTTTCGATTTCGGCTTGCCCATCTTCGCTTTGGCAGTGGCATTGGCATTAGCCTTAGCTTGAGGCTTGGAGTCTAAGTCATCATCGGAATCAAGGTGGCGCGACCTTTCCGGGTGTTGCCAAGCCCACCTACGCGAAATGATAAATTGAGATGCGATGTATACAAACAATTCACATGCGACTTACTCGAATTGCAAAGCGCCGACTCTGCTCGTGAAACCCTCTACGACAAGGGTCATTTCCCAGGGGCGTAATTTATCTCTAGCGGTTCGCTTGGCCCCACCTTTGGCGACACCGTTGTGCTGAGGGAGTCGTCTGATCGGGTTTGGCGTCGAGCCAATGTAGAGTGAGGCGTGTCGAACGGTCGACCGGAGGAGATAACAACAGTAATATGCCGGGATTGGTTTGGGCTTTTCAAACTCATCCATGATGCTTGATTGGAGGATATGTTATATCTATTTTCACATTGGGATGTTCAATTCAACATGGTAGGCTTGTCAAGTCCTTGAAATTAGCTTTGTCTATCAAATACGTGCGGGTCCTAAACGGTACCTTGATATACACCGGATCACATGATAATGTATTTTTCCCTCTCAAGGGGAAATGGAACTGCCAGTGGAGTGTAGGGAGGGGTATTAGAACATGAATAGGAGTTACTTTGTTAAGGGATGCAAAGTATGATAACGGAAGGTGTTCATAAATATATTAAAATGCCATCGAATAGCATTTTCCCATAGTAGAAGGGCAAAATTAACAAAATACATACATACCTAGGTAGGCCATTGAAACCTAACAAATTGTAGAACCAGTGTCTATACATACCTAGGTACTCAGGTAATATCATATAGAATATCCGAGGCTCGATGTGTCACAAGATACTATCACATTGGAATATCCACCACATAAAACATAGACGGGCTCGTAATATTGGGCTCCCAAATACAGATAATCATTTATGGACACCGTATGATGTTCCCCCGTTTGCAGCATTACAGTATAATTACCAAGCTTACAGGTGAAACTTCACTCATAAGCGGTACCTGAGCTCCGATTAACTCATTCTTACAGTAAATCCTATACCGTACTGATCGGTACCATCGCGGCTGGCTGGAGGTTCCCACGGGGTCACTCATTGGTTCCTTTCTTACTGGCTGGCCACACAAAAGGGACCTGGCAGTACTTCTGGAGTACCACCCCAGTCGATCTTTACTGCACATAATCTCATTCCTCCACTCTTAAGGTTTCTATCCCATCTATCCTTCTTTCCACTCTGCGACTTGGGCCTCTCTTTTCTCGTTCTATCGCCTTTTACCCCGAGCCAACCTTTCCTTTCGTTTTCACTCAAAGTCCATTCTCTCATATTCTTTGGTTCGTCACCGATCCTTTACCCTTCGGTCACATTGGCAGGAACCCGGCAGCCGTCTTTCCTGATATCCATCACCACGCCCTGCCTTTGCAGGTTACAGTCATTGTTAATCGAATTCCCCCAAACAGACGCGCTCAATCCTACATATCCTTAATCGCCTGTCCTATTTCGAACAATGGGAGCTCCGGCCTCTGCCGGGGCGACCTCGACGGCCGCGGCAGGCCAGCCGACTCGGTCGTCGAGTACCCATCCGTCGCACTCTCACAACGTACCCCTAAGCGCTCGCAGGTCTGCACCCCTTGATTTGTCCACCGTGGAACGGCGTGGACAACCCAACAACCCTAGAGAGCCATCAAAGCGCATTCGCCCTCATGGCATCCCAGATGCCCCGACTTTCCGTCCAACCGAGGAAGAATTCAAAGACCCGGTGGCCTATATTCAGAAGATTGCTCCCGAAGGGAAAAAGTATGGAATTTGCCGAGTGGTCCCACCAGAGGGCTGGCAACCGACTTTCGCAATCGATACAGAGGTAGGATCCCTCCTCCCACGGATGCTGTCAGCATTGCTTCCCGCGCATGACCACGCCTGACAATGGATACAGCGATTTCACTTCAAGACCCGTAGACAAGAGCTCAATTCGGTTGAAGGAGGTAAGGGCTCGCATTCAGCATAACCAGACTGCCCCAGCTGGTAAGATCACACAGTGCGATTCTGACCCTCATCTAAACATAGGGAACCGCGCGAACATGAATTACGTCGATGGGCTTGCCATGTTTCACAAACAGCATGGCACTAACTACAGCCGGCTACCTAGCGTCGACAAGCGACCGCTAGATCTCTACAAACTCAAAAAGGCAGTGGAGAGTCGCGGTGGGTTTGAATCAGTGTGCAAGACGAAAAAATGGGCAGAAATCGGTCGTGATCTTGGATACAGTGGCAAGATAATGTCCTCTTTGTCCACTTCGCTCAAGAATTCCTACCAGCGCTACTTGCAGCCGTACGAGGAATACTTGGCCCGGGCCAAGCCTGGTGTCCAACAACAGCTTGAGCTTGAGCACGGTGGTCCATATACCCCTTCGCCTCTACAATCCCCCATGACTCAGAAGCCCATGTTGGATGAAAATGGTACACCTTCTAAAATCCGTGATGAAACTCCTAGCTTGCCTCGAATGGCCGCTTCACATACCCCAATGGCGTATACTCCAGCGGCACATACTCCAGTGGCACATACCCCAATGGAGAAGTCCCCGGAGAAGCCCACACCCCCTATCGAACCAACTCCTCCCCCTTCTTCGCGCCCCGCAGCCGCGGGCTTCACTCCTGTCAACTCCGGCCTCGGTGGCTTTACCGCAGTCAACCACTCTCCTTTTACCCCTGTGAACAACGGCCCGCCAATCAAGCGCGAGGGAGAGAACGGCGCCTCGACACCCAAAGTCGTTTCCGAGCATACTTCCGTCTCGACACCTGTAAACGGTCGAGATGAGGAATCTCTGAAGCGTGCTATCAGCCGCGAAGACAGTTCTCAGTGCGAGAATGGCGATGATGACGATGGAAGCGGTCGACGCAGCAAGCGTCTCAAGAAAGGTACACTTTTTCTTGGCTCTTAATACCCAAAGTGATTCTTATCTAATTGTTGCCCTTCCAGATTCCCTCCCAACAGTTGCAGGTTCTCATATGTCGCTTCTTCGCCCAGCATCGGTTAAATCGCGCAAGGATGGCTCGCAGCCAGCCGGAGAGGTAGGCGGAGGTTCGTGTCAGCATTTTAATGATATACTGATTCATGAACAGAAATGTGAGACTTGTGGCAAAACGGATGATCAAGGGTTGATCCTTGTATGCGACAGTTGCGAGCTTGGATATCACAAAACGTGCCTCGATCCGTCTACTACCACAGCATCCGATCACGAGTGGCACTGTCCTAAGTGTTTAGTCGGCACAGGAGAATTCGGATTTGAAGACGGCGGTGTGTACTCACTGAAGCAGTTTCAAGAGAAGGCCAACGAATTCAAGAAGAAGTACTTTGCTTCCAAGATGCCCTTCGACCCAGTTCTCAACACGCATCGACGTGAAACCGAGGACGACGTGGAGGCTGAATTCTGGAAACTTGTCGTTGACCTACATGAGACTGTTGAAGTGGAGTACGGCGCGGACATCCATTCCACCACGCATGGAAGTGGATTCCCAACTATCGAACGGAATCCTCTTGACCCATTCTCATCAGATCCTTGGAACCTGAATGTACTTCCATTCTATGGAGATTCGCTGTTCCGTTACATCAAGTCCGATATCTCTGGTATGACCGTTCCCTGGGTTTATGTGGGAATGTGTTTCTCCACTTTCTGCTGGCATAATGAGGACCACTACGCTTATTCGGCCAATTACCAACACTTCGGTGCTACCAAGACCTGGTATGGAATTCCAGGTGCTGATGCAGAGGCCTTTGAGGCGGCCATGCGGGATGCAGTTCCCGAGCTTTTCGAAGGCCAGCCCGATCTTCTTTTCCAGCTTGTCACGTTAATGCCACCAGACAAGCTTCGCAAGGCCGGCGTCAACGTTTATGCGGTGGATCAACGAGCCGGTCAATTTGTGCTCACGTTCCCTCAGGCATACCATGCGGGCTTCAATCACGGCTTTAATTTCAATGAAGCAGTCAACTTTGCGCCTGCGGACTGGGAGCCATACGGTGCAGCAGGTGTTGAACGTCTTCAGAACTTCCGCAGGCACCCGTGTTTCTCCCACGATGAATTGCTTCTTACCGCTGCTGCGCGTGATACCTCTATTGCCACTGCCAAGTGGCTTGCGCCTGCACTAGCAAGAACTTGCGCTCGTGAACTGGGTGATCGGGCTGCTTTCCTATACCGGCAAAAGGAAGTGTCTGCTCGCACCCCGGGCTTTGGTCCTGACTCCATGGCAGAGGATGCACAGCCGAGATTCGTAGTTGAGAATGAAGATCTCCCCGAGGATGATTACCAATGCCAACATTGCAAGGCCTACACTTACCTCACTCAGTTCCGTTGTCACAAATCAGGCAAGACAATCTGTTTGTCCCACATTGACATATATGACTGCTGTGGCGAAACTTTGGCTCAGAAGCTGTGCGGCTCAGGCCATACCCTCCGTTATCGCATGAGTGATGATGAATTGCAGGGGCTTGTGCAGAAAGTCCAAGAACGGGCCAGAATTCCTGAAGCATGGTCTGAAAAGCTCGACAAGACCCTGGAGGATGAACCGAAGCCTCAGCTTAAGGCCCTTCATAACTTGCTCAATGAAGGTGAGAAAATCCCATACCACTTGCCAGGCCTTCAAGATCTTGCGGCCTTCGTCCAGCGTTGCGATAAATGGGTTGAGGAAGCCAACAACTACATTACCCGGAAGCAGCAGAACCGGAGAAAAAACGAGAAGGCTTGGCGCAGAGGCAGTACCAAGGCGGCGCAGCTGGACGATCGCGATCGCGAAGTCCGCAGAATTGAACATATCTACGCCCTTCAGGCAGAGGCTGATAAACTTTCGTTCGACTGTCCACAGATGGCGGCGTTGGAAGAGAAAACCCGCGAGATCGAGAAATTCCAACAGGATATTAATACTGCTCTGATGCACCCGCACACCCGGCCTCTCCAGGAGATTGAAGAACTGATCGAACGCGGCAAAAATTTCAACGTGGAAGTCCCGGAACTGGAACACCTAGAGCAAGTTTCCCGACAAATCAAATGGATTGAACAAGCTGTGCGCAAGCGAGACCAGTACATGACCCTTACCGATTGCCGGGAACTTGTCGCCGGTGCGGAGCAGCTCGGCCTCCCCGATACCAATGAACACTTAATCCATTTCAAGGAACTTGCCCGTCATGGCGATGCGTGGGAAATGAAGGCCAAGGAATTAATGTCTGTTGAAGCCGTTCACTATCAGCAATTAGAAGCTCTCTCTGCGCAGGCGTCTCGTTTTCCGGTTTCACCTGATACTCTCGCGGCCGTCGATGCTATATTGACCAAGCAGCGTGAGGCGCAGAAAAGGATCCAGACTTTGTATGAAAAGAGCAAGGACCCGGAGATGAAGAATCGGCCC